GCTCGCCGAATATACCGCCGCGAATGCACCGTTCCCAACACATCCCGTGTGTTCGACCCAACGAAGCACCTCAACCGGCATGAACTCCATTGTACCGATCATGTGTCGCCTACCCGTCCACTCACCATCTACTATCCCTTGTGTCACTGAATGCTTCCCCTTCCTTGTTGAGATTAGCATTCAGTGACACAGGGGATAATAAGATCAAGATGGATTGGTAGATTAGTATATCGACCAATTCGAGGGTCCGTAATGATGATATTGTGATTGGCCAATTCGTTTCGCCTTGGTGCGGCTTGTGCGTCGAGGATGCGTAAATATCCGCTGTAACCCACTAAGACTAAACGCGTGAAATGTCATGTGATGTTTGGAATCCTTGATGCGTCTCTCTCTCTCTTGCCTTGCCTTCATATGACCGACCTTCACTGCCCACTGTATCGGCAGCCGCTTTGCCCCTTTTATGGTATAGAGATGGTCACTAGGGAGCTATATGAATATGAAACACTGTCTGACAATGAAATTCGCTTACTGAGGATTCACCAGGGGTTAGAGGAAGATGATCTCTCTTGCTCATTAGAAAAACGCAGTCTAGAGACGGCTAATCAACAATATACAGCCATATCCTATCCCTGGGGACCTTCAGTAGATCCGCATTTTACATGCTATGTCGGTCGCTTTGCATTCCCTATTCGTCAGAATGCAGAAAATGTGCTCAGAACATTACGAAAAGCCAATAGCGATGTGCATGTCTGGCTGGATTCCATATGCATTAACCAAAACGATATTACCGAGAAAAGCTCCCAAATTAGTCTGATGCATCAAATATATAAACAAGCGAAAAACACAGCCATCTGGCTCAGCGAGGCCGATGATCTCACCGAGCATGTGATCAACTACGCCAATACTCTCGATGTGAAAAAGATTATGGAGGAATACAGATCTTACAAAAGAGGCAACGTGGAGACCAAGTCATTTATTCTGGACGAGTTGGCCTTCCATCAGGACAAGGCAACTTTGGTGAACGGTATTGCACGGCTATTCCAAGCGGAGTGGTTTTCGCGGGTCTGGATCCGTCAAGAAGCAGCCGTAGGACGAGATCCTTACGCACTAAGGGGACCCCATAGCATAACCTGGGCTCAGTTGACCACTCTAGCATCTCTTTTCCGGCCAAATTTAACAATAGTATGGCCAGAGTGGACGGACTTTAGTTTTGGTGACATTCAGCCGACACTGGACACTATCGATGCGATCGAGAATTATCGCGTTGGAGAAAGTACCGAAGCCAATAGTATAGCTGGCAATCCGTTGTTCTACCACGTTGTTCAAGCCAGATCAAGTCATGCCACAAAGCCTCATGACAAGGTCTACGCCATGAGTTCCATGGCTTCCGATATGTACAGAGACACAAACGAGGTGTTTTTGAAACCCAACTATGATCTCTCGTGGCAAGAAGTCTACGCCAACGCAGCCAAGTTTTTCTTCAAGCAGGATTTCGTCGCACATCAGGTGCTTGAACAAGCTGGTTTGATTAATCAAGGTGTGAACTCAGACCTTCCCAGCTGGGTACCGGACTGGCGATATCCTGCTGCGATTCAATTTGCCCCTTTGAAAGATTGGGCGGCTGGCGGCAACATGAATAATGTCAGGACCAGAGTGACCGGCTTGACGAAGAAAGAGCGGCAACTCCTGCTCACCTATCAGGGAGCCGCGAGCATTCGGCCGCTTTGTGCACCGCTCAGAGAACAGCGCAGGCAGCTAGAGAAGGATAGATCTCGGCTAGAAAAAAGCAAGTCACGGCTCCAGGAGGGCGACATACAAGAGGTGGAGAGGTTGCGCATACAACAGGAGTGGCTGGCAGTGCAAGAATCGGCAACGAGGGCGGTCTTGGTTCTTGAGATCTTGACATTAATGCAAGACAAGATAACCTATCTATCTCCAAGATCTTCATGGGTTAGCGATGATCATTTCCAAGCGCACAGGAAGGAAATCATTGACATCGACGATCAAAACTTAAGGTTCCTCGAGTCTCTTAAGACAGGCTTGTATATCACCTCGGATACTCTCCGACAAGCTTACAACGCCACGCTCATTGCTTCCCAAGATTCTGAAAGCAACCTCGCCCCCGATGACTTGATCGCTTCAGCCGAGGAGTGGCGGAAGTGGCTCGCCGACTGCAATACGACCTCAAGTCCAGCGTACCATCGCGCGATTGAGACCTCATTCGCCTTCCGCGACTACTCGTTCGCCTGGACTGGGAACGGTTACATGGCGCTCGTGCCCTCGATCGCACAACGTGGCGACGAGGTCATCGTGTTCTCTGGCTGTCGAATCCCATTCGTCATCAGGCCCGTGCACAAATGGTACATGCTCGTGGGGTTGTGCTATGTCCACGGCATGATGAGAAGTGCTGCCAGCATCCTGATCGAAGAGTTCAACATCAGATATGAGGATGGGAAGATTGTGACGAAGAGGCCGCAAGGTGATGTCAGGGCCAATGGCCGGAAGTTAAATGCTGGACAGTACATAGATGTTTTACACACCCTTGGGGGCAGATGGATAAAGTTAGTATAAATTAATAAGAGAATCTAGTATCTCTCTCGCCCCATCAATAACCAGGACTCTGTATCCAACTGTTTACTATCATGGATGCTGATTTACTCTTTCTGTGTATCTTGTGTGCCAATTCTATGCATTTCTTCTATGTATTTCTATGCCCTTTTTCTGTGTATTCTATATGCTAATTCTGTGCCCTCTTTCCACGTATTCTGTGTACGTATTCTGATTTTGATAGCGCCGTACAAAGGAATTTTACTAGCGTGGAGCTAACATTACTTATGGCCCCCCGTAGTATGTGCCTAATATCTTTGTATTCTTTATCCATCACCAGTTTGTCTGTTCTGTGATGACGAAACATTTTGCCGAAGTGACTGCCTCAGGGCAATGATCATACACTGTCTTTTGAAGAGCGACATCGTCTGAAAATGCACAGAAAGCTTCTTTGACCTTTGGACGTATTTGATCTACTGACTCTTCATGCTAATTTGGACTTGTGTCTGTGACTTGCTGACGTCACTATCAACCGCCACGACAGAGGTTATCCTGTACATCTTTATTTTGATTCCGACAATTTAATTGTTTTAGTTGATGACAGCAATCCTTTGCTACGTAACAACTTGCTTGCAGAATGAAAACATTGATGCAACTGCTCATATAAATTTGGTGAAGTAATACATTGGCCTGTTTGAACGCTGAAGGTTGAAGTTCAAACTTCAAATAGACGCTCAAAGTTGACGCATTCCGGTGTGGAGCCTTGGCGCCCAGGGAGCCATTCATCCGATCTTTGCATCTTAGGTTTCTAGTTAGCTACACACCACCAATTGAGAGTTTGATCCATTCTGCTCCCCATCGGGAATGGAGCCCCGCCCATTACGACTTTTCTATGGGTAGTGCCGCCCTGCCGAACGTATGATGCACAAAGTGGAAAAGGTGGTGCACGCACCCTGCTGTTAACAGGTGTTGACCTTCTGAGAGGGCCAATTGGCCGCGTTTAATATGCGTAATCCCTGCGTTTCTACTGCTTCTAATTGGTCAATTTCCAACGCAATTTCACTTCTAATTTCGCTATACGGTACAGCCAATTGTACATAGATCTACGCTCTCTACCCCCGTAGCTATCAATCAACTTGCTTCTCTACGCACTCTGCACAGCAGGTTGACAACAGGTTACATGCAGAGGTCCCTGACGTTGCAGTGCGTTTCGTCAGGATCATAGATCCTCAATGGGTGAGTGTAAAAAATGATTACTGGAGTTTCACTTAATTGTAATAATAGAGTGCCTACATGAGTACTCCTTGGTGATGTACCGAGTGAAATCTTGGCAATAACCAGACAATGGTCTCGCTTCAGCATTTAAAGACGTTTAGTTGTACTCCCTGCCGAGAGAGATGAGAACAGGACAGTTTCACTTCCCCACTTCAGTCTGTTGATCGCGGACCATGATGCCTGGCCGACTCCCCGAGGTGCCTCCTCTGGCTCCAGAGACGTACAGATGGGAGAAGTCAAAGACAGATCCTCGAGTCCTACAACGCCGTGCGAATGGTGCAGAGGTTCTTGTGGGTATAAGAGACAACAATATCAAGGGGCAGTACGATCTGTATCTGATGACCACCCTTCGCATTAATAATCTTTCCACTGCCACGGCACTGTCCCTCTCATCCCTCAAGGAGAAGCTTCAGCCCGCGCTGCTGGAGATCCGCTTCAAACATCCAGAAATTGCCTGCACAGTCCTGTGGGATAATCAAGTCGCTCCGGTCATTCAATATACGCCACCCGAGAATAGCAAAGACGCTCATACATGGGCCCACAACACGGTTCACATTCTGGCCACATCGAAAACTGGTGTTGATGCACGGACAGAAGTCGAGCAGCGACGACGACTGGTTGGTAGTCAGCCAGCAAAGCCAGTTTCGATATATATCGTCGCGGACGTTGCAAATGAGGATACACCGCTCACTCCAGGGACCGTTGTAGATGTTTTGATGCACATGAACCATCTGTACTGGGACGGAATCAGTGTGCGGATGTTCGCTGGAGATCTGCTCCGAAGTTTGAGTCAGAACCTAGGCGTAGAACAGAAACCATCACAATATCAGTGGGGAGAAGAAATCGCGAACCTTGGTGTGCCGGTCTTGGACGCCTTGGATATTGACATAGGTTCTTTGGGTGACGACTTCAATACTGCTCGCGACGAGTACATCCAGGCTCTGCTTGAAATTGAAGTAAGTCACTCATTCTGTCCTGCAACTTCCGATCTAACATAAGCAACGTACGGTTTAGCTGGGGCCTCCGATGCAGAGCCAAAACGGGAACACCTCGCACCATATTCCACACCTTCACTGTCCCCGAGAGTGAAACCATGATCCGCGCCGTCAAATCTCGTCTCGGTCCCAAGTATACGATTTCACATCTGGGTCATGCAGCCACTGTTCTGGCGCTGCTTAAAGCCAATCCACCTTCCAACGATATTCCGGACAGCCAATCCTTGATCATGCCGATTCCCGTCAATGGCCGTCGGTGGCTGAGAGATGACCACGCGCGCGATTATTATGGCATGTGTCAGACTGGTGCGGTAATAAAAATCAAGAATATCAAGTTCTTCATGGTCGATGGCAACGATAGAGATGCGGTTGTGGAGGCGCTCGAAAGGGGATGCAAACTTGTCAAGGAGGCGTATGATCATTGGATGAGCAAACCGTTCCTATTGGCGCTGGGGATCTCGAAAGATAATTTCATTGCGTCATACCTAACTTCGTGGGTTTTCGTCGTGCAGCCTATTGGTTGGGAGCGAAAAGCTGATGTTGGCCAGCCCCAAGGAATCAGTGCCGTTCGGTGGGATGGCTCATGCGGTACATTTCTCTCCTGCCTCTCTTCAGGTCGGAATCACTGTTTTACTGACACCAAGTCTTGATAGATCTTCGTCAGTGACGGAATGAATGACCGATTCATTCCTGGGGATGTTACGAGCGCGGCTACAGGAGAGAAGCTCATGTCTGTAGAGAATGTTTCTTTCTTCCTGAATAAGTATTTGCCGTCCATGTGAGTCTGAACTTCCATGAGTGGCGCTCTACAATCACTCGTCATTGCTTGATCTTCATATCTGTCACTGACCAGCGATAGGTCATTCCGACTTGACAGTTGGAAAGGCGCTTCTACATTGTCTCTTTGCTATAATGACGGGAGCTATACGGCCGAGGAAGCCACGACCTGGCTACAATATTTAGCGACTTACATGTTGGCTTTTGCACAATAGACTCAGAAACTGTCTAGAAAATACTTCTCAGTATTTTGTCCCGATCCAGCGATGAGGATGAGTCGTCCACTTCAAGTACGACGATCCAATCCGCAGAGAGGCTTGGTTTCAGTGACCAGAAAAAACAATATGAGGAATACAAGGTGCCTGCAGATTATACACGTACTTGGCCTCAGAGGAGCCGCGGTTTCTTTCAAATCTTTGTAGAGCAATTGAAGAGGCGGGCAAAACCATCGATCACTTCCCAGCCTGTATAGACTGCTCAACCCCTGTGCAAGGGTGGTCAGAGGTTTACAGCCACTACTAACTAGCCGCAAAGAATGACGTTGGTCGGGAGATGTCAGAAATATATGTTATGTTGACGCGGGTCTAAATGGCCCCAGTCGTTTTAGTTATAGGCCCGGGTACTTCTAATGCCCTAATCAAGAACAGACTACCATTAATTAACTAACAATTCCTATATCTAAGATTCAGCCCTTCGGCCCCTCCCTTCCTCAGAACCACGGTTCAAAATCCAGAAGAGTCAGTATTTTACCAGCCAACAGTAAGCAAGCACCTCAGTAACGAGATAACCCGAGCACAGAATTCTAGGGTCACTGTAGACGGAATGTCTTCAGACAGCCATATTTAACAGAATTATTTGCAAACAGCCACATTCAGGGTCAGGGCTTGATATACTATTGCCCACTAATTTTGTATGGAGATTTACTGTGACGCGGTACGCCTGCGTCGATCACAGCAAATAGATAACAGTACAGTCATAATAGTATTACTGCAGTTTGCAAACTGTGGGAGGCTCATCGTCACTGCTCACGTATCTGACATCTAACATCTTTTTCACGTGAAAGACGAGTCACTCGGTCAGGAAATTCCTATTTTCTAGACCCAGGACATGCATAAATATCCTTGAGATGCTCTTTTGAGCTGCTCCCTAAGCTACCCTGAACGGCTCGGTATGTTGTAAATTTTGAATGTCTGCTTGAATGCTGATCTCGGAAAGAAACTGTCAGCCCTCTTTCAACCGGGCAATAGCTCGCAATGAGGCAGACTGCGGCCCGCCTTTCTCGTCAAATAACGCTCGAAGTGGAACGCAAATTCCGCTGCACTGTCGAGTCTGTCAACTTGCTACGAGCGAATGGGGGCGAGCCTCCGTTCCCAGAGCTGTCGTACCTTGGACGCAAGACCTTCAGTGATACGTACTTCGATAAGCACCAAAAGCTGTCCTCAACTGGCATCTATGTGCGAAAACGCGATGGCCGCTGGCAAGCGAAAGTACGTCAGAGCGGCGACTACCAAAACTCGACGTTCGAGGAGCTTGCTGGGAAGGATGAGATTGGCGATCTGGTAGCCCGATGCACCGGACAAGCATCCTCACACAGCGTTGACTTCGGGCTGTCACAGATGGCTCATTTTACCACGGTGCGGGATAGGTGGAGAGCCAACCGGAGGTTCGAAGTCGTGCTCGATTCTGCTAGTTTCGGGCATATGGTTGGTGAAGTTGAGCTGCAGAGCGTGGGTGAGGTCGATCCAGTGGCCAGCTCACGGGCATCAGACAGCATGCACGCCGAGATAGAAGCTTTCATGCAGAAATATTCTTGGGCCTTTCCACCCGGAAAGGCCGATGGGAAGTTGTCCGCTTACTTTGCGCACAAGTCCTCAACAGAGAGTATAACCTAAGCTGTTACAAACTACTTTGTTGTTGAATGGCAGCAGTCATTCGCTCATTGACCCACTCCTTCATTAGGTTGGACTAGGTATGCTCCACCTCAGCCTTACTATCATCATTCATTCCATAGATCTAAGCCCGAGCAGGCTGGTTCCGGAACCCTATACCAGTGTCTCAGTCTACCTACGGAGTACACTCCCACTCCCCATCAAGTTTGAGGCAGGTAGGAATGGCGCAGGCCATCCAACCGCAGCAAAGGCCAAAAAATATCTATATCGTTGGCGCGCAGTCCAGCGGCAAAACAACCTTGATTTCCGGTCTCGAAAAGTACTTTCACGATCATTCAAACACAACCTGGGGAGCCTCAACGGTAGGAACACCATTTGTGCTGGAAGAAGTCGCTCGCAAAGTTCCACTGGATTGCGGGTGCACGGGCAAGACGGTATCCGACTCCAAGTCTCGAGCGCTGCGACTGCAACGCCTGATATTGGAAACGCAGTTCGAATCCGAGGACGCCATCAAAGGTCTTTGGTCTATGCCCGACCAATCGGGGCTCGCTGGCGAAAGCGAGACGGAGCAGTTAATGGAGACGAAACAGTGCAGAGAGATGAAACATGCGCTACAGAACTCGTTGATCATCGTCTGCGAGCCGGTAGTGCCGTGGCTGAAGGGAGATGGATTGAGGCTCATGCCGAAAGACCGCTCGGCGAGGACCGAGCTTGTTTTGCGACTTTCTCAACCGCCTCGGCTTCAGATACGTGATCCTTCCCAAAGACCTGACCAATTAAGACATACGAGTGCATTTTGTTGTAACAAAATGGAAGGAAATGGATGATGGGTGAAGTTTCATAAATAACTCATTGAGTCAAAAGCGATCAAGTTCGAACAGCTATCTGGTGGTGATGGCTAATATGCTCCTCAGTCACCTTTTGGCTGGGGACAGCTAAACACGGTTGAGGCGGACATGAATCCTGATGTACCTAGAATTGTCGCTGATGTGGCCTTCGTGCACCGTCATGGTCACTTCCTGTTTAAGCATCAACCTTCTCGTACCGCTTTTGAGGCAGTCCGCTCGGACACCAACGCCAGAGGCAGCGTTGGACGTCCCGGAAACTAGTTAGAAATTGTGAAGTAGAAGGCAGTTGAGCTGTTAGGCCGAAAAAATCAACGTTACTGGTCTCAATATCATGACTTGCAACTTGATCTTAACCTTTCCTTTACCTGTCTCGAGCAGGATAACATGCTTGTTTTGCGCAAAGTGTGTATCAGAACCACGTTCCGTCAAGAAGCAGCAGCTGCTGACGAAAGAGGAGCTTTTGATAGTAGGTCTTCCAGGCCATACAACGTAGATTTACTACTCATTTGAACAATAAATGCGTTCGTAGTCCCCCTGGAAGGATGCGGCTAATGCTGGAGAGGAAGTGGGGATGGAGTCCATGGTAGTTCAAATTGGGAACAACTTACTTTGTATGGTGTTTGCATAGAAAGAAAGTACCAAGGTCTAAGGTACCGAGAGCGGCAACAGCTGTTTTAACCAGGCACTCGAGCGGGGATCCATGATCAATGGCGTATCCCTAAAGATCCCATCATCTATAGCACTTCGGTGATGGGGTGAAATTGGCTTTTGGATTCGAGTTCTCTTTTGTCAATCTAGCTAATGAAATCGCTTCGACTTTTCCGCTGCTCTCCCTGAACCCCTAGTCTATTTATCATGGAGGAGAAGACGTTGCTGCACATCAAACTAGAAGAGCTGGCAGGACGCATGCTCGACAAAACTGGATGAAAAGGAGAAAGGCAGGTGGCAGCAGCTTCAATAAGACAGATCACCGAGTGGCCATTGCCTTGGTCATCAATCTCTTCAGAGCCAATTCCTTCTTTTTCAGGTCCTCAGGCGTGGAATCCTCGACCTCAAGCTGGGCCATGGCATCACTCAGAGCAGTCTCGATCTTCTCTTTGTTGCCGCGCTTCATCTTCATCGACATACCTGGGTCGGAGATCATGTCTTCAACACGGCTAACATAAGACTCCAGCTGCTGCTTAGCCTCGAATTTCTTGGTGAATGCTTCATCGCTGGTCTTGAACTTTGCGGCATCAGTAATCATGTCTTCGATTTCGGATGAAGACAGTTTCCCGACTGCATTGGAGATAGTGATATTGGCACTTCGACCAGATGACTTTTCTGTTGCTGTGACCTTTAAGATACCATTGACGTCCACCTCGAAGACAACTTCTAGAGCAGCATCTCCAGCCTTCATTGGTGGAATGGGAGCCAGAGTGAATTCTCCAAGAGATGTGTTGTCTTCACAATTGGTACGCTCGCCTTGAAAGACGGGAAACTGGACAGTCTGCTGGTTGTCGACAACAGTGGTGAACGTTCTATCAAGGGATTAGTCAGTAGCTGCTCGCGATAGCTGGTATGTTGGGGAGGGAAACAACGATATGAAAGCAGTAGCTGCTCGCGATGGTTGGTATGTTGGGAAAGGAACCAAAGATATGAAATGAACTTCACCTTTTTCGAATTGTTGGTACGGTCTGTCCGCGGGGGACAACAGGAGCGAAGATGTTTCCCTCCATAGCGACACCAAGGGACAAAGGAACAACATCGAGAAGCAACAGATCTGCGGTTTCTGCAGATGTGGCCTTGCCAGACAAAATGCCGGCTTGAACAGCTGCTCCATAGGCAACGGCCTCGTCAGGGTTGATACTCTGTGCAATGGATCAGCTAGGTAACATGCGCAGAGCAAAATGTAATAACCTTCTCGAGCTTCTTGCCATCAAAGAAGTCGCTCAATAGTTTCTGGATACGAGGGATACGAGTAGAGCCACCAACAAGCACAATCTCATCGACCTTTGACTTATCGAGACCTGCATCCTTCAGGACTTGCTGCACTGGATCTAAGGTCCCGGAGAAAGCTTTCGCGTTCAGGTCCTCAAACCTGGCACGAGTGATCTGAGCATTGAAGTCTTCACCCTCGAACAGAGAATCGATCTCAACAGTGGTCTGAGTCCCGTTCGACAGAGTTCTCTTAGCTCGCTCACAAGCTGTTCGAAGTCTTCGCAATGCTCGCGGGTCGCCGGATAGATCCTTCTTCGTCTTGCGGTTGAATTCCTTTTTGAAATGTTCCAGCAGGTTCGTGTCAAAGTCCTGTCCTCCTAGATGTGTATCACCAGCAGTAGCCTTGACAGTAAAGACACCACCTTGAATGTTTAGCAACGACACATCGAATGTGCCTCCACCCAAGTCGTAGATCAGTACGTTTCGCTCTTTGTCAGACTTGCCAGATCCAAGACCATATGCGATAGCGGCAGCAGTGGGTTCGTTGATGATGCGCAACACGTTGAGACCAGCGATAGCACCAGCATCTTTGGTGGCCTGTCTTTGATTGTCGTTGAAATATGCAGGGACCGTGACGACAGCCTTAGCGACTTTCTTTCCCAACTTGGTCTCGGCGACTTCTTTCATCTAAGGGCACGTATCAGTATATATCAGGTAAAGGCATGTAGGGATGACGAACCTTCATCAGCACCATTGAAGAGATTTCTTGTGGAGAAAAGGTCTTGTTCTCGCCTAAGTATTCTACCTCCACCATAGGGTTGCCGCCTTGATCAATGACCTTGAACGGCCATGATTCGATATCTTTTTTGACAGTCTGATCATCAAACCTTCTACCAATTAAGCGCCTTACTCAAAGTTAGTAATTTCGAGCTATGGCTGGACAGTTTCCTCGATCTTACTTGATGTCAAAGACAGTGTTCTTCGGGTTCATGGCAGCCTGATTCTTTGCTGCTTCTCCAATGAGGCGCTCTTGGTCCGTAAAAGACACGAATGAAGGTGTGGTGAAGCTGCCCTGCTCATTTGCGACTATTGAAAGATCTTAGCAAATGTGCTTTTTCAAGAGAAGTTTGTCATATTGCGCGAGGCATGTAGAGGGGCGCAACGTACTGATTTCGACATTGGTGCCTTCATAGTTAGCAACACAAGAGTATGTTGTTCCTGATTGTAAGGTCAATGCACAGTCGGTTGGTGCGAGGCTATCAAATGAGGACGAACCGAGATCGATGCCAATGGCACCTTCATAGACTTCTTCGGCCATGTCAGCCTGTCGTACTCGAGAACGCTAGCAGGAGAAGTATTGAATGTAGGCAGAGGTTAAGGGTTGTAAGGGTTGTGAGGTATGCTTCGGAAAGCCTGGCTAACAGTATGAATTGGAAAAAGTTCCGACCTGGCTTGCGAACTTTTTGAAAAGCCCCACAATTTTTGCGGAAAAATTAAAGTTTGGCTCAGATCAGCTTGCCCAGCAGTGGACCGCAGCGGAGCCGCTACACATATAATTGTTCCGAATTCACAAGTGTTCTGCACAGGGGTAGCACGGCTACATACACAACGAAGAATGTTCTAATTGTGGCCGGGTACAACATCACTACATCTACGCTATGCGAGTCACCATGTTATCAACTGACAATAGGAGGAGAAGTGAATGTTGCTTCATGTGTTCTCGTTGGCTTTGCTAGAAAATAGTCAAAAGACTCGCTGCTCGATGGATGAGAAGCGATTGCCTTGGAGAACAAAGACTAGCTTTTAGCTATTCCGGGCTGAGACGTGTGTTCGTTACTGCAAAAGAAACATGCCTTTACTGGAGAGCATGAGCCAGCACGGGACTTGCTTCAGTTTTGAAAATGAAGAAGCACGTGGTTACACCACAAGAAGCCGACGGTGACGTGCTTAGCAGGAAGAGGTTGATTGATTCATTTGTCCATCCATTCATTTTATAAACCCGTTTCGGCACCCGTAAGGGGTTAAGATCGGCGAGGCCAGTAAGGAAGAGGCTCTCATAAAATCATGCTAAAAGAGCCATCAGGGTGCGCTTAGATTACTCTAACCATAAGATTGCTTAGAGTGTACAAGGATAGATAGCTTAGTCGTCTGTCATCTGATGAAATCCTCAGACTTATAATGTATTTTGCTTAAAACATTAATGTGGTCCGTCTTTGACAAAATAGTTGCCATTTCTATAACAGCACTTAATCCATATCTTTAACTAGCCCTTCTCCTGGTGCATCGGTGACAAAGTCAGGCACACTGGCCATCACCCATAATAGTACACCCAGTTGCTTGCGCATAACATCTCCGTGTAAAGAATACTATGACTCCATGCCTCATATGCTAGATCTCTTGTGCTAGAAAGTTGACTGTAAGGACGAATCGCTCGAAGTCATGTCTCTCCTGGGGCCATTCCGGTGCTGGTTCTCCTTTCTTGTTTATCGTAGCTAAAAAATCGGCGCAGATCGTGTTGACTCCAGGGAGAAGTCTGAAGTGGAAGGTATAGACACCACGCACGGTTGGTTGTGTGGGATAGAGGATTGCTAGGTCTCTGCTCAAAACCGGTCGCCACTGTGCACGACCGAGACACTCTTGGCTGAGATGAAGAGTCATCTGCAACCATGGATGCGATGGGGGCAGATGGATTACCATCCCGTGCTGGGTTTGTGTTTTCTCGGGAAAGTATGTCATTTTCCATGGGTGAGGATGTTCAAGCTCCGGGTCTGTTTCGGCTTCAATGTGCGTGTACAGAGCATCCTCGATACCTGTGAGATTGTCAGCTTACAAACTAGAAATCCGATGATGGAAAGTCTACCCTTTCGTGGATCTCTCATGACCCGATCGAAGGCGGTCTCGACTAGGTAAGCTGGTGTGGCAGTTGGAGGGCGTGGAACTTGGGCGGGCTGAGACTGCTGAGGGATACTAGCTGGTGGTTGCATCGATGCTGTCGAGGTCACATCCTGACTCAATTTCTGATTGCCAACTGGCTGAGCGGGCTGGTCACTGTCTGGACGTGCATCTGCCATGCTGCTGTCTTGCGCCAGACTTCCCTTGTCTTCAGCGCCACCTGTGGAAGCGACAGATGCACTTCGTTTCAAGCCGGCTTCGACTTTGCCTACAGGTGTAGCGCTGACACGTGGTGATTCTCTACGGCTAGAAGGACGCTGAGCCATGCGAACTGGTGTCTCACCCGAGCCAAAGACCTGGCCTCGAGAAGCAGCCCGTACATGCTCATCCTGCCGACGTCGAGCTTCTTCGTCAACAGTGATACCAGGTTGTGTAGTATCTTTGTTAAGGTTAGTGAATTTGATGCGTGGCGTTGGTTGTTGCGACGGATTCTTGGGTGGATTGAGGATGAGCTTCTTGGGTGGCATAATATCTCGTGCACCGTCAATACCTGACAGTCGATTCAAGAACCAGTCCTACATCATTAGCAATTTAGGTGGAGAATACAACAGACTGGAAAGCATACCCGCAACTTATTTGCATTCTCATGGATGAAGGAGCCTTCTTCGTTGTAGGTTCTGGCGTTTTCCCACAGATACTCAACCTCTGTAATGAAAGACTCCCAGGTTGGAAATTTGTTGCTCGAGACCGCCTTCTGGATGTCTTTCAAAGCCGTTGGATGCGAGATCTGTTTGTAGTAGTCGGGATAGTCTCGCTTGGAAGGCTTTTCGTAGAACTCAAGTGTGATCTCGGTGTCCGCATCACTGTAGGAGGTAAGCTTTTACAGGCTACAAACAGACATAAACACTTCTGGCAACACACGTTGGATCTCGAAGCTCGATCATTTCTTCCACAATTTTGAGCTGCTCTTGTTGCATGCTTTCCATTCCTGCCGAAGGGGTTTCGTCCTTTACACCATTTGCGCTCTTCCGGCTTGCCGAACCATTCACTCTTAATTTGATCGTCGGGGCTACAAGTGCATCCACGGGGGTTGCAGCTTCACTGACATGGCCTTTATCTTCAATGTCGTCCGGAATCGGCGTCGGCACTGCACGGTACTCCTGATCCTTGTACGCTGGGTTGTGCTTCGGCATGAAGTTCGATAATGCTTTACGAATCCTCTCCGCATCCTCATAGATCTTTGAGCTTGTGGTGTTGAACTCTTTGGCATTTTGTACCATACGCTTGAGGTCCGACTCGAGTGCTGTCATATTCTCATATTGAAGAGCATTCAATTTGTCCTGCGCAAGCTTATCAGCTACTATCATATATCCTCCTCACTTCCATACCACACAGGAAAGGACTATTCCCGCCCGGCGCTGGCGTTGGCACATACCTCGATTTCCTGGAATGAGAGAGGAAGCTTGACCTGTCGGTAATACTCTGTATTGGTCTGTCATAGGTATTAGTTACAGCAATTTTTTGTTTCTCGTCATCAGTGGTTCGTGCCATATACACATACCCTAGGTGGCAGTTGGAGGAACTCGGTTGCAACGATTCGACCTCTGCAAAGCGTTAGTAGATAGCATAGAGATTCGCAGCAACGATGGGTGTGCTGCATAGCTGTGAGCAGCTTGAATGATACTACATACGTCTTGTCTTTCGAACTCTTGAGAGACTCGAGCAATTTCAACCCGGTTGCAGTTGTGCCTTCAGCAGTTTCATTTCCAGATGGCCAGCGATTATCCTCCTGCGGATTCCATTCACATTAGCCAGGTCTTGGTCGCAAAAGCACTGGCTTGCAACTGCACGGGCTGCAGAGGCCGAAGGGGGATAGTGGTCGCTCTCTCGAGCCGCTCTGGCACTGCGCAATCCCTATGCATAAGTGCAGCAGCTGATTCTTCGGCACACAGCAGCAGGGCTATCCACTGCTGCATATTGGCTATCATGGCGACAAGCGACCATGATGGGTGGTGCGACCGTGACGCCCCGGCAAGATGGCGGATATAGTGACGATGAGGGTGTGCAGGAGGTAAACTTACGATCACTCGACGCTTCTTGGGCGCTGGGGTAGCCATGTCGGAGCTGGCCCTCCGCTTGACACTCATCAATAATGCGTCCGAAGTTCGACCAGGACAATGCTCTCTGAACTGCGCGGGGGTGATTTTATTGAAGACTTGAAGCAGATCTTTCAGAATCGCAGGATATCAGTCTCCACAGCTTCAACAAAAGATTCAGCAGTATTACTGACCTGGTTCAAGACCGTGCACATACTCTTCATGCTCATACGCGTTTTGGGTAGCTTCAAAGGGTATGCCAATATGGGTTGATGGGTGTGGCAATAATTGCGTGGCAAGACGTGGGTGAGGGTGCCTCTGACAGCAGATTGGTGGGGGCGGCCCTTAGCTGGCCTGGCTTGGCTTACCCAGGGCTGTTTGTGCTGTGGAAGAAGTGCGTGTTTACATTCACTCGTTTACTGCCCCGACTTGGACTTGTTCGGACGACTCCAGAAGGACTCCAGCAGGACTCCAGCAGAGGCTGTTATTTCGCATGCCTGTGTCCACTAAACATTGTTGTTGTCTACTCACGTCAATTGATAAGCTGCTCTTTCTCTCAGGCTGAAAGCTGTGCTCCTACCACATCTGGCTTTGCCTGAAACTCGTCTTGCTCTCACACGACCATACGCGGCATCTGCTGTCTATCAGATCTTGGTAAACACTTCACTCATTCACAACTTATAGCTGTCTACAAGCTTGTCTGGTGTTTATACCTCCAACAGCCGGAGCCTGGATATTCTCGGCGCTAACCTAAGTCACAAACATTCACTGCACGCGACACCGCAGCCTGGACCTTGTCCTTTACACTACATCGCAACTTCTACACACAAATCTCTTTTCTACTCCTCACATACTCACCGACAAACGACTTGAGCCACCACCATGTCTCTACCGGATCTCGATCACTCGAGACGTAACCCGAAGCCAAGGTTGTTACTAGAACAAGAGCGCGTACGTTTGGATGAGTACATCGAGTCGATCGGCTACTCCGCGAGGTGAGACACATTCAAACCTACAATTTTGAGAGCAAATCCTGACTGGCTCAGATACTCTGACAACTACTACGAATACCGACATGTTCAGCTCCCAAAGGCTATGCTCAAGGCTATTCCCCGTGACTACTTCGACCCGTCCAAAGGTACACTGAAACTGTTGTGGGAGGAAGAATGGAGAGGACTAGGAATCACACAGGTATAGAGCCCTGATTTTCGCTGGTAGGCAAAAAAGCTGACCACCAAATCTAGAGTCTGGGTTGGGAGCACTATGAGGTCCACGAGCCGGAGCCACACATTCTGCTGTTCAAGTACGAATCCCGTTACTTTGTGGGTATAGTACCTTACTAATCTAGAATCCAGGCGACCGATCAACTATCAACCATCAGCTCAACAGTAGTGATTCTTTCGGCGATGATGCATGATGCATGATGGATACGGCGCATTTTGACTTTGGCGGCTCACAGTGAGTCTTGGAGTGCTATCATACCCAGCCAGCGAGTAGCGAGTAGCGAGCAGCAACCAGCAACCAGCAAAGCTCAGGACTCAGAAGTTCTCGAGCAAACAAAGACCTTGCTTTTGATTCAGACCAGCTTCCCAACTCCACCCCACATGCAATGGTATTGGATCCTCTCACAACCCTTCCCTCCCCTCCGGTCCAATCCCTAATTATCACGTAACATTCCTCTCCAACCACTCCTCCCACTGCCCAACCGTCCAACTACTACCAATCGTCCTCTCCTCCACCCCATCAAAGAAAACCGTAGGACTCACATGCACCCCCACCACCCTCGCACTCTTAACCACCCATTTCAGATCCGCAGTAACCTTATTCCCATCATTCAACCCGGCGCCTCCGCCCCCTCCCTCCGCAATCCTCAACAAGCCCATCATCTCCTCGCCATCCACCCCAACCCTCTCCTCCGCAAGCCCCCGAAAAACTCCGTCTGCCGCTCAAACAGCGCGGCGGAGTAGTGCCAGAACTCGGTGGGTGCGAGGCGGAGGACCGCGAGGGCGGCTTCGTGGCAGAGCGTCGAGGACGGGTGCCAGGGCTGGATCTGCTGGCGGAAGATGACGCGCAGTGTGCTGGGGTATTTTTGCGTGACGAGGCTGGTGATGGCCGGGTGGAGGGTCTGGAAGAGTTTGCGCGAGTAGGGACAGGTGTAGTCGAGGTCTGTTGCGCTACGCTGTTAGGGATCTTGGGTGATTTGATAGGGAGGGATTTTGGGGGGATGGGGGGGTACATATTTCGAGGGTGTGAGGGACTTGTGACTGGGTGGAGGCGGGGAGGAGTTGGCCTGCGAACTGGGGTGGGAGGGCCATTGAGGTGAGTGGAGGGTGAGGTTTGGAAAAGATGTGTTCCCAGCGGTGAAGATGGGTCGATAATGCTCACATGAGATCATGAGATTGGTGGGGTGGTGGTCACCCGTCTACTGATCTTGATCGCTGCGGGCCCGCGGCCCGAAATTTAGAGTGGCAGATCTTCATGGACCATATCAATACACATGCCAGGCGTACGCCCGTTTAATACATCTAATTCTCTAATTCTCTAATTCTCTGCACGACCCTCCTCCAGCACCCTGTTCTTATCTCCTTCCTTCTCCTTCTCCTTCTCCATCATCTGCATCCCCACCTCCACCGTGCCCCTCCGCATCTTTTCACCCTGACGCCCCTCTTCAACCACGAACCAGCAGCTCCCCACTACGGTTCCTAGTACCCCTATCCACATCCGCCAAGTCCAAATATCGTCTTTACCATTAACGACCACATCCAACACCAAGACGAGGACCTGTTTCACATTCCCTGCGATGGTGATCCCCAGCGCCCCGACTCTCCGATTTGCCTCAAAAGATGCGATGTTGAGGCCAAGAGCTACTAGACCATTAAGTGTAATAAAGATGGCAAAACTTGCATTCATGGTAAATTTCTCATTTTCTCCGGTTGTAGTGTCCAGGCGAGAGGCGGAGGAGGGTGAGGAAGGGAGATGACGGAGTTCTCCAGCAATCCAGGCATAAAGAATAGACTGCAGGAATGCAAGTGGGGAAATGTAGTGAAGGAGTTGCATGGCGCTCAGGTTAAGGCCTTTCCCGCCTTCGCCTTCGCCCGGAGGCGACTTGCATTTCTGTAATGCAGCCGCAGCAATAGGCTTGCATGATGCTAGCAATGCACCCAGAAGGGTGAGGAGGATGCCAGATACATTGCCTGGAGTTGACGACATGTGGGTGCTCTGGCTAGGAGTGGTTGTTGCGAGGGCCACACCAAAGACGACAAGGATCAAGGATGCATAGGAAGACCATGTGTATTGCCTCCGGCAGAAGACACGAAGGATAAGAGCCGTGATTGCTGGGCTGATTGCGCGGAGGAGCTGGTGTACAGAGAGGGACGTGAGACGCCTATTCAAGAAAATTTAGCCAGTTATCATCACACGAGATGATTCATGTTAGACATATGCGGAGAACAATGTGGTGCAAGAGGTCAAAATGAGGATCGAGATGGTTGGTGGAGGTGTGAGGACTAACAAGGAGACATTGCTGATCCCAATATTCACGCTGTAGAGAATGGAGAAGAGCACAAGGTTGACAGAGTCAACAAGCCGAATATTCTGCATCCTGATACCGCTGCTGCTTTTACGAAGAATGACAGCACATCCAAGCCATGAAGCACCTGCATGTAGTGCTGTGAGCAGGTATGGGAATTTCACCTTGGAAATAAGTCAGCAATGTCCCGTGGATGGTATCAGGGACGCAGGGGTTTTCGGTAACCAACCTTCTCCAGTAGCAATTTGTTGAGCAGCGTAAGCGCAAGGTTGAAGCTGAAGTAGAAGAGAAGCGATACTGCTGATCCTGTCTGAACATACTTTCCCATGTTGACGCCGACGGCATGGATGGCCATCGCAAGCTGCATGCAAGACATCCAGTAAGAGGTGGTATTGTACAAGGGCAAGGGCCGAAGTGGAAAGCAGAGGAGTGGTAAAAAGATGTGAACGACAATTAGTCTTATCGGAGCTGTAGCACGATGCTAATACCCAAAGAAGATGTATTTGCTGCACAGGAAGAGAAACTGGCATGGCAGAGAAAAAGATTGCTTGGCAGTAGTTGTTGGAGCGTTTGTCAGTCTTCAATCGTAAATCCATGCGCAATGCGGCCTACGGCCTATCCAGATTCTTTCATGGGATCGTTGTGGATGTGTGCTCGCACAATCGTCCAGCCAACCTTCCATTGATGCAGATGCCCCATGTAAATGCAGACTCCCCATGCCGCATTCCTTATTACCTAGACGCCATCGCTAACTCTGTCAACATAGGGGCTCCTCATAACGATTATTTGCCTGCTCCAGGAGATGAAGCTCCTCCGCACAGCAGTTCGAATGTCGCTGTTTATGCTGAGGGGCAACTCACTTACACTCTTTGGGGAGGACGGTGCCGAACCACAACAAGACTGTACTAGGCTTCCACTGTTCCTTCACTGTCATACCGTGATTCCTTGAGCACCACCAAAGCATTCTGAAAGCAAGATGCCCCTTTTAAAGCTATTCGAACCATCTGGCTCCCTGCCATACAGATGAAATCCTGGTTTTCAACCCTTCGGACCATTTTCGAGCTGCGGCTTTTCAGACTTGGGTTTTCCAAGTGGACGTTGGGTATTTAGCCAGATCCCAGTGGTCGACGCCAAAACATGTACGAAAGCATTTTCTTTAGGCAGATACACTGCGTAGACAGACATCTTACACCGACCTTTTGGTCCCTTGATGCCAATTTCACCCCTCAGGTAGCAGGCTCCTCGTGGAATGTCGAGTTGCGTGCTGCGCCATTTTCTTAAGAAGTTAAGCTTGAAATCTCTGGCTGCAGCAGAAATGGCTGAGTTCGGCTCTGCTTCTGGCATAATGTTGCGGATAAGCTCGGCCTGCACACGTGGTGTTGCAGCCAAGGAGAGATTCTGATGTGTGCTTGTGCGCGTTTGAGTACTTAGCATTGATGCACTTTTGGATCCATTTGAGCCAACTGTAGGTTGGGAAGAACCTTCGACAGGCTTTGCTATAGGCTCCTGTTGATCTGATTTGCCTGCCTTTGACCAGAGACTTCGCGAAGTACTAAAATAAGATGTCAAGAGTGTCGAGCTCAGTGCTTGCAACGACGAAAGCAATGCTGTGGGAAATAGAACGCTATAGAGCCTTTTAGCCCGTCGCTCATTGACCCTTCTGCTCACCCATGTGACCTTGTCATTCGTCCAAAGTATTCCCGAGCGTTCATACTCGACCGGTGCTGTTGATGGGAAGTCAAAGTCCAGCCAGGTTGCATAGACGGTCAACGGTCGGCCGAGGAGGCGGGTGATCACAGCGCGATTATTTAGATCGCTACAGACACTCGCAGTCAACCCAGATTTGACTGCCTTCACTCGCTTCAAATCTTTTGACAGTTTTACAAATTCCTGCCATTCTGGATCGTCGCCAGAGTAATATTCCTTTTCACATTTTCTCAACCATGTCATCGGTACAAATATACCACCTTGCGGCCGATCCGCCCTTTCCATTGAATCCACCCCCGATGTTGCCTCCTTCGATCGACGATTGAGCTCCTCGAGTCGCCGATGCTCCTTATGCCAGGATTCCCCATATTCCCTATCGTGCAATTTCTTGTGTTCTTGAACCATCTTTCGAACCTCGGCAGGGAGAATGCGCTCCGGTAAAGGAATACATGAGCCAAGTGCTAGAGCCGAAGTCAGAAGCATGAAGGTACTGATCCTGATGGAGTAAGCCTTGGTGAGTCATGAGAAGAAAATAGAGCGTATACCTGTTCTTCGAGGTGAGCTTCACCCTTTGCAAATGGAGGAGCCCATTGTGCGCTGGTAGACGAGATCGTTCCAGGATACCGGCCATGATTTCAAAGGGAACATATCAAGAACTTAAGAAACAAGGACAAATTTATAGCAATGTGGATGTGATGTCAATGCCAGATAATATTGTTATTATCTTGCAGCACTGCAGTCGCAAGGAAGTGAGATTCAAAGAGGATTTTCGAGGATGGCAAAACATTCTATGAATGACGGATGCACTGATTGAAGAGGGTACTTCACATGGAGGATAGGAGCATAGTCTTGTAGGCAAGATGAAAGCAAGACCAATGACAGCCCTATTGTATACACGATACTAAGGGGTACGAGTAGGGTAGTCTACCGTAGGAATTGGAGATGCAAATCCCCAGCGGAGCTTTCCGCACAGGTGGGGGCTCTGATTACTTGTGTAACTACGGAGTATGTACAATGAAGTGTGACCTCGGGTACTGCCGCTTTTGCCGGTCCATTACTACGTAGTACATAGTACTCGAGTAGCAGCAGAAGAAAGATGCATCAACCATTCTGCCAAAAAGGACAGCGCTAACGAGTGTCGAACCAGACTTGATTGATGTATCTCCTGACAGCAGCAAGTGGCTCTTACCTTTAGCCGGCCATTCATTCATACTCCCATTTTCACGTTAACACTATCGACCTCAATGCTTGTAGCTCTGCACGCCACACTCCTGAGAGGAATCTTTGTTCTTTGTGAAAGCATGCTTGGTGTAGCGATAGTGGCTCTCCTACCCTGAAGGACTTTTATATGTTGGATGCTCCTGTGTTTGTGCAAGCATTCAAGACCTCGAGCCTGATAAATGTCTCATGCAATCTTTTGAATACCCTGTGCTTCTCATGCGTATCGTTCCATTCCAAATTGGGGCGTCTCGACTTTGAACCGGCAGGACAGCATATAAGAATCCACATCTAGGTGAGTATTTCCAGAAGTTAAAATACTCCGGCGCGAGGGCTGAAAACACCACTTCTGCGGCAACAGCGTCCTCCTCTAACCTACGATATCATCCGGGAACGGAGTTCGGGGCAGATGTTGGTTTGGCCGCCAGCGGCGTACTTCCTCTTTGACCCCACATACGGATTCGTCTTCTGCTGCTGATTCAATAATAAGCAATCTGTTTCCCAACAGGTTTCCGCGGTACTAAGTCTCTGTCTGCGCAGACCTCCGAGTTTGCCCAATCTGCGATAGAAGTTAGCACGGCACACTTTGAGTTCCTTGCGAGAAGTTAAATGCGTCTACCTACATCACACCAGCCAGAGAGCCATAGTCGCGAGCAAGCCTGCCGCTACCTCTGCCTCTGTCTTTGATCCGCCAAGTAATCCGATGTACCAGCCCAATATTGCACTGCTGACCAGACTCCAGGCGACTGCTATGGCAAAGTAGTTCTTAGGGGGAAATGGTGCGAAGGATTGCGTGCTTCCATTCAGAACAACCCCAAAGAACACCACCAGCACAATAGGTACAAAAATGACCACAGCGTTCCAAATGAGGATGCGAGAAAGAATCGGCTTTGCAACGCCATTTTTATCATATTCGGCGGCACCAGGCTGTCGTTCGAACAGGGTCATTGGACGACGCTGGTATGCGTCACCCAGGAAGCACTCTTTACCGCTGCTTTCCTTCCGTGTGGCGACAAATTCTGGTTCACAATCAGCACATTTCGCACCTCAGATAACGGTCTAAATGAGATTGGCGCCAGACATACTCTCAGCTTCGCAGATTCATAGTCCTGGGTCAAGGGACCTTCATCCGCTTCTTTCAACCCTTCCAGCATAAGCCAGCTTTCCGCAGCCTTGGGATCCTTATTTAGGGGAGTTTTGCTCAGCATGAAATGCTACCCCTCGACTCTGGCCACCACGACTTGGCATTCCTGACGCAAGATGTCCCCGAATTTAGAAAGTCAATGTCTCTGTGGTACTGTGGTAAGTCTGAGTCGATACTCCGTACTTTCACTCGTCTTCAGGAATCTTTAAGTGGTTTCCAAGCAGCGGTAATGCACACGCAGCCAATTGGACGTTGGGAAACATTACTCGTACTTTTCATCAGCGTGTATCTCGTTCGCTGACTCGACAAGCATTGACAACTGCAGCAGTCTGATCGGGGAGTGTAAAATGGTTGCGAGCTGGATCAGAAGTGTGCGGTAGTTCAACCAGTTTCTATTGCACACACTATAATGCCTACTTTAGTGGACAGATACACGATCATCATGCGGCCATGGCAGCCACTGTGGCCAACAATCCCCACACTTCTGGCCAACTGCAGTTGGGCTTATTGGTCGGGATGGGAGGTGGTGTGCCTGATGCGGAGGGTAGCGTTGACATCTGACAGGAAGACGTGATGGCAAATCAATCAAAGAATGCTAGTGTGGTGTGATGATATAGATAAGGGGTTATGTGCTCGAGCCACCGAGAATACATTCCTCCTATTGGGTTTGCGTCTTGGCCTCTGTATCGTGGTGATATATATTGACGTTAACTTTGTTTATTTGTCTCAAATACCACACTTGATTGCCCGACACTACCTACTAATATGACACTAATGAAATATGTGCTAGCCGAGTTTAAGGGCCCCAGAATTCTTGACTTCTCCAAAAGAATGCATCAGAAGTCGATTTATTTCTCAGCCTCTTGATCTCATTCTCATTCTGTGAGATTCTAGATAGTGGATTGAACCGCCGGAGTCATACTGGTTTACATATCCTTTTACCTTTACTTCCTGAGAAATGACTCAACACGCTTGCCTAGACTGACGTCTAAGCTCCCCAATATCTCGCTTATCGTCATGGTCCACGAAACGTTGGCGGCCAAGCAGGATACCAGATATGAAGCTGTTGACCTGTTTGAGTGACGTTTGATAATGCGTTTCGCATGGGTTTCGCAAGTATTTTTGGTATATGCGTTGCGCGTTAGCAGCATCTGTACGTATAAATACGCACTCTGCGCACTGATTTAGATAGAACAACTTGCTTTTTTTTTGAGTTAGTAAGCAGCTTAGCCACAAGCACGTCTGAGGAACTGAGGCAAGCTTTTTTTCACACTGATCCGTTGATCAGTCAGCACAGTTCAACACAAATTTTCGAGCTCTCTAAATCAAACGTGGCACATCATCTTCCCACAAGTACCACTGGTGCCATTAGGACATGGTACTCTCGGATCATCTTGCGCTCCGGCAAGGGATGTTCTCCACTGCCAGGAAAAAATCGTGAGACCACAGTATTCCATGGCTGGCGGTTTGGAGCGTTGTTCTCTTGCGTCCTAGTCGGGATTTGCCTGACTCTCAACGTGGTCGCAACGATTTATCTGCGAAAAAATTATCCTCCTGGCATTAATAACCTTGGTGTTCTGATAGAAGGAGACTGTAAGAAAGTTCGCAGTTATGACAGCAAGTTACATTATGCCATCAACGTTATTGCAACTGTTTTAGTCGGCGCAAGCAATTATAACATGCAATGTCTAACAGCACCAACACGCCGTGAAATCGACAAAGCCCATGCGAAGAGTATCTGGCTCGAGATAGGAGTCCATTCAGTCCGCAACCTTCTACACGTATCGCCCGGCAAGGCTGTATTGTGGCTGGCTCTTCTTGTCAGCACATTCCCCTTACATCTGCTCTGGAACTCTGCGGTCTTTACCACAACGAATTTCAACGACTACAGCGGTCTGGTGGTCACCAACGATTTCTTAGTCAGTAACAGCAGTCTTGGAATTGACTGCTCAGAGCAAGCTATGGACGAGTATATCCAGAATGACCGGTCAAGCTATGTGGTCTGCTGGCTACACCAGCACGTACAGCAGAACAGCACAAGCATGATTAAAATGACTCCCGAGCAATGTATGACTGCGTACGCGACTGGAATTGAAGCCAGCAACTTCAATTTCCTTGCCGTGACTAAAGATGCAACAATCAAAGAGCAATCCAAGCAGTTTCGCCCGGGCAACGCTACCTTACCAGTTGTGGCCTACTTCAACACGCTTAACTATACTGACCTGGTAGATAGTTGGTGCAGGGGCCTCTGTCACAATTGGGGTAACAACCCGTAAAATACGAGGTATTGTTTTGATGGGGACTCGAATGCTTTGTCCACACCATTCTCTTGTCGATACCATATAGTCAATGGGACTGGTTTTACACCAAAAGCATTCACTCAGATAACATATTGGATGTGCGATACTGATGCCATACTATATAATGAATGTGATACTTCTGCAGCACTGAAGAACGCCTCGGATTGGACCATCCTGCCAGAGAAATATCAGATCGACCACTGTCTGGCTACCAGCGCAGGACACTCGTGCCAACTTCAGTAGAGCCGGCTCATACTCACTGTGGCTATCGCATGTAACGCCGTCAAATTCGGTTCGATATTTCTGTACCTCTTCTTCTACCGTGAGCCCATTCTGGCAACTATTGGTGATGGTGCGGCATCCTTTCTGTGCACTTCTGATTGGACATCGAAGGGCAAGTGCCTGGCAGCAAAGTTCACCTCAAAGCGGGAGGGCTGTATGCTGTCCGACCGAGACATTGAACTCCATTCCGATCGACCAAATTCAAAGCCATTACAATGGACACGAGATGAGAATTTCATTGAGCGATGGTATCAGGGCACTTCTTGGAAACGTTGGGGTCTCTGCATATTATTATGGCTTTGCTGTATCATTGTTGGAGTGGTCTTTCTCCTCAAAGGCATTGCTCTGGTGGGGCCGTCGAACATCTTCTCAGTCGGCTTCGGTGCCTTTGAATCTCAGTGCCCTCGTGAGCACATCCACACACCAAGGAGGCAGCGCTGCTGCTATTATCACAACATCTTTGCTTGCTAATCTGCCACAACTTCTGTTGTCGGGGTTGTATTTCATGTTTAATGCTTCTATCACCGGAATGGCTATGGCGGCAGAGTGGTCTCTGTTTTCTCAAAAGAGGAGATCGCTCCGAGTGACTGTTCCCTCAGGTCATCAAAGGGAAACTTACTGGCTGCAGCTGCCATGGAAGTTTTCTCTACCACTGTTGGCCTGTTCCACTGTGCTACACTGGTTGATATATCAATCGATATTTCTCATCAATTTGCGGATCTTCCAGCCCAACAATGAACTACTTCGAGAACCGACTGACGTTTTCCCTGGCGCAAGTTCAAGCGGCGTGATCACGGCTTCTGGGTATAGCCCACTTGCTATCGTTTGCGCTGTCAGTGTAGGGATATTGATGCTGCTTGCACTGCTTGTTTTGAGCTCACAGAAGCTGAAGCCCGGAATACCAATTGTTGGAAGCAATAGCTTCACTATCAGCGCAGCTTGCCATCCGCCAAAGGAGGATGAAGACGTGGCCTTCAAGCACCTAATGTGGGGCGCTGTTAGCCATCAGGAAGGAGATTTGCCTGGTCATTGCTGTCTGACCTCATTTGACGTTGAGAAACCCAGATGTGGAAACTTTTATGCAGGATGATTTGCATATATAGGTTGAAATGCAATGTATTGATCGATCCCCCTACCAACCTCCATCGTATTGGGCTTCCGCTGGCTATTGCCCATTGATAGTATTGTGGAGTGTTCAAGGCCAAAAAATCAGTTCCTTGTTCTCGAATTCCTTCGAAACACGTGGGCCGGTCACGTTCGTCTCCTTATTAGGATCGTTCTACTTTAGAGGGTACTCGGCTAGAACCAAAATTTCGCAGAAGAACATCTCCGTTCAATATAGATTACGCAGCACTCAGCCTGCATTTGAACATGTCTCGTGCTGGTGCAAAGCGGCAGGCTTCTGTTAGTAAGAAGCGGATTGCTCACATAGTAAAGAGCTATTAAGATAAATCCAGACACATGCACAATAGAACATCGTGTTCGTAGATAGTCGCTGGTCAAGGCTGCAAACTTGTCTCCGCATTGGTCGCTGGCAGTACAGGGAGGATAGTTAGCATACATGACGCTGCCCTTTCAATGTGAAAGTGGTGAAACTGCAGCAGCCCTCCGTAGGATGTTGTCGGTTTGTTCATTATACAAATTGTTAGTGGTTAAAACACATGAGTGTTGCCAAGCCCGCTGAGCTGCATTTGGGCCGAAGCCGCAGTTGGAGTGACCACTTGAACTTTCAGAAGCTCGAATCGTCTAATAGAAGTCTGCGGTGGTTTTTGGGGACATCACCGACATCCTTTAATCATCAACAGTCAGCATGAAAGCATTGTCCTTGCGCCTACTGCAGTGGCTCGCTGTGTTTGGATGTACTGCTGCTCAAAACGCCTACCTCTACAACCTCGATATCCAACCACTGGCCGGATCTTTCTTGAAAGACTCCTCCATCGATTCTGAGACAGCAAATGCCATTCTTGCACGTCGGTTACGCGCAACAGAATCGAGTAGCCTTGGCTCGGTGGACGACGTCGTTCTGGAGCACTTGAATCGATATGGAGGTCAGCAAGCATTATCGCTCTTCCAGAATGAAGCGGCATCATCTATACCAGACAGACTGTTGATAGCCCTAGAAGGATATGAGGGTATGTGAAAGATGGCTTTTTAAAGCGACGCTCTCTGGCATATCTAATACTAGCCAGGGGAGCCATTATCGATTGCGCCTGGATTTAGGATCGAGAAGGCGAACCCCCAACTCGCCAGCATTCCCCAAATGGCGGCTATGGTCGGAGAGAAGAGCTTCGATACAAGTAGCTGCAGCAAATATACATCATTGAAGTCTGGTATGCATGTCGCCTACATAGTTGATTCAAAGGTACAGCACTAGGTTCAGATCTTAAGCATGTCCTACAGCTAATTCTGGTTAGGGTGGTACATGCGTTGGACAGGACAAAATAGATCGATTGCTAGAGGATGAACCCGTAAAGGAAGATCAAATGAATCATTTGGCTGCGCTCTTCGCCAACGGAGGACGACCATTGAGAGCTGTCGTGAAGCTGGACATGACCCGAGTAAGATTGTCATACAAATTCTCGACAGCACAACTTACTTTATCCAGACGAAGAAGCTATCTCAAGAAGCACGCAACTCCGTTATCACCAAGTCTTTCGACTCCTGGTACAAGATCCTCGAACCACTTGCAAAAGCAGGCAAACTCGAATCCACCATCCTTCTCCTCCCCTCCCGTCGAGCACCACCAATCCTCAATCTCAACCGGCGCCAAATTCCTCTCGAGGAGGAAGAAGCACCCCTCTCTCAACCCTCCGTCTCCATCTCCTCTCCATCCGAAGCCTCCCAACCCTCAATCACCAATAATTCCAACAATCCTACCTTTCACCCCCTCCCACCCCTCGGCACCTTCCTCCCCTCCTGCTTCCCCAACAACCAAAACTGCACATCCTACACCAACAACTGCAGCGGCCGCGGCTCCTGCTACGCCAAATCCAGCACCTGCCATCAGTGTCGATGCGGCACCACCATCGTGCGTCAGGACAGCGATGGCAAGAACATCAAGACCGTGCAATGGGGCGGGACGGCGTGCGAGAGGAAAGATGTCAGTGTGCCGTTTTTCCTGTTTGCGGGCTTTGGGGTGCTCATGGCAGCGCTTGTGGTGGGTGCCGTGGGCATGCTCTATGAGATGGGAAGTGAGGAGTTGCCGAGCGTTATTGGTGCAGGAGTCACAGGGCCGAGGGCTCAGAGGTAGTATCATAGCTAGTGCGTTTCATAGGTATGTGAGGGACGGAGTAGCAGTTGATTCTGTAAGTTTGATGGTCGTGTATCACCCAGTCGGTCATTGCTTACAACCCATATCATCGCCTTTCATACCATAAGACTCCGTACTTATAGACTTTGCAGTCGTACGTGTCACTTCCCTGTTGCATCTGTCTCCGAGGTTTAATCACATCGAGAAGCGGTAGTTGCAATAGACTCCCATCATGGCTGTTGATCATCCCAGACAGTGGTATATATTACTTATCTCTCGAATATGACACGATAAATTCTGCACAGGGAAGATTGAATATTGAACATTAGATTCCCACAACTCCTCAGCTTTGAGAATGACGCCTTGCTCAAAGTCTGTTTTCGTCCACAATGAGAACGTTGGAGCACAACCCCACCGGCGTCCTCCTCACCAACCGCAGCTCCTTGAAACCAAAGTGTCACCAATCGCGCACCCCAAGGTGCATAGTACTGTCTACTACCCGCAAGCCTTCAATTCTGGGCTTGTTCCTTTGAAAGAAGGCCTGTTCCAGAGACCACACCATCTGGTCTAAGCAGCTCACAGAGCAGGGTAACCGGAGAGGTGTGCCGAGGACACGAACAGATCAACCAAGTTTTTGATCGACACTCTGAGTTTCGACTCTGTGGAGCCGGGTCTCTTTCCCTTTTCCTTTTCCGTCTTTCGTCCGGTGGCCGTTCCCGCGTCTGCTACTTTTTCTGTATAGCTCTGGAATGGAGATTTTCGAGGAAAGGTCTCTGCTACTGCTTACGCTTGGTATGTAAGAAGGTTGACCAACTGGTGGCCTGAACGGAGCTAAGATATAGAAGTCCCTTTTTCCAGGAAGATGGCTAGAAACCATGCAAATAGATATCCTATCGGAGGAAGTAGGCTGGCCCAGCGTGCTTTCACGTATCCCTTTTCCAGAACTTAAAACCCAATCCCTTTCGTTTTGGCGCTGGCTCGTCCTCCAGCCTGGGCGGGATGGTGTATGGGAGTGGCTTGTTCGCATACTGCTGTTCTTCCCATGGGAGGATTGGGTGTGCTTGATCTGAATTGTTGTTGTTATGGTGATTGAGCCATCTGTGCTCGGGAATCTCGCCGATTTTGGTGCTGGCGGTCATAAAGGTTGCTACGGATGGAGGGCGAACACGCATACGTGGTGCCGAAAGTGTAGCATCTTGGCCGGAAATGGGGTTTTGAAGAGGGATTTTGGGGGGTGGAGGCGGTGGTAAGGACGGTGATTGGGAGAACATGGTTTGAATGTCGGTAAATACTTCAGGAGACGCAAGGAGTAGAGAAGGGTGTCTATTAGGGCAATGCTGCTCTTTCTGCTCCGAGGATGCAACATATGATGGTGGTGAATGATCTAGGTAAGAGAAACTCTCTTTTCGATGATGATCTGGCGGTCGTTCCTGGCTCAGTCTCGAGGGGTAAGAGGGTGATGATTTGGTGCGACAATGAGAGAGACGAGGGAGGGACAGGCCATACGGAACTAAGGAGGCAGAAACGGCTTTGAGATCGACAATTTTGGGAGTCGCTGTCCCAGAAGATGAAAAAGATGAAGTAATCACTGAGGTCCCACTTTTTGAACGCACCCACGCTCCACGGACTAGGGGATCAGGTCCTGGCCTCTTACGCTCTGTGGTTGAGTACAACTTCGACCGTGGCTTGTGAGCAGGTCTAGCTTTGGGTGGGCCAGCAACACCTTTTGAGGTTCCCTCTCCTTTTTTCCGAGGCTTTTTATTGGTTGCTAATGGAGCTGTCAGCGTCAACTTGGAAGTCGAAGACAATCGACCCTCCAATTGTTCAAGGGCTCGCACCGCATCTGCCGCTGCGTTCTCCGAGAGGTTGAGTAATGATCTTCTGGACAGTGCTTGGGCCTTAGTATCGTTGGAAAGTGCATGTGACAGGATTTGTATAAGGCCAGTATTAAGGATTAGGAGTGTATGGTTCAAGGAAGTCTGTGCGGTGCTGTCACCAACAGCGAAACGATTCCCAAGCCGAGCAAGATTGCGATCATATTCCGCTTTGATCTCTCGGGGACGATCTTGCAGTGAAGTTTGAAGCTGCCATTCTTCTTCAGTAAGTCTGCCGGGCTTGGTTCTGTTCTTCTTGGATCTTTGTTTCGCTTTCATGCGTTTGAAGATGTCCATGCCACTAGCGAAGGCAGAGACTATGGATGCCACTACCGCCGTCACTTCTACCGAAGACATATTGAATTGTAGGGGTTAGCACGGAGATACAAACGCTGAGAACGGGCATGTAGGAGCAGATCGCTGGAAAGGCAAGACACAAAGCACATGAGAATCGAAATGTCAGCAGCGATGTGGGAGAAGGACTTGTGGCTTTTGATCTAGGGATAGCTCGGAACTTAATTGACTCTCAAGTCATGCTGATAGCCCTTCCAGCCTGTAGCAGTACAAGCACGATGCTGGACACAGAAACAGGCAGCGTTGTCCTGCATTTACAGGTCGAATATTGAGCTTTTAGGCGCATCGGCTGCATCAGACCAACTAAGAACCCTTGAGTCGTGCCTGGACCGAGACTTGACTTTTCTCCGGAACGAATGAGAAGGGGGACGAAGTGTCCTTGAAACAAACGGCTTATTGCGGGGCGGGGTACAACCGGCTGGCAGCCGTTTGCAAGGTTGAACCCATGCTTAACAAGCTTTCCTGAACCTGATCCTTGACTGACCTCGCCACATTGTCGTAATTTTCCCATTTGAATTCTGTACCAGAGTCATGCGTCAAAAGTACTCCGTAGTTGACTGCCAATAAAATGTGGTTGAGAAGCTAGCCATCTTAGTCTTAGCCAGTTATAATTAGTGTCTTAGGTCGCCTAAGTCTTACTAGACTTCTAGGGCTTAAGATGAAGGGGGAGTAAGGTGTATAAAATGATGCTATATTCTATAAGTAACATTTTAAGTATTTTCAAGACGTATCCCACTTAGTAGCTGATTTAAGCCAATTGAATGCTAAGTACTTACTACGGTGGGAGGCATAAGTACTGTTAGCTTCAAGCTAGGAATTCTGTATTTTACACAGCCTTGACGGATTCCAGTTTACTGAAACGACATTAGTCTGCATTAGTTCTCAGAACAGAGCCAATCATCATGATTGATGAGGGGTCTAGACTTACTGAAGCTCCGGAGGACGCCAGACTCTTGTATCAAAAACACGTTATCACTAGCTCACGCTAACAATACTTACGCTAACAATACTACGCTTCCTACCGTAGCATATCATTAGTTGACGGGTCAGCCTATCTGAAGCTAGTAAACGCTAGCAAGGCCACAATATCCAGGGGAGTCAACTACTTTTGACGCACGACTCCGTAACTGTGAACTATTTCTGCGGTTGAGCAGGGAGCTCAGAGCTTCTCCATATCGCGCCGGTCATGCCATCAGTTGGGCCAGGTTTGCCACCAGCGAATGCTGAGAAAAGAAAGCGTGATGCTACAAATGAGGATGATGAAATAATTCCACACTCTCCGCAATCACTCGCCTCAGGATCGAGCTCCCCATCCACTTCTGCAAAGAAACCTCGTACAATTGGACCCACACTTCCACCTGCAAGCCTAGATGAACGACCTGTGCAACCACCAGAAACAGATGCGGATAGCAGCAGTGATGATGACGATTTCGGCCCGAGCTTGCCTACAGTAAAGTCTCAAAAGCTAGCAGTCGCTACTAACGAAGCTTCAGAGGTAACGGCACATGACTCGCAACCTCCAGCACCTATGAAGAGCATGAGAGACGAATGGATGATTGTGCCGCCTTCTAGTGACGACTGGTCTTCCCGCGTCGATCCTACAAAACTCAAGAATCGCAAGTTCAACACCGGAAAGGGGTCTAAAGCGCCGGCACAAAATACAGGCCAAAAAACGAACGGGAATTGGACGGAGACGCCCGATGAGAGAAAGGCAAGGCTGCAACGGGAAATGATGGGGATCAAGGATATCTCAGTTGCCAAAGATTCTCCCAAAGATGATGCCACGGCAAGAGATAATGCTAGGAAGCTACGTGAATACAATGTGAGTGAAGTGCCCAGAGTTGTTGCCGATTCTGGGTTTGACAAAGAACAGGAGCAGTCAAGAGGTTCAACACTCTACACGGAGCACCAGAAGACAAATCCTCAGGAGAAAGAAGATGATCCGAGTGCAAGGGCTTTCGATCGTGAAAAGGATATTGCTGGTGGCATGAGGATCAACCACACGCAGAGAAAAGCACTTGTGAACAAGGCTGCAGACTTCGGCTCACGGTTCAGCAGTGGAAAATTCTTATGAGTGCTCCATTCTTCCGAGTATACATATCAGCCCTTGCAAAACTCCCAGCTCCATTTTCAGCATTTTCAGGCACCACATTTCGAGTGTCCTTGGACATATGTGGTTAAAGAGAGCCCAAAGGCTGGCTCTGTGTGGTGAAGAATTGCTGCATGGTTTATGCCATGTTCCGGGCAAAGAAGGATAAGTTCAGCTAAATGCCCTGCGCCGCATGAGTAGCAAGACAGGAAGGGTAGACATGTGTTTTGGAATTGTGGTAGAACTCAACCTCCTACCTTTGCTGAACGATAGAGGTGCTAAGGTATGCTGCAAAGCTCCAGGGTTGCTCCTGCCTGCAGTAGTAGCGAAACAACTGGTAAGGTGGTGGTTTTCAGACATTTATAGGATCACGAAGAGATGAGACACATTGGTGAGAAATTATGGGTTATGCAGTCAGTTGAGGTGTTCTCTATCCTATTCTTGTACGTGTTTCTCTTCCTTCTTAGCTATGGTTCCACGCCCACCATTCACTAGAAGACGCCGCCGCACTAGACGGTACTCCATTTCTCGAACCAGTATATTCGAGGAGGAACCTCTGACCTGGTACGTTGTGGTGTTTCCTCAGAATCCCTTCACTTCACTTTCATTTCAACACCACCACCACCATCACAACCCGCTTTCCGCTTTCGAATCCCATGGAGCCTGACTCTGGCAGCACATGGGTTGAACGAGACTCAAATGGGCGGTTCATGTTCGTGAGGAAGCGAACCAGACTTCCGTCCACACGATCTGTGCTTGCAGAAGTATTTGGCACGAGCAACAACCCGTTTGGCCGTTCACGCACACACTCACGCTCACGTTCTTTTTCCAGGTCTGTGTCCCGAAATCATCTTAGAGCACGGCCACTGGTGAGAAACCCAAATCTTCTTGCCTTACCTGCTCCGCCTCCTACTACCACCACACCTCCACAGACCACGATGAATGCCACCTCAGAGAATGCCAAAGGCATCATCCATGACACTGGCCAATACTCCCAACCGCCTTTGCTGAATGACCCGAACCAACAGTTGCCGTACCCTCAGTATCCTTCCTACGCGCCGCCATATCCTGCTTACTACCTTGCACCAAACCCAGCCCCTGCTTTTCAGGAACCGTATCCACCTTTACCTCCTGGTGCTCGAGTTCTCAGTCCTCCTCGAGCGGCCACTGCGGATGAGTTGAAATACAAATGTAGCATTTGTGGTAGATTTCGCTCACCTCGCTTTCACTACAAACATCCCATCCCACCTGGCCAGCTTCCGGCTCAGACGGTTTGCCGCAAATGTCGACAGGCTGGCACTGACAGTGAAGACACCTCTGATGATAAGGCACGACTCAGACGCAGCAGAAGTATTGTTTCGATCTCACAGCCGATACGAACTCGAGTTGTGTCAGATGGTGATGGCCGAATCCTTCGACGAAGATCTAGCCGAGTTGACTTCATCCCGCGTTCTCGATCTCAACATCGTGGCCGTCTTCGAAGGCGGTCTATCTCTTCTTCAAGCTCACTCGATACAGATGAAGTGGATATCTTAGTGGATGATCGCCATAAAAGAGCTCGGTCTCGATCTGTTGGGACAATCGTGGAACGAATCCGCTACATTGAAGAGGAGCCACCGCTGCGAGTATCACCGACCCGAGAGACAATCTATATCAAAGACAATCGGGACTTGAGACGACGTCGAGCTTCGAGATATGAGGAAGAATACTACTACACGGACTATGACTCGGAAGAAGACTACATTCCGAGAAGGTGAGCCAGCTGTCTGTTGACACAGCCAGCTGTAATGCTAATGTTGTCTGTTCAATCCAGACGGATCATCGCACGCGCACCATCCATGAGCCGTATTTCCCGCCGACAATGTTCCGAACCCTTCATCCGAGAACATGTACGCGTCAGAACACGGGACATTTTCGATGGTCCAAATTCTCTTTACGAAGAATCCAGGGTTGTAGAACGACCAGCTCGGCCCCCATTGACCCTATCCTCTGACGTACACGTGTTACGCGTTCCGGCGGACGAAGCCCAGAGGATTAAAGAGCGTTTGGCCAATAGCGATGAATATGAGCTTGTAGCAGATCGTCCAATCTTACGAGCTGACAGTCGAGACTATGACTGGTACGAAGACGAGCCAAGGCAGTCTCGCCGTGGCCGTCGGCCTCGTCGACGTAGTCATAGCAGAGTGAGCTTCGCTGATGATATAGAAAATGGTAAGAACAAAGCCGCAGCCAGAATTCCAGAGCATGTCCCCCGACTTCGCAACTTACGCTCCTCAGAGTATGTCGAGACTCCACGTATTCTGCCTCACGTTCGAGCACCTACACCACCACCAGCAGATCGCAGAAGGTCCGGGAGGCACTCACATGCATCTCGCCAAGAACATGATGATGTCGAGGTTAGACGTACGAGTCAACAAGACGCTGCTGACCACCGAGGCCGTCCAACAACGGGTGGCCGACGAGCGACGCCTGGGTCCAGGTCTCAGAGCGGATCGCGGTGGAATGCTCCGTTCGGTGGGCGGCCCCCTATGACAGACGACGAGAAAATCGAGATGCAACAACGAATCCACGCACCACCTGCGAATGAGGACTATGATTGGTATGATAGTCATGGTCAAAGGGTGCGAGTCAGGGAGATCTGAGACGGGGCCGAAGACGCAAGAGCTACCACGAGCACCAAAACAGGACCTGATTACGCTAAGGAGCTCAGACTGCTGCACTCGCGGTCTCAAAAGGGCAGCACGACCGACACTAATCAGGGTTGAGCATCAAATTGATTCTTCTTATCTTTCCAGAGACGGTCATATTGACCATGCGGGAGCTTCGGTGTACACGAATAATGGGCCAGTACAGGCATGTGCTTGCTGGAATGGGATCCGGGCTTGAGTTAGTTGCTAGCAGCAAAAGATCGAGATCAAATCACTGATCAGTGGCAGAGCCGCACGAGCTGGATGAGCAGCATGCCTTGATGCAGCGGGGTGAGACCGCTTTCAGACGGCGTGTGGTGATAAGAGGCTGAGGCTTGCAGCGGATAGCCACAAGTAGCCTAGCGCCTGGTCCGTTCAGGCAACGGGGCTAATGCAACTTTGCCCCATTGCTGCCTACCTGCTAGTTAGTTACAACCATCAGCCATACATGAACGGGCCAATCCACCCACTGCATACGTGACACAAATATCCCGATTGGAGATGCAGAAGTCATTATGTGTGACTGGCCATCCATGTCAACGAGGCACTGGCGGCAGCGGATCAGCAACATCTCTCTTGGCTTTCCGAACACAGCTGCTGGCGATGTGAGCTGCCAGTCTGAGAGATTCTCATGCCCGATACTAACTCCGTACTCACCGCAAGGCCTCGGCGAGAAGAGCAGCCTGAGTCATGTTCTCATGGCGGTCGAGCGTGACGTTGAGCTTCCAGAAGATTGTTTCGCTTGTTTCGCTTGTTTCTCTCGAGGGGCTAATTTGGTTGCAGTACGTAGTAAGGGTGATGCAGCTCTATCTCAGCTGACAGTCGGATAAGCCGAAGATCCCTGTCAGTTCATCAAGCCTTCATCTGGCCAAATCTGATGCCGCTGGATTCTACATAGCAAATGCTGGGATGGTGGAGGCTTGGTCCTACCTCTGCTTCCCATGCGGCTCTTCTCAAGGTCTTTTTTGCCTGGGTGCCTGAATTCTACCTTCTACCCCTTCCCCCCGTTGCAACTCGTTAACCCCACTGGACAATGGATGTTCGTCTGTCTGCTAGCCGCATGCAAGGCAGATTTATCGCCAGAAGACCAATTTCCTTGTCGCCCGTACCAGTCCACCACCTCACAGCTACGCCAACAATCCAAACCCAGTCAGGACAAATGGCACCTGCACAGGGACTCCTCATTATCAATCTATCATCATTTGGCCGTGGCTTTGTTAACTAGTCCTTCCACACTCCTAGTTCCGTTGCCCGATCGTGGAAGCTTCCGCCCTGCCTCTCCACACGATGCGGCTCTATAGTATGTGGAAGGGTTCAATCCCCTCTTTTGGGGGCTTGGATCAAAGGTAGTTAAGGGAGACTTCCCAGGTGATGTTCTGCACTCAAGTCTGCCCTGCTGTAGGTCCACCTTTCTTGTTCTGCATCGCCCCATTCTTCTGAATATTGATCGCTGTAAAAAATCCTGATGAACCATTTGGCCCCTCGAGCATAAAGCTCGCAATTTGCCGTTCACACATGTCCATCTGGCCAATTTCGAGGTCCACCTTTGAAACAAATTCCGCGCCCCCAAACGTCCTCTGGGGCAATTGACTCACCCGGAAACCCGTCCCCATTTCCCTCAGACTGATCCTGCGAAATCCATCCAATTCTTGTCTTTGATCCTTTTTCCCTCGTTACTTTCACCTTTTTGGCTGCTACTTCTACAGCAAGAATGGAGATCCTTCAGGTGTACACCGACGTGCCAGCCATCGAACTTGGCACCGAAGATTATTCAGTTGAGAATTTTCCCTCCTACAGCCCTTCACCTGAATTGGCCCAGTATTGGAGGTCCATCGACCCTAGCCTCAATTCTCGGAGGTCGTTCGACACATCTAAGACCGACCGGTCTGCTCATATAGTCAATATGGAAAAGCATCTTCTCAACCTGGCCAACTCAGCCTATGGCTGTGGTCGTTCTCTGGTCGATGCTTCAAAAGAAGATTCTTCACAATTTGGACCGAGCACGATCTGGGGGTCTGGCAGCGACGCTTTCCGAGCCATGCGCTACATGTCCCCCAGCGGGCCATGGGGCGGCAGTCTATCTTCCACAAACTCGACCTCGAGCGATTACGCCTTCAGCCCTGATGTAAGCAGACATCACGTGTCTCTCTACTGCGACGATCTCGACTCGCAGGTATCTTTTGCATCACCCTATCCGGTACCCTACTCTCAGACACACTATAGTTACGCGTCCCCGGGCTCGTATGCTGGGCAGACCGTAGCCTCATCTTCTGCAAGAGATCAGGCAGTTGCCTGCTCTATGAAGGAGCTTCAGTATACACCAGACCCAGAGCATGACGACATTCAGGGCGACAGCGGTTGCATCAAGATTGAGACAAGGCCAGAAAAAATGGCACCAACCCCGGAAAGCTGCTCGCCTGTGACCGACACATCGAGTCGATCAGATTACGATGATTCCATGAAGGATGAGGAAGATGAGAAAGGTGTTGACAGCGATATCGATCCGGAATATTCCCCTGTGAAGTCGAGATCAGCCAGAAGATTCTCATCCTCCAGCAAGCATCCTACCCGATCACCCACTCTTTCGCGAAAGTCTTTTATGCAACCAACGACCGACAATAACAGAGTACTCAAATCCTCCCAACGACCAACCATCTCCACCAAGAGTAAGACCAAAAGTGCCTCTCGAAAACGATCCAACAACAAAAACGGTGACAGTCGCCCTTTTATCTGCTCCTTCTCTCACTACGGCTGCGAAAGCCGCTTCTCCTCTAAGAATGAATGGAAGCGCCACGTCTCTTCACAGCATCTTCAACTCGGGTTTTACCGTTGCGATACTGACCTCTGCTACCCAACTAACCAATTTCCCAACGGCGGAACCAGAACATACAACGACTTCAATCGCAAAGATCTCTTCACCCAGCACCATCGAAGAATGCACGTGCCCTGGACGCCAGCGAACAAGCCACCTTCGAAGCAAGCCCACGATGACTTCGAGGAGAGTTTGGAGGCAGTCAGGCAAAGGTGTTGGCAGGAGAAAAGAAAGGCCCCGAAGAAGAGTCAATGTATCTTCTGCCACGTGCGGTTTGATGGAGAGAGTGCCTGGGATGAGAGGATGGAACATATTGGCAAACACTTCGAAAAAGCTGAGAGAGAGAAGAAGGACCTGGGAGGGGGAAGGGAGGATCCAGAGTTGAAGGCGTGGGCTTTGGATCAGGGGCTCATTGTTGATTGCGGAGATAGGGGCTGCTGGCTGGACGGTCTGCAAGGTAACCGAAGAGCCGGAAAAGCAATGCCATCAGGAATGGCAAGGCGAGGCAAGGTGGTCAATGATGATGTTGCTGGCGAGGAAGATGCAGCCGGTGATGATGAGTAAAGGGTTCCTCCAAAACACGGCAATGTCTACATAAGTATGTCGAAATGGTACCGTAATGAGGTTGATGATTAATGCAGTGTGTTTTGTCGTTGAAAAATGTCTATCGAAATCTGTATCTGTATTTATAGAATAGGTGACGCTTGCACACTTTTATTTATGTTAGGTTGGTTCTCGCGCCTTTACCCATCTCTTCATGTATCATGTAAGTTCTCGCGGCTTTACTTACCCATCTCTTCATGTAAGTGCATACCAGTCCGTGCCACTACCGGTTACACGACCTCGTCCAACAATCTGTACCGCTCCTCTGTGCAAGATTGACCCGGCCTACATCATCTCAACAATGTCCATCACAGATCAAGAGCTAGATCTTCTTCGAACCAAGGCAATCGATGCCAAAGACTTTGCATATTGTGCGTAAGGAGATTGTTGCTTATTCCCTCGGCCAGGGTACCTTATCTATTCTCTGGGTATACAACAAAATCACACGTCTCATCGCTTTTATGCGTTCAATTCTTTACGTTGTGCTGTCTATGTGCTCTGGGTGCCTGGACCAAATCCCAACATTCCTTCTGAGTCACTCTACTTGAGATCTCGATCGAATCAAAATTTTCTTGCACTCTTCCTCCAGGGTAGCGAATCGCAGTCAAGGGTGATGAGGATATGGACAGTCGCATGTCCCACCCCGTATCCTACCGTCTCTGTTCAGACGGTCTCGATAAAATGCCTTCAATGATGTTGCTTGATCCTCCTCGCCCTGCTCATCTTAGTGTTTGTATCACTGAACAACACCGTTGCTCCAATGTTTCTTGTCTACCCACAGCCATGTTCACCACCACTCCACCTCATCTCTGACATGCTTTGCTCTGCATAGGTCCATACAGCAATTTCCGAGTCGGCGCCTGCTTTCTCTCTACAGACGGGACGTACTACACCGGTGCGAATGTGGAAAATGCATGCTATCCGGTCGGAACTTGTGCGGAGAGATGCGCTCTCGCTGGTGCTGTGGTATGAGAAGACTTTCTATATGTGTCTCAATCTCGTGCAGGGTGCCAAATGAGTGCATCTCTGGCGTTGTCCGTTGATGGAGAGTTAAGCTCCGCTTGGTCGTCTCGAGCTTTCCGCGAGAGAGAATTCGAGTGGACGGGGTGTGGGTGTGCGAAAGGGAAAGAATGGGATTCTCTTAATGCCGTATCAGCTATGCCGTTTCCTTTCCACTTCACTATATACCATTCGATCCTGCTGCTTGGTCCATATACACACAATCAACAGATGGCCCTTTCATCTACACGACATCCCCAATGCACGCTTCACCTCGTCACGGTACAAGACCATCCTCTAACCATCCTGAGCTGACAGGCATCCTGCAAACGTCCTCAGATCCCCAAGTTCAAGGCTCTCGCCGTAGCGACCGATATCTCTCCGCCCGCAAGCCCGTGTGGGATGTGCCGGTACGCTTCGCCCCTGTGATCTATCATCTTCTCTCCTCATCCGCTCATCCATCTGTTATTCTACCGCATTTCATCATGCCCATGCGGCCAGTCACCGTGGCCTCAGCGCATAACCTCCCGGGTGGTTCTGGCTAGGACCGCCTTTCTCCTTTTCCTACTCCGGGTGTCTAGGGTTTTCCAGTCATGATGATCAGACTCGCAATCACTCACTTCCCCTCTGAGATCCCGAGATCAGCCTCTCTTTCTTTTCTGATCGGAGCCACGTGCCACGGCACCCGACCTCAACAACTTTAGCTCATTCGCTTCGGGCTAAAACGCTGATTCGTCCTTCATTCTTAGGCAATTCATCAACGAATTCTGTGGCTCCTCCCTACCAATCTACATGTACGACAAGGACAATCAATATGTCATGAAGACTCTCGGCGAGTTGTTGCCCATGAGTTTCGGTCCGCAGGACCTTCTTCCTCCGCGAGATCGCGAGACGGAGACGGAGACTGGAACTGAGGTTGGGAAGAGGACGGGCGATGGGAAGGAGACATAGGTAGGTAAAGTGCCATGCGGCGGGAGAAGCAAGAGGAGGAGAAGGCGTGGATACGGATCTGGGGCCTGCAGACCGAGGGGAGCAGGAGCTACGTGCAATCCCGTGATAAGGAACGGGGTGGAATGAAAACAGCAAATGGCCAGGTGATGGGAATCGAAGTTTGATTTTTGGTTAGGGGGAAGAGTAGTGGAGCGGTCCGATGGGATCGATCCTTGGGGAACCTGATGGATCCCGAGTCCAGGATGAGATGGAGCTGGGCAGCATCCGAGTTGAACTAAGAACCCCACAAAAATGGTTTCTCTGCAAGATGACCCATCCTTCCCAGATTTCTGAGCGAGGGAGAGTACTTAAGAGTTGCCGCCTTACGAGTCCTGGACAGACAAGTCACTCGGAAGGAGGAAATGGAGAGTGAAGATTATTTCTCCTGGCTCTAGCTTGGTTATATACCTGCGAATATGAATGCCCCCTTTTTTGCCCTTTTGGATCGATAATGGTACATGGCTTATTCCGATTGACTCGACTTCGACTTGACTTGGCTAGCGAGAGTTGGAACAGTATAGCGACGTGAACTCAAGCGGTGTTCGGGATGAGATGAGAGAACTACTATTCTACTACGTAGTACACGATGGCAGATGGATGAGGCTGAGCGGTAACTACGTAGTAGTTACTCGGTGCCGCGCCCGTGGAGTCCCCGCTGGGGTGACATAGAATTTCATAAGCAATGACCTGTCAGATGCCCACCACTGAGGCTCAGAGCTGTCAATACTTATGAAACAAATATGAGCTAGCGGTAGCGGAGACTTCTCGCGTGGCACTGAGTAGCAGACTGTTCCCGCTGGATAAATCACACAGGAGGGTCCCATCAGATCAACTTCTAATTGGGTCATGTGATTGTTGGGGGGTTTGGGGGGAAAGAAGTGGTAGATTGGCATTTTTTTTTTATCTTTCCACTTCTTGGGTACTGCTTCTTCGGCTACTGCGTGTCTATCTTCAATTGAAGCAACGGATCCGAAGAGGCAGATTTCCCTACCTCATCCTCATGTCCTTTTTAGTGTGTATCGTCCTATTCCCTGTATTGCTTGCTCTGAGTTCTATTCTTCGAGCCCGAGGGACGTGGCTTAAGAGCTCGCGAGTACGCTGTTGGGCGTTCGTTCCACGTAGCAAAATATTGATGGCTACTTTCTCCTCATTCGTCTTCTTTGGGGTCTCGTAACATTTCTATGTAACACTGAGCTTGCTTGGCCTAGACTCCAACTGATGTATATGATCTGTCGCATTTCTTGCTGAACCCCTCTCATCTTACTAGTACTGTAGTCTTTCAAGCTCCGTGATCTCTGTTTTCACAACGCAAAGAACTCCCTCGGCGCCATTTTAATGCTGCTGGCTCCAACCTCATCATCACCTTGGGTCATCACCTGAACGCCCTCCTCAATTCCTCGTAGATACTGAAAATGATCGCCGAACTCGGCGCCGCCCTAAACACCGTGATGCCACAACCCCTATAAAAACCCCTTAACCCTTGCTGTTTCCATAACTCCGATCCGGTCTTAAGAAAAGTAGTTTGCCGTGATCCCGCAAGTGCGGCGTCTTCAGTCTGCATTCGACTCTTGATGGTGTCGGCTGGATAGAAAAAGAAATTGTAGGATATGCCTGCCGCGGCGCCTGCTATGAGTTGTTGGGAAAATGATGTCGTTGATGTCGCAGGAATAGATATCTCAGATACGGCCCGATGCTGCTGATCCGCACGGGATTCTGCAGCATTGTACCGCTCGAATAATATTTTGACACCCTCATAACTTCCAAACCATGCAGCACTTCCGCCCGTCTCGCGGATCAGTGTCCCAAGTTGACCATGCCAGAAGCCTAGCACCCCTCGAGTCTTAAAGACCTGCTTGGTAAGCTGGAACGGACCGAGAAGCTTCGGAGTCATGTAACCAATCTCTGATCCAAGATGTGCTGTGGTGAGTGGAACTTGCATCTTGCACTTTATGAGCTCGATCGGAGTCAACAGGAGCGATGTAAAGGCACCCGAAGCCGCCCCCGCGAATAGCAGTGCAGAAAAAGGAAGACTGACTTGGGCACCGCCATTCTGGCTATCAAGAGCACGGACCGAGGGAAGAGCTGCAACTAGAATGTCCTGTACTACGCGATATGAAAAGAAAAGGGAAGACGTTTCAACAGCTGCCCCCAACAACGGAGCGCTGATACCACGATACAGACTCTTCAACGGCCCCTCAGTTGAACGCCAGGCTGCTGCAAACGCATCCAGAGGCCCATGCGGTCGGTCGGGGCCGAGAGGAGAGGTTGTTTGCGCCTGCAGGCGCACTTTGACAGTATCAAAGGGGTATTCAATAAATTTGCCGAGTATTCCAGCAGTTGAGCCAAAGACAATATCTTTCACCGCTTCGAGGGTTTGACTCTGCGTGTGCGGGGTTGTGACAGGTGCATGTGCAGGTGTATTCGGATTCGAGGATTCTTGGCTTGAAATTACCGCATGTGGAGCATTTGTCGAGGTCGCTGTCGCCATGCAGCAATTGAAGTTGGATGGAAAAGGACCGAACCCCGTTGATAGGATGTAAGAAGAAAGAGGACGTAGGCTATCGCAAGAGCATGGTTGATGAATGAGAATTCACCCAGGTGGCGGTGAAGAGTACGAGAAGTTGAGATTCGAAGTCTCTGCGCTCAAGGGAGCATCTCAAGTATATTTACGCACGTCCCGGGTTTGGAAGATAGGAGTTACCTGAATAGAGTGACTCGTCTCTCATGCGCAAAGGATGTCACGTATCATATATGTGAGCAGTAACGATGAGCCTTGCAAACTGCAGTGATATTATTATGACTGTGCTACGTTAGTGTTTAGTTACCCCGAAAAAGTTCTCTAGATACCGCAATCGGAGGGAGTGCCAAGACCAGTATAATCAGTCAATGTCCCGCGCCCTGTCAAGTACTACAGAGAGAAAGGGTGGGAACGCAAAACTACGGAGGATCCACGGTGCCATCCACCGGCATACTCAGGAGGTTGTATTATGTAGAAACTAAGCCAGAAAGTAATCTCGGAGCTGGGTTTTATACTGGTAACAGGAATGCAACCTCGTCAAGTTTACTAGCTCACTCAACCTAACGAATTACGCGACGCCCTTATCACTTTAAATTGGCTTAGAAGAAGCAGAAAATAAATAATAATAATAACTAATAACTAATAATAAAAGAGAATATTATATTTTCGTCAAAACTTTACGCTAAATCACGACAACGTTAATCCTAACAAAGGAAAGCAGCCCATTCAGTGACTTAAGGGATGGTGCGTCTTTAAAGCGGGCAGAGTACATGCTCAGGACTTATACCATACCTTTTCGCACTTCTTACACCTTCCACTTCTACGATAATTCCAATAGACTGAACATCTAAAAACTTTGCAGGTCACGCATTCTGGTCTCTTCACCAGATGGGCATAATCCTTTTCCACCATGGCTGCCGCATTCCTTCATGCAGAAAGCTATCGAACCAATTTTGAAACAGCAAGTTCTCGAGGAATTTGAGGAAAAGAAAGTATGGCAGGAAGCCGGCGACACTAATAGGGGTCGCTATAACCAAAGCAGTTTCATGGCCTTGACGATACCAAATCCACAAGGGTATAAATATAGCAAAGTAAACCAAGAGATAACAGGTGGGTATAATCCAGTACAGCAAGCTACCAAGAAACCATGGTGAAAGTTTGTGCTTCTGCCTTCTTGTCTTGAGCTGGTACCACGGTTCCCGATCACAGTTGACAATAACTGTAGGGCCCGCAAAGACGGCGTCAAAGCTGCATGGCCCAGTCTCGTTGCTTGTCGTAAATGTTAGAGAAGACAGGTAATCGGCTTCAGGGATCGCGTTCGGGTGGGTCTTGGTGACCTGGAGGCAGCAGCCAATACCTTTCCAGCCGTGAGTCTCATTGCCTGTGCCACCCCTGCCTTCCACGTCTACGTGGAGAACAACGCAAACTTGAGTCCCAAGTGTAACATGTTGGCAAAATATGTCATAGTTTTGAACAGTCAGATCCCATGATAGGCAGGTCCATGAGGGCGCGGTTGTTATGCGCTGATCCACAAATCTGACTGAGAAGCTTCGAGGAGGTATTTTACTTACTGAGAACAGAAGTTTAATCCCGATTGACTTGATCAGATATAGTCCCCTTGGTCCGAAAATTATCACAGAGTCGGCGGGGCGAATAATGCCCTCAATCTTAGTTGGTATCCATCTAGTCGATGCTGGGACAGAGGATGATCGTGGTAGGTTCCGGAATAGAAAAGAAGCTGGAACACCAGGCATTGACTTCAGTAATGCTGGTAGCCTGTCCTCCTCTGCCAGAGACATGATCTCTCCCCCACTATAACCCAAAAATGTTGCCATAATGCCCCACACATCATCTGGCCAGGAGGTGGATCGACTCGTCAATGAATTCCAGACAGAGCAGAAAGCAGAGATATCACTCACGATAGGCTGTGATGCCATCCATGCTATGTTGAATGGTAGCAAAGCCGATTGAGTGATATCGCGAAAGACTCCTCTCGACACCCTGTCGAGCGCTTTGTAGACAGCATTGCTCTCTCTTGCCAGATCGATGTCGCTGTAGCGGACAAGCTCGTCGCCAATGCAAAATAGCAGAATCGATCTGGCAGCAAGGGATGCTTCTATGAACGTCCAACAACGTGACATCCACCCAGATGAGACAATTCTGGCCAGCATGTCTATGGTTGACAATTCGGTGCTATCGAGTCGGGTCAATGACCTGTCCACAATAAGCACGCACTCAGCGCCAGCGAAGATAGGGTATATTCGTCCAATGGCCTTCTTGCGGAGCTCCATGTCTTCGGGGGTCTCCCGATTCGGAATGCAGAATATGTCAAACCATATGTCGAATGATGTCCGTCGTGGGAGAACTCGGCGGGCAAGAAACGAATTGAAGGGCAGCAAATGGAGCTTTTCGGCTCGGAGCTCCGGGGATGCCCTTTGAAGATATGTGAACATGTTAAGGAACTGACATCGATAGACTTTATTTTCCTTTGGGATAACTATTCCGTCAGCCCATACGTGACTGAAGGCGATGTGGCGCTTCGGCTTCGCGGCACGGATGACTTTAAAGCTGATATGGCCCTGCCTTCCAACAGTACATCTTATGAGGGGAATCCCACCATTCCGTAGGACCGACTTGACCTCCACCATGTCTGGTCCAACTGCCTCACAACCACAAGCCTCTGTAAGATGACGTGCACGATATTTGTTAGGGTCAACATTTCGAGCAATACATTTGGGCGCAGCAACACATTTTTGATGTTCAAGTCCTGGCATATCTCTGCCATGTACGCATGTGATACACCATACAGTGCTGATATCATAGGTGCTCAGCAGCTGAAGAATTTGGTGTGAGCACCACCCATAATCGACCATTAAACATACGATGGGACGGTACGATGCTGGCACGCGTGGCCATCTCACCAGCTCTGGTGAGAAGCGAAAGGCACTATTTAAATCTGTGGTATCCTTCCCTGACTGATGAATCATCTCCCTGAGGGTCGACACCAGTATCCTGATCGAGAAAAGCACTATCATGTGCATTGGAATTTGCGGTGCTTCCGCATTGTCTAGGTCATTGCATGACTTCCAGGCCCTGGCTGTTGATGAAGCTATCTTCTCATAGCGCCGATGCTTCTCGTTAACGGTGCAGCAGGCTCCCAGTTTCTGCCATTGTGACGTGTAGTGTCGGAGTTTGGTTGATTCGATAATGCGCTGGCCGCTTTCACCTACGCCAGTGAAATCATCGAATCTTGTCAATGGGCCGAAAGCGTCTCTGATCAGCCCAAAGTAAAGCCATGCTTGTATCTTTGCGAAGAGGACATCGAGATTGTCAACGGAGCTAGGTATGTTGATGCTAAGATCATTTTCATGGCACAGAAACTCATGCGCCATCGCATATTCTAGAAAGTTGTCACTAGGCCGGGGTCGATGACCTAAATCAGGTATTTGGTAGAGTCCGAATAGAAAGTGGGAAGAAGCTGGCTGTAATATCTTTGAACCCGTTGGCAAATGATTCATTGCTATCATTCAGGTACCAATTGTCTCCTAAGTCACCTTGATTGACAGTACAGCGAAAGTTGATATGAGGAAGGTCTACGTTGAAAGCACAGATGGCTCAAAGACATCTATTACTACGTAGTGGGTGTGTGTAGGATACTAGAAATCTAAGATACAAAGCTCGGATAGAAAATAGTGTCGCAAGTTACGGCGGACTATTATTGGCTACGGCGGCCTATGTGAGCCAAACGGCCAATTCAATTTTCGAGCGCAGAACAGATTAACGGGTTATTGAGTTGAAACAACGCAGAGCATACACAGCTTCAGACCTTATTGATTGAAGGTCAGATCACATATTAAGAACCAAATGAGCTAACTAACTAAAAGTACAGAAAGCAGCATCCGAAGCAGGATATCCCTTCCTCTCTTCCTTCCCCCCCTCTCTCTCCTTATTCTATCGCGATTTAGTCAATTTAAGGGCTATTCAACGAGAAATTCGAGGGCTATTTGTGGGCCAATTCGACGACCAGTTCGACGGCCAATTCGACAATCAATTCGACAGCCAATTCAACAGCCAATTTGACAGCTATTCAAGGGTCAATTCAGAAACATTTTGAGGGCCAATCTAAGAACATATCTAGGCTAATCAATGAGGATCTCATCAACTATGGTGCCGTTCCTGTAAGGCCAAAATAATCAAAGCGACGGAGCTGAGCAAGCCGGCCTGAAGACCCAAGTTGTGCGGCAAAGAAAACTTTCACACCGTCGGTCACCACGCCCCCCCAGGCATGGCTGGCACCGCATCCTCCACCCTCAACACCCCCACAACCGACTCCACCACACCAGAAAAACAACCGCCACCTCCTCCACCCGGCCAAAGGAAAAACGGTAACTTCCCTTCCCTCCTCCTCAATCTCTCACTCTAAAACCCCCCTCCAAAACAGGCAAATCCTGGCACCCACCCCGCGCCGCCTTCCGCCCTCTCTCTAACCGCACCACCCACAGTCACAGCAGTTACCGCAAGCGCATCTCCCTCGCCCAGACAGCCCAGGCGACCAAGACGCTCGAGCGCGAGATGAAAGCCGAGAGAGCGGTGGAACGGGATCGGCGCGTGCAGGCGATCAAAGATCGGCGGAAGGCAAGGGAGGAGAAGGAGCGCTTTGAGCGGATGGGGGAGAAGATGCATGCACGGATTGTGGAGAGGAGGAGGAGGAGGGAGGGGAGGAGGAGGAAGGGAAATAAGGTGCTTTAGCTTTGGTGAGAAAGGGGGGGGGGAACGGCGATAGGACGGGAAACGTGTACAGTTATATTGGGTCAGAGCTCGTCGAGGGCTCGCAACCTTTCATCTGTCTCTAAGAGGTTGGGAGGCTCAGACGTGGCTTTTGTCTGGGCAGGACGACTTTTCCTCTCGGCAACTCTGCTCAGAATGTCCTTCACGTCATCCGGCACTTCTGACAGTTCCACCACATCTTTCTCGAGAAATAGGCTTTGATTCAAAAGCGCAACCCTGTCTTTCTCATCCATCAGCGCCATCCTCACAATATCGACCTCTGATCGCCACTCCCGCCAAGTCAGGCCAAAAAACAAAACGACCAGCACCACGATCAAGCCCGTCCAGATACTCCTCCACAGGCGACTCCTCCTCCTTCGTTCTACTCCCTCCTTCTTCTCCCAAGCTTCTACCCGCTGCCGTGCCTTTTCAAGACGGGCACCTAGATCCTGCGCTCTAGTATTGGCTCTGGCACCTCTTTCTTCCAGTGTTCTAACGCGGTCTTCTCGTTCCTCGAAGCTCGTCTTGAATCTTTCGAGCTTGATCCTGACATCTCGTTCTAGCATTGAAGCTTCCTTCGTGAAATGATCTATCATGTCCTTGCTTTGTGAGGATAGAGAATGGAATGATTGGACTAGAGCAACCAAGTTGCCCACTTTCTCCAAGAGGTTGTAGTACGTGTAGTCAAGCCTTCTAGTCATGTCCACCGAAGTTTTGTTGACGGCAGCTAGCTGGCGCTGTAGTTCCTCCTCTGCTTCGGCGTTGGTTCTTCGGAGCGTGTCCACGTGTTTGTGTGAGATGGCGGCCCGCTTGGCCATCGTCTTAGCTTCTGCTCGATCGAGCAATATTTCAATCTCCGATTTCTGTTTCCGCTGCGTTCGCTTCTTCGGATCTGAAGTGGATCTGCGAAGGTTGCCGCCTTCCCCAATGCCCGGTCCGGCCGTACCAGTTCGACCGCTTCGGTTGGATGCAATCCGCCTCAAGTCATTTCCCAGAGCAGTCCAAGGGTCGCTGGATAGCTTCGTCTGATCGGCTCTCCTCTCCCTTTCAGCCGCTATCCCAGCCGCGAGATGAGGGAGACCGTCACTCCTGTCTCTTCGGTGAGATCTGAAGCCACCCCCATGAGCATCGCTTTTTGTGTGACGGTGCCTAGATGAATCGCGATGCTCACGATCGGTTCGATGTTGCCGCGCTGCCGTAATGGGTATGTGTAGTCGTGAGCTTGACGTAGCATCCGGCAGAGTCTGAGAGGTCCGTGGCTTTGCAATGACGGGGGAGAGAAAGGAATGTGAACGAGAAGCTGGATCGGGCCGAGTCGCGGAAAGGTCCAGCGTTGGGTAAGGCGGTCTGGAAGGTGTTGTGCTAGATCTAGAGCGTGTAAGGGGAGGTTTTTCTATGGCAGGGACCAACAGGGAATCAGGTTGAGGTGCCATGCTTGCGTCCGACCATGTGATGCGTTGTCACGGCGGAGCTTCCAGCTTAGATGTGGGCGTAAGAAGTTTGTAGGGCTTGGAAGCAAACATCCGAGCATGTCACCATCGCCTCTGCTCCTCACCTTACTCCCGCCCGTCGCCTTCCAGGGCTCGCCTGAAGAGAGAACAGAACTGCTATGCGATGTTTGCTGTGACATTCAAGCATCTTGGCAGGTGTATATCGGTCTTGGCAATTGCTTACATAAGTCTTCACGCATCCGGATATCCATCATGCACTCCGCCTTTTGCACGTCCAACAAGGTTCCTTGAACTACACCCACGATTTTGCGGGCAACAAGAAGTTTCTAGCCTGAATTGTGCAGGAAAACCTATAATGTCCGTAGGCCAGTAGGGAAGTCCATCTCCAAATCTATCCCCCAATACCAACTGGCAAAGGTTGGCCTGAAAATCAGCCACATAACCCCAATCTCCTCGTCTGGGTCACAGCAACGCTCAAGACTTGAATCTCAGTCGAACTTGCCAAAATAGATTAGACGAATGGGAGATACTGCGCATTGATCCGCATCCGTTCCGAGCATGTTGCCCAATACTCACGGAGTCCGTCCTGTCTTGGACGTCCGCTACATTCGGACTTTCCGCTATGACTTTGGAAATTTTTATATAAGCATGTTTGTTGATGGTCTTTCGACCGGGAAGCTCCTTGATCTCTTGCAAGCTTCTCAGTGTTTTTACTTTTCCTTATTGGCCATTTCAGACTGAATCGCGATGGATTCTAACATAACTCTCGAGGGTAGATTTCCCGTCATCCATGGACAAGCGTGAACACTTGAAGCTAATTCATCCCTTTTAGACTTCTTGGGGCTCAATGCCGCCTACTTCGAGTGGGCAGACAGTTATGACGCTAAGGTATGCCACAATTCTCTGCCCACAGCATCCCAATCCATTTGTGCCTCGAAAAGGTCTTGTGTCAGTGGTAACCTTGACGCTGCAGGACTGGGAGCGCCTGTCCAAAATCATCGCACCAGAACTGAGAATCGACTACACCTCGTTCCTCAACAAATGCTGGCCCGCCATGCCGGCCTCAGACTTCGTTGCCATGGTCTCCTCCCCAACCGTGCTCGGTGACCCAACCCTCAAAACCCAGCATTTCTGCGGCGGCTCGAAATGGGAGATGGTCTCGCCTACCGAAGTCATTGGCTTCCATCAGCTCCGAGTCCCGCACCAAAAGTATACGGATGAGACGCTGACGACCGTAGCGGTCAAGGGTCACGCACACAGCACCAATAAGCATTGGTACAAGAAGATAGATGGGGTGTGGAAGTTTGCCGGATTATCACCTGAAATCAGGTGGTTCGAGTACGACTTCGATAAGATCTTCGCGAGTGGGCGGGAGAATTTTGGTGCCACTGAGGATATCATGGAGAAGGAGAAGATCGATGTTACTGTTGAGGCATCAATGGGCATCCCTGCTGCGGCTTGAGCACCTCGTCGTAGCGCTTTGGTAGGCGTTCAAATTGGTATTAGTCTCTTGCAAGAAGCTCCCACTTCCAGATACAAAATCTTTTAATTCATTTTGGTACACAGTCTCAAATCACATAATAAGCTCACTGTGCACTTCTATGCTTCCCCAGGATGGGACGACCTCCTGAATCTCCTTTGTACTGCTTCAATGACCCGAGTTTGGCGTATCTGAGGTCTGCATTTCTATCTTCCTCCTCCAATAAAGTGCTTCGATAGTCTACACTGCTCCCACAGTTAGCAAGGTCCGACCAATCAAAATCAGCACTTCTGCTAGATGTCTCCCGGTGCTTGTTGCGATATTTATCTTCACGATCCCTAAAGCTGGCCGCAGCTAGAGCTACGGGATGGGATGAGGTATTTTCGGCATGAGAAGTATCATCTGAGATGGCTATGACCTTGCCGGCGATGTTAGCAATCCTACTTCTCTTTGCTGGCACAGACTGTCCAGAGTCTTCATTGGGCTTATGACGACGTCTCTTGCCATCCCGCTCGCTCTTGTTTGCTGACGGTATTGTTGTAGGTAGAACCTCGCTGTTGCTACTGATGGTGGTTAGAGGCACTTCTAGACGCTGTATGTGCTGGCTGTTCCCAACACGACAAGGCTGCCAGGCAGGTGTCCTTTGTCTGACACCTGTTCGAGGGGTCGTGGATTCGGCGACAGGATTATCAGCAGCTTCTGGGTGTACTTGACGCGGCCGGCCTTGCGGCAGCAGGCTCACATTGGGTTGGAGATGTACAAGCCTTGGTACCTTTGTCGTATCCTTGCCAGTTGCAGCACTTGTCCTGAACCCCTCTAAGCCAGCCCTTGTTCTTGTGATAAAGCATCAGACTGTTGGACGCTTTGTTACAGCGGGGTTAAGACATTCACGGACCAGATCACGAAGTTGCTCAGAGTATTCGGGTTTCTTCTTGTTTGGATTGGGCCAATGACATGCTTGCCTTGGCGAATGAAGTCTTCTTCCGAAACAGTCTCAGTCTCGTCCATTCACTTATACACATCCGTCAGCATCATCAACAAATATATCACCATACCCATTGGCCAGATATTGGATCTCGGTTCGAGCTGCTCGCCTCTCTTCAAGGGCGATTCCTTCCATCCGTCGAACCTTGGGACTTCGCTTCTCTGCGTTGCTATCATCAGCCATCTTGATCAGAAGTCAATGCCACAGTCACTCACATCGCCTGTCTCTGCGTCAATTATCGTCCGGCAAGGCTCAAATGAGGATCCAAGTTCCAAGGTCTTTCTGCTTACCGGAGGTTTTGTATGCTTTTAGACCCCAGTCCGTATAATCCGATAGGATTCCGGGCATCATCTGGACCCGTCAGTTCTGCCAGGCCAAAATCCGCCAACTTGACATCAGGATACGATTTCAGGAAGGACTCGTCCTTTTGTATTAACTTAAAATCACTGGGATGACGGTTAGTAAACTGCTGATGTTAGCTCGTTTTGGAAATTTGAGAGCTACCGTTTGCAGGCTTGATGTCTAATGGCAGAAGGCGGCGTTTGGTCGGCTCGTTCGTCCTTAGATTATAGAACGGACCTTGTGCCATAACCAGTGTTGCTCGTGCTAGCCCGTAAAAGATATGCCATAAGAAATCTTCTGGAAGATAATGACTGCAAAATTGTCAGTGTCATCCATGCTCTTAGGAGTATCCGGCCACAAAAACCCACCTATATTTTCTGTATCGATCCCATATCTCCGCCAAATCGCCGTAGGGACATGCTTCAAGGTAGAACCGCTAATTTTTGTCTGCGGGATAGGTCTTGAAGTTCTCGAGCCGCAGGATATTGGGACAATGGAATCGATTCAGTTGTTTCATGATCAAGGCTTCTGGAGGTATCCGTGCCTCTGGGTTCCGCTTCGCCGCTCCGGTCCAATTGCACTGTTTGACAGCGATTTCCTGGAGCCTTGAGCAGATGAAGTGATGGTGCCCTTCGTCGTGCTGACCTTTACATTGCTTCCATTCTTGTCTTTGCCGACCCACAGTCCCACCGCTCCGAAGTTGCCTTGACCTGACGGCCTCACGCCTTCCCAGTCGAGATCATCGTCTTCAAAGCCAATGTGTGAGGCGAGGAAGGCGGCAGTTTCGTCGTTGTATTTTCTAATCAATTTCTGGAACACGCTCGAGGTACTCTGGTCAAGGACTTCCGGGGTCCGTCCCGGTATTACACCAGCGTCCGAGAATGAAAATTTAGGCGAGGACATGACAGAAAAACATTGACATTGTATGAATTTAGGAAAGAGATATATGAAAGCTGGGCATGATATTGAGGTTGGTCAATGCATCATATCCACGTGCATCCCTGACGAGTTTGCGCATCGGAATACAAAGGGGAACAACCAGCTCCGTTTCCGGACCAAGCTGTTCGACAACATTGTTTGCTATTAATAATTCCAGATCCTGGAGTCCTCCCACACACCTCTGAAACTATAATGAACATTGTCAGTGAAAGATAATGGTAGAAAACAAAGACAAATTGAGGGACTGATGCCGTCTTCTCATATGAGGAAATTCTAATTAGTTAGTGCACGATAAAGCCATCAAGGTCTTGGCTTGTCGGAATGCCAGCAGTTGTAGCTTCACTGGGCTCTATCCTTCTAATGAATGAAAAGGTAGTCTCCTGCACACGCCGTGCTCAGCAATGCTGAAAGTCCACTGTGGCCGTAAGGGCAGTAGACAATGTTTTCATTTCTTCTCTTCAATATATCTTTGCAAACCCGACTTGTGCCGTTGTCGTTGAGAGTCCCATGGTCAACATACCGCAGCCTCGTTTCTCAGAGCCGCAGCTTCGATAATTTGCATCCAGTTCGTTTGATATATGAACCACCATTCAATCGTAGAAACTCTATATCATTCCATCAGCACAACAGAGGAAATTTATTGGAAAACTCAAGAAGCCATACGAAGGTTTGTTCCATGACACGAGGAAACTGATTGGGTACTTACAAGAAGAGACCAATGGCTGGCCCGGTCCATAGTCCAAATAAGCTCCACCTCAAACCAAAAGCTACTCCGAGAGACACGGGTATCGCAATCTGTAAGATATCTGCGTCAGGTAGAGATCTGAGGAGTGGTCCCTGCGTATACTGACACCGTAGTAACAGCTTACAGCAACCCAGCCACCAATCTTTTGAAGTCCCATACCCCTCAAGAGGCCACTACTGTTCGCAACGAGAGCGTCGAACATCTGAAAGGCAGCAAAGAGCGGAATCACGTTGACGATCAGGTCAGTGACAATGGGATCACTCGTGAAGATTTTGGGAATGTGGTGACGCAAGGTTGTAAGCATAACAACATTCAAAGCTCCAGCGCAGCAGGCCATCGCTAAGGTCACATTAATGCATACCTGACTGGCACCTGGCAGACCTGCGCCTATAAGATTGGCAAGACGTGTACTAGCCGCAATGCTGACGGGAAAGGGAATTTGGAAAGTGATAAAGGACAGAGTCGCAAGAACAGATTGTGCTGCAAGCGCCGTGGCGGAGAGATGAGCGGATGCCAATGTAAGAATCTCGAAGCAAAGAAACTCCGATATCAACATCACATATCCAGGCACGGCCAGTCGAATCATTGGGTACCAATTGTGAAGCGCCTGTGTGGTGAAACCATTCCAGCACTCTCTACCGTCCACGAAATAGACATACAGCCATAGGCAGAGAGGAAGAAGGTTGTGTGTAATGGCCACAGCGATTGGTGCTCCGATGAATCCCCAATTGAAATGCTAGAGAGGACCGATGTTAGCATCCTTCCACTTGTTCGAGCCATCTTTCTCACCCAGACGAACAACCAGTTCATAAAAGCATTCAATGGCGCACATATGAGCAAAACGTATAGGTTAGCATTAAAGAGTCCCTGAGCCTGCACAAATCTTTTTCCTGCTTCGAACATTGCAAACCCAGGCGCACCGAGGACTAATACCTTCAAGAAAAGCCCAGCAAGCTCGGCGGATTCACGCTCAGGGGTGATCCGAAGTAAGATCTGTGTACCACTAAGCCAGATGGCTGCAATAGGAATGGTGATGATCCATAGAAAACAAACAGTTCGCTGGAGATATAATCCAACCAGGTGAGGTCTTCCGGAGCCGTAGGCCTGAGCACAAAGCGTATCTAGGCTGGTGGCGAGTCCTGCATAGGTGCAGTAGCCAGTGATGTTGGACGACATTATAGCCAAAGAAACAGCTCCAAGCTCGGTTTTGCCAAGATGTCCAACAGCAACGACGCTTGCACCAGTTAAGGAATATTGTAGTACACACGTGAGCATCAGGGGTAACGAATACTTGGTCAGAATGATGAGCTCATTTCTCCAGGTCGTCTCGAATTCACCCTCCTCTCCATCCAAATATTTGGCGCTGCTCCGATGACTATATGGATTTTGGGACGCGTGGACATCTCCTTCCGTCAGTAAAGCAGTGGTCTCCGACGGTTCGTTGTTGTTCATATGGTCATGTCCTATTTTCTTGCTTTCCGTATTGGTAATCCTGAAGGATACCTTACTCGGGTGGCGGACCAGTGGGATGTTCTCAATTTGGGCAGTGGGATTGTCTTCAGAAGAACTGTTATCTGCTTGTTGTGCCAGATTTTGATTTTGTTCTCTTATAAGCAGAGTACTTGGTACCAGACCCGTCACTGGTAACGGAGACATGAGCCCAACAGCAGGAGGAGGGAGTGGGGAAGAGTCATCACAATGAGCGGAGCCAGAGCTTGCTTGCTGAGTTCTGCCTACCGCTCTGGTTGAGACGCCTTTCCCAACATCTTCATCAGAAAAATGCAAATCCATCAAATGCACAGTAGAGTCTTCATTGTTGTACTCCCAACAAACATTCAAAACAAGACGGGGAAAACATCAATGCCGATTAAAGCCCAAAAGTTGTTGTTTGTACGTCTGGATCTTGTGCAAGTGACAGCGTGAGCTGTACATTGTTTGCATCATGCCCGAGAATCCGTCTACCCCCAGATGCTCAGCTGTGACTCAGTTTTCTTAAGCAATCAACGAATGAGGTCTGACTCTGTGGGACGAGGCGTTAAAAGTGCATAAGAACACTGCAGCTAAATAATGCACTGAAAGCGGTGTGGGGTGGAACAGCTCTGTCGACACATGTACAAGCACAGGGTGTTCTATTTTACCATCAAAGGGATGATGAAGCTCGCCCAGCGTTAGCCAGACTTCTTCGCAGCATGACAGAAGACTATTGCTTGATCAGGATCAAGGTCTTCTTGAAATTCTGAGCTTGAACCAGATAGCGACCTTTTCGGGTGGCATGGGGGATTCGGAATGACCATGGCTGGCGTACGTAGTAGGCGAAAATCTTCTAGCGTTGGTGTAATACAGCCCACGTGCATGAATATGTACGGCTACCGTTGGCAGTTGCCTCATGCTTCACCCAATGGCTCAAGGATCATCATCTCCCAAACAATATGGGAAACTAGTAAATGGCTTGAAGCATAAAAGGCTGTAGGACTTCTACGAACTGAAATGTGACAAATTGACCATTGGAGCGATGGGATCATCACATGCTCTAATGCAGGACGACATTGCTGATCCGCCTCGTTCGATGTTTTTGACCGGTTGGAATTATATGGCTCTAGATCTGCGTAGTAGTACTACGGTGACAGGCATACTACTACAACGGGGGGCCCTGAAGTAATGTTAGTCTGGTGCTAGGAGCAGCTACTCGAGTAGTCCTCATCACGAAGACACGTGTTATGATTCGTCATTGTAAAGCCTTTTCTGTGTGCATCTATTCTGATGGATCAAATCATTATATCTAACTTCTTTTGAACATAGCTGTTCTGCACAGATAGAGTTTACAAGTAAATATACTAATGCTGAGCTAATATCACTTCAGGCCTCCCACGTAGTATGTTGCAGAAGTATTGTTAGCACGAAGCTGGTAACTCAGAGGGGTGACAGGTACTGGACGGCAGAACTAAAATAGGATGGGCTAAGCGGTGTAGATAAAGATGATTTGTGTGGATGGACACAAGAAGAAGCTTCTGAAATAGACTGTAGACACGTGTCAAAACTAATCATTCTTAGCACCATGCGAATGATACTTCTGCTCCATACCATAGTAAGTATTAGTAGCTCGGCGCTCGTATATATGCAGCAAAGAGAGCTACAAAAGAGATAGCTAAGCCTTGAGCAGTTAAGCGGTATTGTCATGACCAACACGAGTACTTCTACCTGGTACCATAATATACGCGTGGGAGCCCATGATGGGAAGATTTGATGTGTCGGACTGGGTCTATGTACAGCATGTATCCTGTGCTCTGCACTCTCTCAATATATATACACCGTATTCAACTACCGCAAAGGCCCTCCACTAAATGAGGAGGCTAGAGTTGAACCACCCAAAAATCTGAACGTCGCTTGCTACCCCGTTTGTTCATGCTGGGCCATCCGTAAAAACAATGCCAGAATCATTTGGTTTATGATCCAATGAGGCCTCTCTAAAGGACCGACCCAAAACGTAATCAAGATCTGCAGCAAAAAGCCCCTCGCTAATAGGATGAAGGATACCGGTACGAAGACGGAGAGTTATGTAGTGTCCTTGGTCTCCGACGAGATCTGGAAGTCGACCTGACGTAAAATCCCGACTTGCGACTCCCCTCTACTTTCAATAGATGCCCCTTCGTTCATATTCCTCATCATATGAGTATCCACCTGGCTTGAGTTGGTAACATCGTCGGGTCGGAATCCTGTCCTTCTTTGATTACTTGAGCTTCCCCTTGAACCGTACGCCTTTGACGTGCTAAGAGTAATCCCGGATGTGGTGAATTTTTTGGCAACGCGCATCAAAACTGGTGTGGATGCTGATACCAGGGCCAGGGCTACCCAGAGCTCCTCAGTGACCATGGCGGGCACAATGTCGATATTGTTTCGGCCACTTCGGAGGAAACGAAGGTAGAAGGCAAGGTGCATCCACATCGGAACCCATACCCTGTAGCTGTTAGTGCATTTGATCATGGTTGGAAAGTTCGAAGGCAGGAAGCATACACTGATCTGCAAACAAAGACGGTGATTGCCCAAATCTTCTTCTGCAGGCTGGTCTGCAGCCTCATCACGATGATCGCAACAGGAATGACCATCAGGCATTCTAAAAGGGCTTCGATCACTGTAAAGACGATCCAGCGGGCCTCCTGACAAAGAGGTCAGTGACATCCAAGACAGAGCAGCGTAATTCATGCGCCACAGGGCCACATCAGTATCTTCATTCGACATGCTGAGAGGAAAAGCAGAACGCACATTTCCAGAGCAGTGATCATTATTTCTTGCATTAAGTGTTTGAGCTGGCGAGCACTCGACCGACAGTAGAAGAGCCCCGAAGGCTGCTTGAACAATTGCGGCTCCCACAATCGCTCGAAACCACCACTTTGTTGCATCTCTGGTGAAGATCTCCCGAATAAGGTACATCGTAGATACTTTCGTTGCGCCGAGGATGATGGCCAGCAATATTCGGCTCGCAAATACCAGCTGTGAGGAAGAGGCGGTCAGCTGATTTGGTACAACTTGGATGGGATGAAGCAGCAGCTGAGCTTACCTTTGCTGCCCTGCTCTCCTGGAGGGTAGTGGTGATATTTTCGGACTTGCCCAGCGCACTGATCAACGAGAATAGAAGGACCACCCAGTAGCCAATATATAGAAGCTGTTCAATCGAGATCTCAGCGTCCATGCTTGGCCAACGTCGACTGCAATCTGACTCACGTGCGCAGCAAACAGAAGAGCATCACTCAATGCAGCTTGCCTCCATTTCATCCACGCTCTCATGCAAGCAGCAAAAACAATAAAAGCCATCGAGAAAAAGTGCATGAACCATAGCCATGGCTGATGATTGTCGGGAGATATGGCGGTGAGGCGATTACCAGATGAATCCATGGCTGGCTATGAAGACGTTGTGGATGAACACGAGATCATACCAAGCAGAAAGGATGAGTCGTTCTCTGGTGTTGAGAGCGATGATGGATGAGAGTGCGGCATTTACACCAGCACCCAAACTCTTGACTCTCCCTTTGACACTGGTCTATTGAAATTTGACTTTGATTTCCACTGGCTGGGAAGGTTCTTACGCGACAGCGGGTGGAGTACAGCGTAGTCTCCGCGAAGAAGAGTGATGGCCGGGTCATACTACATAGTAATCATATCAAAATCGCGCTACGTAGTGGCGAACCACGGTCCGTGTCATGGCAGAGGCGAGTCTGGAAAGAAGCATAGATTCCCCGTCTGCTGCTATTCCGGAGGGTGAACAGGAAGGAAAAGGTGCGGCATCAGTTGACAGCCATCAGCCAACACCTTATATTGTTGACCACAAAACAGCCTTTGTGCATCTCAGCCGGGAAAAGGCGCATGAGCATATCCATTCACACGTGCATTGATACGATGCAATCCTGGTTGGAAGACGCCATTGGGCATATCTCCCGCTCAGTGCCCCCGCACCGCCTTTTTGCCTCCTTTTTACTTTGTTCTGCCGTCCTGGCCGAACCGTGAGATTCTGCAGATGCAACGTCACCTCCGATTTCCCTCGAGCTTCGGTTCCCTTCGATTGATTGGTTTGGTGCAGTTTTGCCCGCTAAGCATGGACTATTTCATCCCTGGAGCCCCGAGGGGCAGCTAACAATCAAGTCCGGTGCTGGCTCGGACCAAGGCCTACTGGTACATACTAATTACGCAGTAACTATGTTGAATCAAGCCAGCCAGGGTCCTGACGGCGGGAAAAGGGAGAGTTTCTACTCCGAGTGAAACAGATTCACCTAGTCTACTACTACGTAGTAGGTAGTACGAACCGTCAGCGGAAGCCTTGGATCTAAACTGTTCGTCCCAGAGACTACTGCCCGGACCCTGACAATCGAGGCAGCATCCCAGCCAAAATACAGTGGGTCTCCTTGTGAAACGAAAGATCCTCCCCCCAACGCTCAATGACAAGAGGGTTCTCAGATTGCCTTTGATCTTATCAAAACGTGGTACCCTAAATGTCATTCTCCTTACGAGATAGCATGAAGTCTTGATAAAACTGGGGTCAAGCTAAGCGATGTCTGGAAGGTTAGTATTCTTTATATTTCCTAATTGGTGCTGGCTTCTACCATGCAGCTCTTGTAGACCAAGGAGGCGACCTCCTCCTGTGCCCCACGACTTTCCCTTTCTGACCTGAATCTCCTCCGCTTCGTGGTTGAACTCCCATCTTTATTCTGCATCGAACATGGCACGCAGCACGGTGACTCGCCCCGTTATACGGGCCCCAGTGCCTGGTACTGCCGCCGATGACCAGGATATGAGGCGGATGCACAAACCGCAAGAACTGAATGTAAGATCTGTTGGCGCGCTCAGAATCTTCGTGCTGGCGAGCTGACCACTCCAAGCGTGTATATTCTGTGGTGACTCTTGTCGGTTACGCAGTGATTGTCGGTTTGACATGGCCTTTCTCGCTTGTGTAGGTCTCCTTCCGGGTGTCGCATATATGTTTGCTTCGATATACCTATTGATGCTCTCGATAGTACAGGAACGCTTTCGTTGACGAATGGTGGCCCTGCCGGAGCGATCTGGGTGTTTCTGGGTGTCTGCTTTGGCATGTTCATGTGTGTGCTTTCCATGGCTGAGATGGCATCTATGTAAGTGGTCACGTCCATTTCTTCGAATAAGCACTGATTCAACCGCCAGTGAACCCACAACTGGCGGTCAATATCACTGGGTGTCAGTCTTTGCGCCTCCCAAGTGGCAGAAACCTCTCAGTTACTTCGTTGGTAAGTAGAGTTGTCTACCAGGATTCATCGCATTTCCAATTGCTGTCCTCTAACTTTAAGTTCTTTAGGTTGGATGTGTGCGTTGGGTTGGCAGAGTTATGTGCCAGGAGCTTCCAATGTTGGCGCTTCAGCAATCCAAGGCTTTGCTGTTGTAGCCTCAGATACATATGTCCCAGAGGCGTGGCATATTGCCCTTCTCACCATCGTCATCTGTACCTGCGCCATTCTTTTCAACGTGTACTTGGCCAGACGGCTGCCTGGTATCGAAGCTGCGGTGTTCACCATCTACATCTTGGCCTTTGTCGCGTTCCTCATCATCTTGCTGGCTATGGGCTCGCGTTCCGGCCCAAGGTACATGTTCACCCACTTTGAAGACAACGCCGGATGGGGCAGTATCGGTAGTGCCTGCTTCGTGGGAATCAGTGGCCCTGTTATCACCTTGATAGGATCTGACTCTGCGGTTCATCTGGCGGAGGAATTGAAGGATGCATCAAGACAGCTTCCCAAGGCTATGTTGTCTACCGCTGGTGTCAACTATCTGCTCGGTTTCCTGATGCTGGTTGCATTTATCGCCGTCGTTGGAGATGTCGAATCTGTGCTTGCCACCCCTACTGGACAGCCGTACATCCAGGTCATCTGGAACGCCACTCAATCTCGGACTGCGACTATGGTCATGGTGGCCTTCATCATCTTCTTTTACATTTTCTGTGCCGTCAATCAGAACACCACGTCTTCGCGCCAGCTGTACGCGTTCGCTCGTGATGGAGGCTTGCCGTTTTCTGGTTGGATCAGCTATGTAAGATTTCGTAACTCCAAAGATCTCAGCACATTGATTCTAATCGCTACCTAGGTTTCTCCAGAGAGGTGTATCCCCGTACACGCTGTCTTCCTGACCTGGTTCATTGCATGCGGACTTGCGCTTATTCCTCTGGGATCAACTGCCGCTTTCATCAACATTCAGACCATTGGAAACTCTGGTCTTTTAGTCTCGTATATGATCTGTATCGCATCCCGACTTTACCACCGCAATGCCGTTGGTCCTTACGGCAGCCTTGCCAAGCCACCCTCTTTCTTCCTGGGTAAGACTCTGGGAAACGTCGTCAACTCGCTTGCCATCCTTTTCCTTATCTGCTTCTTGGTGTCTGGCATGTTCCCAGTCTTCCCCAATCCGACAGTCGAAACGATGAACTGGAGTTCTATGGCGTTGGGGTCAACGCTGATCATCGCTATTGTCTCCTACGTATGGCTCAGGAAGACTTATCTTGGGGCTGGCGTTGGTGGCTCTGTCGAACTAGTAGACATGGAGGCTGATGGCAAGATCTTTGGTCGACGAGGTTAAATTAGCTGCTCTGAGGTTTGGAGTCAAGGTCTTCCTGGGAAGCAAAGTGCTCGAGCGTGCTTTCTTTTGTTTCGTGGAGGTCATTTTTGTACATATGGCGGTCGCAACAGCAAACTTCATAGAGTACATACATTGGTCCAGCATGACTCATGAGCAAGATTCATCATCGGGTGGTCAACTGGTTGCCTATTCTCTGAAATCTGGCTAGTTCCTCTAATCAACCTGGTGCAGAGGGAAATCCGAAGAGTAGAGCGACCGAATACGAAGCAGGCACTTCTGAGTCATGCGATTTGGCGTCATCCCGGACAAATACTGCTGACACCCAGAGATGAAAGCCTTCGCAGTACTACTACGTAGTAAATGCCGAGGTCTTATCCCTGGGTGTTGAGGGTATGAGACTTAATGTTGTTCTTCGTCGCGTGATCTACAGTGTTCTTTTACAGTGTTCAAAATGGAAGTACTGAGGGCTCTCCGGCATTGGTTTGCTCCCACTATCGATGCCTTCGTCGCCCCTGCTCTCCTTTTCACCTATCGCTGGCGTCTTTTGACTCTCCAACCGATTGTCCTTCTCACTTACTCCTTGAAATGCCTGCCATGGCTATTCTCCAATGCTTTCGACGTCATCTTGATCCCTACACGCCGGCTCAATCAACCCCTTCGTGCCATTGTATTCCACCCTCCATGCAGAACCAGTGATGAGAGACCTCTTCGCCCGATCCATCTTGATATACACGGTGGTGCGTTTCTGGGCGGCCTTCCAGAATTCGACGCTGATTTCTGTCAACGCCTTTCGCGAGAGACGGGAGGGGTTGTCATTTCCACGCAGTATCGTTACTCTCCGCGCCATATCTTTCCGGCTGCTCATGAGGATATCGAGGATGTCTCGAAGTGGCTGGTGCAGCATGCGGAGAAGCGATGGGGGGCAGATCCGAAGGTGTTGACCGTCAGTGGGTTCTCTGCAGGCGCAAATCTGGCGTTGGCAGTGTCGCAAATGGGTGGTGGCATGTTCAAATGGCCCAGTCAGACTGCGGTCAAAGGATGCGTCACCTTCTGTGCACCGGTTAGTAGAAATTCCATTTTCTCTCAATATTTGGTGGGAGCTACATGCCAACATAAACCTCATCTACCCAGGTAGATCTTCGCCTCAAGCCTGCTGAGAAGCCCAAACCAGCCAATTATCCCAAACAAGACCCTCTCTTCTTCCTTCAACCTCTATTTGACTCCTATGTGGCCCGCACTCGACCGGCGAGTATTAACAATCCTATACTCAACCCAATCCTAGCCCCAATCTCCGATCTTCCGCCGAAGATTCTCCTCGTCACCCCCACGATCGACATTCTGTTAGATGAGCAGCTGAAATTTGCTGAGCGGCTCAAGGAAGACGTGCAAAGGGAAACAGAAGATGGCGCCAATGCAGTTCGAAGAGAGGTGCAGATCATGCTATTTGAGGACTGTATGCATGCTTGGTTAGAATGTAAGTCACCTTATATCTCACCTGCTCGGCTTTGCAAGGGCTCCAATGTTGACCCACTGCCATTGAATAGTGCCCTCGTTCCTGATTGATGAGAAGACGAGGGAGAAGGCGTTCAAGACTGCGATTGAGTTCATCAAGGATGTTCACAGAGAGCATGGCTGGAACAATCGCGGAGCATGAATGGGCACAATTTTGAGCTTCACGGGCGCTGGGCATGCTGGATCTCCACTCACTCTGCGGCAAAAGATTCAAGCCGAATAGTCAGATCACGGACTGACGATTGTGAGGACGATTTGACGTCTCTTATCGCCTCGACGCTGAACCAGAGCAAAGCAATTAGTTACGTAGTATAACCAAGCAATCACATCAGTCCGCGTGATGGCGCTTGGGATAAGTGCAACAAAGCTGAACCCGCTTGAGAGCTATTATTATTTGCTTCCTTGGCCCTTTTTCCGGGCGGTGAGTTGGTGACACTGCATTCTGCCGACTCGTCAATGTCGTCAATGTCGCGTGTTACAGCGTGTCACAGCGTGTCACAAGCGAAGGGCCTTGGGTGAAGCGTAGTCGTGGTCTTCCAGCCACGCGGGTTATCTTTGGCGTGAAAGCGTGGCGCGGAGATCAGTTGGCATTGATTTTCCCCTCTTGAAGTCCTCCATGTGGTTTGTGATTCGATTGTCTCCGGTGAATATCTGACGACCTGATTCCCATGATTGGGTCACCAGTGCTACCTCAGGCTCAATCAGTCCCCACCATGCAGTGGTTCAGGGTTCAGGGACATGGCTCGGGAAATTACTTCGTAGTAGGACTTGGCCTGGCCAAGCTGTCAAACGATGCCTCCATTTCCACTCTAGGCCTAGGTAGAGGGTTGAAAAAGGCACGTTCCTGGCGCTCCCCCTTTCCCAACTTCAACCCCATCTGGAGTGATAGAGTTGTAATTTCATTGTTGCCGATCTTCAACGCCAGTCTGGTCAAGCAATCAGCCACCACTGGGTCGGCGTATCAAGACTCCCAACTTACGAGGATGGCACGGATGGTAAAGATCACTGTTTGCACACGTTGGCCGCTGGCCGAGTTCACCGTGTGTATTGCCCTCCATGCTCTGTGCTCTGTGCTCTGGTTCAGTGAATGCATTGCTTTGTTGTTTGCTGTGCTTGCCCTGTCTACCCGTCTGCTCGGTGCTCCAGAGGTTGTGCCACTGTTTCACAGTCGTTTGTGTCCTCGTCTCCCAGTGTTATCTTCCATGACTGTTGGATGGTGAAGCTGAGTGAACCAAGGCCCCAAGCTACCCTATAACCATGGTGCCAGTGCAATTACCGTAAACCTGTTATGCTGCGCCAAAATGCCAGACCAGACTAACTAGAGCTCTTCCTCCTGACCAGTGACAGCGCTGTATTATTGCCTGCGACTGCTTTGCCCGATCGAGAAATTAGTACTCCGCCCTCTCGATCCAGCAATTTGTTGTCCACCTTAGGCCCCGGCTCTGTTTATTTCTCTCTCTCTCTCTTCTTTGGCTTGACTTCTTCTCCTTCACACCATTCTCTACACACCCAGGTCAAGCAGAGAGCAGAGCCTCATCCTTGCTCTTTGAGCACTTTCACTCTTTCTACCAAACACTGCGAACACCGCGCCACTCTTTTCGCGGATAGCCGATCTTTACAACCCACCGTCACTCTCTTTTCAGACTTTTGTCACTTATCCGACATCAATATCATAACTACCATAACATCCACGCCATGAAGTCCGCTTTTGTTCTCGCTGCCCTGGGAGCATTCTGTGCAGCGGCCTCTGCGCACGCAGAACATAACCATGAGATGCTCCACAAGATGATGAGGAAAGCCCGCGACGTGTCTCCCAGTGATACCACAAACAATGCCACCTGTGGTTGTGTCACGTCCGTGTCAACCTGGTATGGCGAAGCAACGTGTAAGTCTGAACATACCAGCGTCATCGTATACAAGTACTGATTACAGGGATCATAGTGGTCCAGCCAACTACCACATCACCGCTCACCACTACCCAAACCAGCACATCTTACTCAACTATCACTGTGTATGCTACCAACAACGCTCCAGCTCCATACACTTCTTTCTCCTCGACGGGTGTCTACACTATTCCCAAGACTGCCATTACCCTCACTTCCACTGTTGTGGTTCCATGTCCCACAGCTTCTTCTTCCGACACCTATGCGCCAGGCACCTATACCAGACATGAGACGACCATGACAATCACCGCTACCAACTCCGTCTATGTCTGCCCTTTCACCTCTGTCGCAGCACCAACAAGTGAAGCTTCGGCTCCAGCTGCTCACAGTGAAGCTCCTGCCCCACCTCCAGCATCACCAACAGAGCCAGCACCGTCGTACTCAGCTCCTGCATCATCTAAGAGTCCCAACCCTGCACCTTCTGGCAATGCAGGTTCCTCTCCGATCTCCAGTAACGGCAACCAATGGGCCATGACATACTCTCCGTACACTGCTGCAGGCGGTTGTAAGGAGGCTGGCGCAGTCTCCGCCGACATATCTTCTATCAAGTCTGCAGGTTTCACCACCGTCCGTCTTTACTCAACGGACTGCTCCGGTTTGCAAAATGTTGGCAACGCCTGCAAGGAATATGGTCTCAAACTTGTTCTGGGCGTCTTCATTGACAACAAAGGTATCGACGCTGCACGCCCACAAGTCACCGATATTATCTCCTGGGGCCAGTGGCAGATAGTTGAACTAATTGTCATTGGCAATGAAGCTCTTTTCAACCAGTACTGCGACGCAGGTGCCCTTGCCGGCTTCATTGCTGACAGCAAAGCTCAATTCCAAGCTGCCGGCTACGGAGGCCCATGCACCACAACCGAAACCCTCAACATCTGGCAGCAAAGCGGTTCCTCCCTTTGCGGTGTCATAGACGTTGTTGGCGCAAACGTACACCCCTTCTTCAACGCCGAAGTCTCACCTGATCAAGCCGGTTCATTCACAGCTGGTCAGATCGAAATCCTTGGCAAGGTCTGCCCCGGTAAGGAGGTCTATAACCTCGAATCTGGATGGCCTCACTCTGGCCAAGCCAACGGTAAGGCTACACCTGGGGTGGAGGCCCAGAGCATAGCTATCAAAAGTATCATGAAGAATGTGGGCGCCAAGACTATCTTCTTCAGCTTTGAGGATGATTTGTGGAAGCAGCCAGGTCAGTTTGGTGTTGAGCAGAGTTGGGGGTGCACCAAGGTCTTCTCTGGATAGAGAAAGGACATCAAAGAGAAGATGAGTGGGGGTGAACGGATTTTCAAATGTGCATGGGAGCTCTGGCATGAATGCGAGTGCGAATCAAACCATGATCAAATGGGTATTGATGACGAGATTCACTAACTCCCTTCGTTCCCTCCCTTTTCGCTTCCCTCGTAAGTATCACTGCGAATGCATGGACCTGCCTCACCGCGCATGAGCGGATGATCAGTCAGAACGAGCGAGGCCATCTGCATATATTACAGCTCCAGCTTCTTCAGCTTTCGATCCAGGATATCCGGTGGAGTGGATGGATGGATAGATACGATAGCTACTGAAAGGGCTGCTTCTTCGATTACATACTTTATCCTAGCAATCAAAAACCGTGTACAAAGCAGAGCAGAGCTACAGTTAAGCAATGAATTTACCTACTTCATCCTCTTTCACTCTCTCGTTGACGTGAAGCGTGAAGCATGGCCCTGAGTTGTCTCTGGTCTCTCGCTCCAACAATATACTATGCAAATGGCAATGGTCGGTCTTACTGTCAGTACATGCATTAGTGATCATTTTTCTTGTCCCACCTTACTGGTTTCACCCAAAGGTATTGCCACCCGTTCTGTTGGTGACAGCATCAATCAATTTGCTAGGGACTATAGCGTGGCTGGTCCACCAGCAAGCAGGACACTGAAAGGTACGTCCATATACATGCTCACAGCTCAAATGTACGCCAATACCTACACTTACACCTACAAACCTGACTGAATGACGGGCGGCAAATTGTGTTGAATGTCTCGTTTACCCACCTTTTTCCCAGCCGGTCAAGATCAGGATCAGGATCAAGAATATCCAGGTCTTATCAGTCACATGCGTCCTGATAAACTTATTCATTCTATCTCCTCTCTCTCTCTCCCCAAGATATCAAGTCTCCATCTCCCTCTTCCACCTACTGCTCAGGCGAGCGCGACCACCAACCACGACCGAGGCAAAGCATACTCATACTCATACTCATAATCATGCTCACACTCACATGGCAGGAGTGGTGTAGAGAAATGCAATTCCACAACAGCTATATCCATATCCATATCTCCCAATCCGCCCATCGCCTCCTTTTTATCTATCCATCCGTCCGTCCATCTGTCGTCCTTCTGCATCTCCATCTCCATCTCCATGAAGAAGCACATCATATCGCCCACCCGCTTGACCATCCCACCCATGCTAATATCCCAACAAACCCAGGCTCGGGGCTCAGGCTCAGGCTCAGGCTCAGGCTCAGAAACTCTAACCACACCATCCATCACCCTCAAAGAGCGTCCCTCCTGATAGAAGAAGGGGGGACAAAAAGGTGGGTGTAGAACCACTCGACAGAGGAGATTTGTAGATCAAACCTAATCAAATCAACTGAATGTGATGCGATAAACTTTTCTTCGTGGTTTTGATTTCCCTTACTTACACTTTTACTCTTCATTCTGTCTTTCTCCTCTCCCTACTTTCCCTTTCCTCTTTCCTATTCTATTCTATTTTTTTTTCTTCTCCTTTCTTAGTAAATTTTTTTTCCCTTTTTCTTTCCCATCCATCCATCCATCCATCATCAAAAACCACCACCGCCGCCACCGCCGCCGCCGCCGACGACGACGACGACCATAACCAGCTTTTTCATACCTCATATCTTCTATCTATCGTTCTAGGTGGGAAAAAAACGGCGAAAAAGAAAAGAATCGGAAGATCAAAAGAAGAAAAATCGTTTAGGGGTTGGGGGAAGAGGGGGTTTGGGTTTAATCTCCCGTGGCAAGATTTCACTGTTCAGTCACCCAGCAAGACAAGGGGTTTCCCAGAGAACAACACGGGTACAGGGACCATCAATTGATGCAGAATTTGAAGTGTGAAATGTAATCGTATTTGTGTTAGAAGAGCTACGTCAAAAGGCGTAACTTACAGTCAAAGTTTTCGAACTGTTTGTACGCTGGTGTAAGAAATCCCCCCAGAAAACATGGTGCTGTGCTCCCCAAGTGGAGCAGAACTGTGGCGTTGATCCCACTTCGTTCCAACCATGCCAGATGTCCCTACCCATATTCATATCAATCCCAGCTTGATCTGCTCCAAGTTGAGCCTCAAACCTCGTTTACTCCGGTCGCTGTCACTATGACTGAAACAGACTATCTCGCCCTCTCCTCGCTCACTTCTTGGGTCATCACGTCGTTACAAAGCCATCGTACAGGCCAGCTGACTTCAAGACTTCTTGGCTAAGCAGGTGTTGGCCTCGTAGTGCTGTCATGCGCTGGCGTGGTGCCTGCTTCCAATTGCCCAGGACTAACATCCTGCTGCGGCTGTTGCTGTTGCTGTGGTTGTGACTCCCCAGGTGTGCCTAGCATGGCGGACCTCGATCGACCGCCTAGCACGGGTATAGTCGGCAGACTGGGTATACTCCTCAATCTTTCCCTCCACGAGGATCCCCTTCTTTGAGTCTGCTGCTCGTCTCCCTCTCCTGTCGCGTTGGTGCCGTTATTGGCATTTCCCGCCTGAACAATGTTGGGTACACTCCTACTCCTGTTCCTTGGCCATCTCCTACCAGTGCTTTCGCCTTCTGGTCTTGGTTCCCTGACTACCTGCGGAAATCCATATCCACGCCTGTCAGCATTATCGGCATAAACGATCGTCATGAATCTGCCAGGTAGAACCATGCGTGTCCTTCCACCTAGACTAGCTGTTCTTTCGCTGGATGGTTCGTTCCCAACGAATGGCAACATCCTGCTTGCCGGTCCTCCCAAGAATGTAAAAGGTGGACTGGCCGGCATATTGGCTCTTGCTCTCGTTCTACTTGCTTCGTCATTTTCGGAGGCTTCATTGCGAGGCTTGGGGACATAATAATCAGCTTTGCAGAGTGGGCAACAGGCTCGACGGGAGGTAAGCCATGGATCTACACAGGAAGCATGGAAGGCGTGTCCGCAGCTTAAACCTCGTACATCATCGTCGTCTTCAATTGTGTCGAGACAGATGGCACAAGTATCGCCGGGGTTGGGAAGCAGCTCAGCCGGAACGGTGGGCTGGATTTGATCGACGTCGTCATCATCTTCATCATCTGCTATAGAGTGCTTGTGAGGCTCTGTAACTGATTTCTGATCTTTGGTAGTTGCCACCGTGTTTGACTGTTGTGCTGGTGCTGGTTGTGCGGCAAAGTCCTTTTCTGCTGTTTGGTTGCTCAATGGGAAAGTGGGTGATGAAGGTGAGGCGGCGACATCTTTTGAAGCCTCCGCATCTGCCTCGGAATTCGAAAGTGGCTGTACAGGTAGTACAACACCCTCCTCGTTCTTCATACTAGTAGCTCGGCTTGAGGGTGCAATAATCCCACCAGCTGTTGGTAAGCCCTCTTCGGCACGCGTTGACCTCCATTGTTTGTATTTGGTGAGAGGGAATCGTTCATTGACTTCATCGATTGTCATCAACTTCTTTTCCCTTCTCCGACGGTGCGCTCTCGGTACTGCGCCAATTTCAATCGGTTCCCCTTCTTCGCCATTTCGTAGTTGTCTGTTCCGTTGGTTATATCGAAAGCAGTATTTGACACCAACGATGATCCTGGAGATATTCATCAGCATATGCTGAGAAGAACATGCGGAGTGGTCCAGATGTAGTCTCAAAATGTCTCAACTTACCATAAATTGGTGAATACCACACCAAAACCTAAAGCGACGAAGAAAAGTAATGGTGAATTGGTAGGATTGTTGTTGTGATCAGTAGCTGGTGGGCTTGACGGAGTGGGCGGTCCGGCCGGAGTGGAAGATGGTGCAGACATGGTTGTTCATGTGATTGGAGGAAAATGTCTGGTTGATCAAAGCAGCTCAATATGAGGTAGTAATGGATGGTGAGAGGTGTTGTTTTGGAGATGGTCGCGATTGAGGCCGAGGTGGTGCGAGTTCAGACTAGTGCCATTCAAGAGACGAAATAGAGGGGTGTCTCTCGCAATAGAATTGGTTATACTCCAGCTCACAATCTCCTGGAAATGTGCTAGTTACAGAGTGATGGTGTACGAGACGGAAGTGTTGTATGCGCGGCTTGTCAGGCTCTGGCGGCAATGACGAGCAGGATCAGATTTGGCGGCTAGGAAAGCGCGGGAGAACGAATGCTAGTTGGATCCGGTAGTATGATGGTCGCAATAGTCAGCAATGAGCATGTAGTGAATACTCGTACAACACTACTGCCTCCGCTGCTGAGATGTGTGATTGTTCTGGTAGTGGAGTCCGAAGGAATCATCGCAGCCAAGAGGGAGGCAAAAGGAGGACGGCACGGACGACACGAGGCTTCAGTGCTTGGAGTTGGTTTGGAGGGCTTGAATGACCAATAAACAGTAAGCAGAGGACCTGGGAGAGGCCAGATCGGAACGAGGGCGCCGTTGGTGCATCCAGACCCTGCTTGGGGTACTCTGAGTTCAATTATTCAACCCTCTAAGCTGCAGCTGACGTTAGTGTTTATTGGCTAAGGATTTGAAATTGCCATGCCACGCTCCCATGGACTGGAGCTGGCCGAATCAATGGTTGGACGCTTAACTATGGAGTATGGTGAGGATCAGCCTGGAGAAGGCCTTTGAGTACCCAAGAAGACTCAGCCCCAACAGTTAAGCACTAAATACGGAGTAAGTAGGTCAGGTATGCGCCAAATTCCTCGGCCCTCCCCATTTATTATTGGCCATCAGTGTCGTAATCATTCATGCACTAACGTACCTGACCCAGAAGCGCAACGGGTTGTTGCACTTCTGGGTCAGGTACGTTAGTTATTTAACAACCTAGTCAGTCTGGTGATCCGCCCTGTATCTGGCATAGAAAGACAAGATAGGATGGGAAATAGATAACAGCAGGAGAAGAGGATGTTGCTAAAGGGAATATCGCAAGGGTAGCAAAAGGGTCTTTTCAAGGCACTTGTTGGAACGCAGAAGAGAATAATTGGTATGCTCTAGTCGTCGGCGGACGATCTTTAGCGGACTCGACACTCTTTATCTATCTCAGATCGGCCCTGGGGTCTGCCGTCAGACCCTGGGTGGGCCTCACACATTCAAGCATGTCTCTTTCGATGTTTTAGACAGCGATCGAAGACGCCGTGCTAGGTGTCGCCCGCTCTCATGTTGCACCGGATCCGTCTTTAGGTAGCACGGGCTGCCGTGAAACAAGGCCTCGTTTGAATGCCCAATGCCTCTTGTCAACATGTTCAACCACCTTATATCTGCAACTTCGCAAGATAATCGCTTGCTGCAGTCAGCGCCTCGTCGAGTTTGTCTACGTTTGTCCCGTTCCCAATACTCGTAGGTGCCTTGCCTCCAGCCTTCCCCCCCACAACGCCTGAAACGGTGGAGGCCCATTCAGAAGACGAGGCACCTGCCTTGCTTGCAGCCTGGTTTCAATTAGCACCTGATGAACGGATTTGGACCCCCCGTAAGGCTTACCCCAGAGACATGGCATGCGTGTACCACCCGGCCTGCCGTCTTGTCCACTGCAAACAGGTACACTGTCTTGTCTGGCATCTTCGTCTTGACATGGTTGATGGTATCAGTAACCGCTTTAGCATTGGTGATTGGCAAAGAAGTGACAAATGTTGTGGCTTCTTTGTTTTCGGGATCCTGGAAATACTCTGTCACTGTATCGAGCGCCTTTTTCGTTTCCGCCTTCTGTTGCGCCTTTTGTTGGTCCAATATCTGCTTGTGAATCTTCGCGAATCGATCACGGAACTCAGCTTTCCTAACAGCTGATATCGACAGGTTGTTCAAGTCCATGCTCGTTGCTTTGACTTTCTGCTCTTTCTCCGGACCGAACTCCATCTCTTCCAGCAGACTCAACCGCTTCGAGAACTCTTCCGCCAATCTCTGAACAGCATGTGCATCCTCTCCAGTCACGGCGATGATTCTTCGTATTCCTTTAGCAATACCGCTCTCTTCCAGAATGACAAGATCTTTGATGTCGCCCGTTCTCTGTACATGTGTTCCACCACAAAACTCTATGCTGACAGATGACCACCGTGGGTCTTTCACATTTTCCAAGATTTCCTCGACCTCCACACCGACCGAGACCACACGTACGGGATCCGGGTATGTCTCTCCAAATACTGCACGAACTCCTGTGATCTCTCGAGCTGTTGATAGAGGCACGTCTTTGGCAAAGACCCCACAGTTCTGCCGTATATACTCTGTCGACTTGTCTTCGATCTTCTGTAGATCAGGATCAGAAATCCCTGATTTGTGTGAGAAGTCAAAACGTAGCTTCTCCTGCGCGACCAATGACCCTTTCTGGTCTATGCCATCGCCGAGCACTTCCCTTAACGCGAAGTTCAGGATGTGTGTGCCCGTATGATTGTTCCGAATCGGCCATCTCCGTAGCTCGTCATATTCGCATATAGGTCTGTCGCCAACAGCAAAAGCACCGTATTTAACGTATCCGGTATGCAGCACATAGCCTGCATATACTTGCACATTTTGGACATCCAGCTCTGCTTGTCCATCGATCACGATCTTGCCAGTGTCGTATTCTTGACCACCCTGTTCTGCGTAAAAGTTCGTCTTATCCAGAATCAAACCAAGCTGACCACCTTTTGGTATTGAGTAGGTGTCGTCCACGAATTTTTTGGCATGATAAATAGCTTTGACTTGTGCGGTTATGTTATCTCGGCCGAATTTGGCATCATCATCTGTTTTTGAAACCCCGGGCATCTTCTCCAATATGCTGATATCGTGCACATCCAGCTTAACAAGGTCCGAAGCCGCCTTCTTTTCGCCTTTGCTGGCCTCCTTTGCTTTCAACCTAGCATCTTCAAATTCGTTGTCATCGATCGACAATCCTCGCTCTTCTGCCATTAACCTTGTCAGATCCGGTGGAAACCCAAAGGTGTCATAAAGCCTCCACACATCCGCTCCATGGAGTGACTTCAGATTCCTGTCTTTCGATTGTTGAGCATAATATTCGAACTGTCGTTCTCCTCGATCCAGCGTCTTTGCGAATGACAGCTCTTCCTCGCACAACATCTCTTTGACATCATCTTCCTTCTTTGCGATCTCTGGAAACATCTGTCCCATCTGCCCAACCAGCGTAGGCACGATCTTGGCAAAAAAGTCCCCAATCTCAACATTGAAGTATTTCCTAGCAAATCGAGCACCTCTTCTCAGCACCCTCCGTACCACATAGCCTCTTCCTTCGTTGTTGGGAATCCCGCCATCTGAAATTGCAAAGGTCAAGGTTCGGACATGATCTGCGACAACCCTATAAGCAGTGTCGACACCGTCCTTGTCCTCCTTGCCAAACTTGCCCGTGTACCCACGCGCACCAGTAACCTGTTGTATCGTGTCAAAAAGAGGAGTAAAAACATCAGTATCGTAGTTCGACGACTTGTCCTGCAGCACAGACACCAGCCTCTCATATCCCAAACCGGTATCCACATGCTTGCTTGGCAGCGATCGTAACGACTTGTCTGGTTCCCGGTTGTATTGTATAAACACATTGTTCCATATCTCGAGCACATTCGGATCATCCTGATTGACAAGAGCCGCCGCATCCCTCCCACCAATGCGATCATAGTGTATCTCGCTGCAAGGACCACAAGGACCCTGATCTCCCATCTCCCAAAAATTATCTTTCATATTCCCCGGCAAGATATGATCTTCCTGAACACCCACCGACCTCCATAGCTCCTTCGCCTCCAGGTCCGGTTCCAGACCGCCAGCAGCATCGCCTTCGAAGTAAGTCACATATAGTCGATCTGGCCTCAGCCCGTAGACTTCTGTAAGCAGCTCCCACGAATACTGGATAGCTTCTTTCTTGAAGTAGTCCCCAAAGCTCCAGTTGCCCAGCATCTCGAAGAAAGTGTGGTGATAGCTGTCCTTGCCCACATCGTCCAGGTCGTTGTGCTTCCCTCCGGCACGGATACACTTCTGTGAATTGACTGCCCTCTTCAGGTGTGCGAAATCGGAGTTTGGATCAACAGTGCCGAGGAAGATGGACTTATACTGGTTCATGCCAGCATTGGTGAAGAGTAAGGTAGGATCTGAAAGAGGGACAACTGAGGAAGAGGGTACTGCAGTAGACGCCCGTCAGCCAAAACGTTGTAAGCACCCAAAGGTTATCAGGGGCTCACCGAAGGTATGACCGCGCTGCTTGAAGTAGTCGAGGAAAGTGCTCCGAACCCGCTGGGCACTCCATTCTGGAGTCTCTGCAGCCGTGGACGAGGACGACATCCTGAAAACCTGCCAACAATGTCGTAATTGGGGTTGTCGGGTAACAAAACCTGGTTGTTGTGGTGGTCCTACCGAAGCTTGGAGAAGAGACGAGAAGCTCGATCTGCACCCTCTCCAAATTCCTGCTACCCGCATCAAACCGCACAGAGGTCAAGTATTTTACTTAGAGTAAATCTCATCCAATCAGCCGGGCGGCGCAAGGAGTTTTTAAGACGGTGCTTCTGTACATGAGTCACCAAAGAAATTTTGACGAAGCTAAGTGGTGGTCGTGATAGCTAGGGAACTAATGTTTGCGGTCACCCATCATGGCTACAAGCGGCACGCGGAGGAGGAGCAAGAGGGCGAGCAACCCATCACGAAACGACTGGCACGGATGAGAATTGGGAAGGATGAGCAGAATGGAGTATTACCGCATGCGTCAGCACACTATGCAATTCCTCATCACCCACAGCCAACCATCAGCGCTCCTGCACCCATTCCTTATCGCGCTTCTACGGACGAGTTAATGCCCCTCGATGACACAAAGGATAAAGTCTACATCCACGACCTCGAATCCGAAATTGCACAGATAGAAGCAGAGGAGCTGAAGTGCTTATTCCTACCTGACATAGACAGGAAGATCTCTGCAATCCCTCAACAATTACTGCGGTGTCACACCAACAATGCAAATACGCAAATGGTATTGTACCAAGTACCCTCCTCGATATCTGTGCCTGAAGAGCAGGATCATGTGAGGAAGGCGATCATTGCGACGAGAGCACGGGCAAGAGAGAAACAGGCCCGTGAAGCCGAAGAAACCCAGAAGAAGATCGAAGAGCATGTCCATGACGACCATATGAACGGACTGGTTACAGATCGAGTTGAGGAGCAACCGGAAGACTTTGACCCTGACGCCATGGACCTGGGCTAATCTGAGCCATGTTTGGGAAACTTCTTCACGCCTTCACCATGGCCATATACAGACAATTTCCCATGCCGCCAATACATGCGTGGTTGTCATATCCCTAGCGCCTTGCCTTCGACAATGCTTGATAGCCACATAACACCGGTTTCAAAGATATCACATACAACGACCTTATGAAGCATTCACAGCTCTCTGTTCGCCTTCTTCAGACCTGCTGTCGTGCCGAGCTGCCAGCAACTGCACCAGGATACGCCAGAGCATCATCGTTTCGCAACGGGGGAGCGCCGGGAGGTGGTACTGCGGCGTAGTCCCCTTGATCTGGATTTACTTTCGAGGTACCCCCTGGAGGCAGGTATGTGGGAGCGTTCTCGTTATTGCGGTCGTAGACTACAATATGTACTTAGCGGGGACAGTGTGGAAACCTGGAGGCAGAGTGCATATGCACCATAAAAAGGAGGAGAATGCAGAGAAGAGAAAGGGCAGAACGTACCGGGCGGAGGTGGAGCATATCCATTCATGGCATACCCATCCTGCTCCCTATTCATAGGGTAGACCATGTACTGATTCTGATACCTCGGATCGAATCGCATTCTTTGACTCCTGGGCACAAGCCACTGTATCACATCAGCCAACCCTAAGCTCTTACCACCAGGTGCCTTTGATTTGAGGAAGGATAGACATACCCTATGATATAACAAAGGCCTTAACCCCTTCTTCATCCGTCTCTGCGCATGAAAGTACCCGATCAGGAGAAAGAGGACGAAGGAAAAGAAGATGGCGCCGATGATGGACCACTTGACTATGTAGTCATTCTGCCCTGTCGTCAGCGATTGGTCATCCAAGTTCACTTATCTAAGAAAGGGAAATGGTAGTAAGAGTAGATGGAATATGACGGAACTTAGGAGTCGAGAAGCGGGGAGACACACGGAGCTATACCAGCCATCACCATCGTAGATGACATCCTCATCGTCAACGGGCACAAGGTACTGTCGGCGCTGCAGTGGGGTGGAAGAGCTAGACATTCTGTCCCGGCCCCGAACCTACAATCAGAGAATCCGATCTCCAAGGTTGGTCTATGATGCAAATAGAGCAGAAGAAACAACGATTATAGCATCGAGAATGGAAGCAGAAGCTTCAAGAACATACAGAGGGTTGATGGAAGGGAAGGCGTCGTAATCGAGGTCTTAGGTGCGTGGTTTCCCTGCCGCCCGCATGTCTCAAACAATCGGGTTAGTTAGAGCGCTGACAGGTTTCGGTTTCAGGGAACAAAGCTTAGCAGCCCCAATCCGCTGGCTTGATTCGGGCTTATCGGCAGCACTTTGGCACCATTGATTGTAGCAACAACATTATGGGGTGTTAACTGCTCGAATACAGTCATGCTTGTAAGCATATCTGGCGATTCGTACGCCAGAGGTCTGAAATATATGACACAGTTTCTTACTGAACGCGTGAAGGCCAATGAGCCTCTTCCTTCCATGTCCAACATGCCGGCTCTTCTGGACAGGTTGTCAATGCCACAGTACAATGGCCGCTTCCAAAATGTCATCAACCATATCCAACAGTGACGGACCCAATACAATATTGACAAGATCTATACAGCGCATGCTCAGTCGCAGCGCTTAAAAACATCCATCACCAAACGCAAGTGCGTATCATCATCCGCCTTCATCCAACCTCCCAATTCTCTCCAAAAACGTCCCTGCCCACTCATTCAACGTGCCATCAGCCGGCAGGTTCCGGGGATTTGCTCGACAGTAATGAACAACTTTCTGTAGCACCTGTCCCAGCATCGGCTGGTCAATAACCACTTGGTCTGCCATCAACTCCCTCGGGTTGAGAAAAGGATCCGATGTGCTCAGCATTTCAGGGATGGTAGGTCGAAGGCTTTGATCGCGCTCGAGGCAACGTTTTAGGATCTTAAGCAGGCCTGACGGGACGGGCACCCCGCCCACGCCCGTGGCTGAGAAGTTGATCGCAACTTTGGGATTGGGAATAGACATGACTCGTTGGTGTGCATTGGCGATGTGTGCGAATGGAGGTGCTCCATAGACCATCTGGTAGAGGATACATCCTAAACTCCAGACGTCGCTGGGCTTGCCGATCTTGAGCAGCTGGCCCTTCGGATCTCTTCTTCCATTGACAGCATTGCAGTCAACCAAGGCTTCAGGGCTCATGTAATTGGGTGTCCCAATCTGGTTCTCGCGGTGGACATTCACGGTATTATCCTGGATAGCGTTCGCAATGCCGAAATCAATGATCTTGAGCCTGCCCTGAACGACCAGAAAGTTCGCCGGCTTGAGATCCGAGTGCACAATTCCGTAGTCATGAACAGCTTGCACACATTCGAGCATCTCCCTCCAATAGTGCCGCGTGAAGCTGGGATCAAACTTGGCGTTCTCGCTCTTGATCTGCAGATTGAGCATGCGATTGAAGTCTGATTCTCCCATCTCCATCAGCACTTTGAGTTCTCCCTTCTCATCATTGATCTCGTAGTCGAAGAGCCTGACCACTCGTTCCACGTTTTCAAGCCGACGTAGAAGGTCAATCTCTCCCTTGTAGCCAATAATTGATGCTGCATCAGCTTCTTCCAGATTTACCCTCTTCAGAGCAAACATCTTATAGTTCTCCGCCATGACGCGGTAGACACGGCTAGATCCTCCTCTCCCAATACAGTCGAGGCGAGTGAAAAGCTTACCATTAACGCTCCAGGCGACCTTCTTCTTGCTGCGCGTAGAGCCTGCATTCGAGGTGGCTGCTTCAAGAACTGACATCTTAGGAGGTGGAGGTGCCACCCTGTGTGGTGTATTCTGTGACCGTGGGGCAAGTGGTTTGCGTTGAGGCGAGCTTGTTGCTGGTGTGGCATTGTTGTGGTTTCTCTCACCAAACACCGCCACCTTGTTGACTTCTCCTAGAACAGATGACGCAGGCTTTGACCGCTTGAACGTCGGAGGCGGCTCGTTCTCCTGGTCATGAGTCGAGGGCATTTGTGGTGGCCGAGGCACCTTGAATATGTGCTGCGCTCGAACACTTGACGACCTCGATGATTGATTCGATCCATAGCTTATTGGATTGGGGACTTGGTGTGAAGCTAGCTCTGGGGAATGGAGCTTCTCGTGTTTGAGCTCGGCCCTTTCTTGGATGGGTACAATAGTGGCTGAAGGAGCGAACAATACGTGGAGGTGAGGAGGACTAGCATTGTGATGTTTGGCTTGTGTATTGATGTCGACGTTTCGATGTGCCGGACTGCGAGATCGAGACTCACCAATGGTTCCTTGATCCATTTCCTCAGCATCCTGCGATCGCCCAGGGCTACCGTGAGAAAACCCGTCATTGTTCTGCGGATGTACATCTTCCTCCTCACTCTGCCGCCTGATCATACCTCTTCTCACCGGACCATTAAGGAATGTACCAGTCATTTTGCCAGTCCTCTTTACGCGCATTGTGCTTGGTAGGCCATGTTCCTCTCCTCGACGACTTTTTGTCACCGTAGTTGAACCAAGAGGCGCAACCTCATCCTCGGCGGTGATGTCAGATCTTCGCCCTCCAGACCTTTCATGATCGTGCGGTTCTGAGCTTTGCTTTGTCTGAGAGTCGCCATTCTGTGTCTGTGTAGCAGGAGAACTTGAAGGTGGTGACCTCGTCTGACTCCTCGACCCGTTGATCCGTACTGTCCTCACCTGTGGCGCCGGAGTAATCGCATCTAACGCCTGTCCGCCGGACCCGTGATCTCCAATTTTCTTATAGAAGAATGATCCATCTCTCCCCAGCGCTGCGGCCTGCGGCCTGCTTCCTGAACCATGCTGCGCAGCTCTCGGCAAAGGGCTGCCACTTGATCTCTCCGCCTCTCTCGCAGCTAGCCCCAACCTTTCTGCTTGTCTCAAAGCCAATCTCCTCTGTGCCGAATCATCATCAATCTTACCAGCTCCTGGACTTGTCGAAACCTGACTCGCTTCCTCCCCGAGTATCTCCCTCGCCTCAGCACTCAATTTGATTGGCGCTAAATCCTCCTCATCAGAGCTATCACCAACCGAAACCTTTGCTGCACCACGTTCTTCGAACGTCCTTGACGCTGCTTGAGCGCTCAGCACGAGCGGCGATGTTCTCCTTGATCCAAGTTGTCCAGAAGTCGTGCGCGTGAGAGTCCGTTTCGAAGGTCGTCGGTAGAGGTCCCTTCCATTGCCGGCCCAATCGGAAGAGGAGATGGGGATTGGCGATGGAGAAGCGAGAGCGGCCATTGATGTAAAGAATGTTTGATTGTTGTATGCATGAAGGTCTTCACGAGCTCAATATGAGCTTCGCACAAGTCCTCGAAATGATGTTCCAGGCAGCTTGGAAGAATTTTGATGACCTCAATTGAAGGAGTACGCGACCGAGGTCTGTGCACGGGCCACTCACAATATGTTGCCAGGAGCAACAAAGTCCGTACCAGCAAAATTGGCCCAGGGACGTGCCAGTGCTACATACCATGTTCAATAACTTCGTCTCTGAATGCTGATTTCTCTGTTCCCGAGAGGGACACCCCGTGTGTCGACTTGGTGTGCAATAGCAATAGCTACATTAGAAAGCTAGTGATCGGTCTCTACACTCCAGAGGTACGTAGTAGACACATGTCTGATTGCTGGAGTACAAACTCCATAATTATTCTAAACTGAGGCATGCTTGGCTTGCAGCTGTCTCGAGATGTGACTTATTGTATATCTAGATTTCCTGCTTTGGAAGTGCAGCTACTTCTCAACCAGAACACTTTTCGATTTGAAAATAAATACTCCCTGTACCAAGCTCAATCCTTCCTCGAATCTGTGCTCTCTTATTTCTCCAAGATCATTATACCTCTCATGAAAATGGCATCTCTCTGGTGGAAGAAATGCTCGAACCAGCCAACCCAGTCATTGCCCAGGCATTCTCTGTCCTCCTGCAGCCCGATGATCGTCTTTCGCTTAGTTGAACAAGGCCAATATCGAGTCTGTGACAACCGCGTTCTCGATTTCCCCACCCGTCTCATCGTACCTATGAATCTTGACGCTTTCAACATGCTCTAAACTCATCCGGTAGGCTTTGGCCTCCACCAACGTTTCTGCCCAATCTGACTCGGTGTGCCAGCCCCAGTAGTGACCGCTCAATGAGTCAGGGTCGAACCCAGAGCGAAGGTGACTCGACCAAAATGCTTTTAAGCCGCCACCCTGCCTTTCATATGGTTGTGAACAAATCCAGCCTGCCCACCTGGAGACAGCCTCAATTGCCATGTCCTTAGATACGTCAAACCATTCTCTGTGCTCGCACTTGCAACGGGAACACTTTTCCCAACGTCGGTTGGTGCTGAGATCCCAGTGCACGAGTTGCTCGACTCGAGGAGCATGTTGTATTGCACTGGTAAAAGCGATCAATTTAGCGCCATCGTGACATCTACGGTGACGAGAAACACGCTTCATGGGGTGGTGCTTGCTAAAGCCGATTTTGAAGCAATTCTCGTCGGCATCTCTGGAAACGATGTACACGTAACCCTTCTGCGCACTTCTCATTGGTTTTCCACGGGACATCAGTGGCGCACGGATTGTCCTGAGTAAACCTTTACGCCGTGCTCGCATGGTGTCAATTGCGTACAAATGGGCCAGCAAGCAATTGAATTGGCTGTGCGTCATGAAGGATGTGAGTTAGTAAAGATATTTGCATATTCCAGCATATTCGGAAATGAAACTGGTTGCAATGTATGGTGGTGAGGTACAAAGCATGCGTTGGCTCGTAACTTACAGTATATGTTGTTAGCGGGACTACTGTATCATCCATACACAGCTTGTTGTAATGTTCTGGATGGCTGTATATGCTCAATGTGGGTCATCAATGAGTCCATGTAGGATTGGTAATCTTCAGTGAAAGTTCAGGCGGTCAGGGCCAGGCACAAGCAGGACTTGAAATTGAAGGCAATATCATGGCCCAACGTAGAATGATATGGATGGAACTGAAAGTCAGGTAATCGAAACGAGAGTAAGACATGGAGCTCTGGTTCAAGTCCAGATAAGAGACGAGTCTTGGAAGGAGAACATTACTCAATGAAATGGTGTAGATCCTTCGATCTCATCAGCAAAAGGAAATGAGCTGGTAGAGAACAGATTCAAAAACCAGAAAAGTCCACTGAGAGACAATACACCAATGAGGTGCAGAAAACTCAACCGTAAGAAATACTGAACAAGGGAAAATCTCGAACAGAGAGCAAGAAGCCAACCCCAAGATGAAGCTATTTCGTCCAACGAGTCAAGACCACAGGTATCTCCAGTGGAAATCTCATCATAACCGACTGGAGCTTTCCTCGGCTTTGACATATAACGTCAAGCACAAGAGCATAAAGCACTTGCTGAATCCTCGCCCCTGGGGTGGCCATCTACCAACAGCCAGGCCAGCCAGGCTGCTGCCCGCTGTGGACGCGAGAGTGCAAGGTTGACCGAGCCCAAGTCTCAATATCACAGCCAGTCCCCGATAGGATGTCCACGATGGCTATGATCTCATAAAGTTAGGTGCTCGAGAGGCGGCAAAGGGTAAGAGATCGGAAGTCCTCTAGGCAATGGGCTACGTAGTCGTCTACTAGCGGGGCATTTAGCGGAGTATTGGGGTAATTGAGTGTAGGTCTTGTTCTTAAGACGAGGGTTTCCTCTTCGAACACTCAAGTTGTGGTCGTGGATGATTTATACCCAGGACTAGGTAAATTGTGGGGACAAAAGGCCTCCTACTTACTACTACGGTAGTAAGAAAATACTCATGCCAAGCTTCCCACTCTCCACCACACTACTTGTAGTACTGCCAGTGGTAGCAGTAGTAGTAGTAGTAGTTATCAATTTAACGTTGGCAACATAAACTGGTTCTTTAGGAGACGTCTGGAGCTGACGCGAAACACCATGATTCATCTTAGAGGCGAGACTATAGACAGAGCCTTATAAGACATATGCATATGTACATACACATGGAACCAAGCATCAAACGCCATGTCGCTATGCTAACAACACTTAAACGATCCACCCAATCCATGCAACGTTTTAAGTCACGCCCACAACCCATACAGATGTTGACCATTATTCTTCGATCCTGATATGAATCGTCTCGGTCGTCGGGGCTCGAGCTCTCTTCCCTACCTTGGCCTTCTGCTTGGTCTTTTGCTTAGGCTTCCTCGCCCAGCCACTCAAGCATCTCCATCCGGCTTCACAATTCTTCGACTCCTCAATAACACCTGCCACGCCTTTCAAAAGTTTCTCCTTTTCCGTCCCCATCTCTGTTTGCAGCTTCAGCATCCACTGCTCCCACATCCATGCTCCGAGCAATCCAGTGACATTAGCCACATCAGCAGTGCTTCCAACAGCACCATGCACAGCCTCTGCTCCGCCTACTGAAGGTGGAATCGGTAGTGGAGTTTCACGTGGCGCCAATGGGTTTGGAGTTGGTGCGCCAGCCGGCAGGAACATCCATGCACGCTTGACGTCGACAAATTTGGTCTTCCGCAACCGTCCAAGGAAAGACTTGGTGGGCAAGGGATCATATCCACGAGTCTTCAACTTGAACCGAAATTCAACTGACATAGCGTTGGCAAGTGGGCCGGCATGAGCTATGTCAGCATCCATCAACATGAACTCGAGGTATCCTCCTGGCTTGAGGACTCGATAGCATTCTCTCAAACATAGGTCGTACTCATCTATGTGGCTCTGGCCAGGCACTGGTTCGTGCTTGAGCATGGCGTGAAGCGACCGCGCCGAAATAAGATCAAAGTGATTGTCACCGAAGGGGAGCTTCCATAGCTGAGGAGTGATGACCAAGCGGTGATTGGCTGGACCCGTGATATTTAGATTTGTTGCAGCAGATTCAGTAACGACGGTGTACGTCTTGACGTTGGGGAATTGTCGTGCGCAGTGCCAGGCCCAGTCACAAGACGGCTTGCCGCCAAGGTCCAGAACTCGGGTGCCCCTTTTACCAACACCTTTTCGACCGTCAACGGGGAGTTCGGCCTGAGCAAGTCTTCTGGCAGCGTTGCTGAGAAGTAAATTGCCGCCGTTCAAGTATTTGAGTGCCTCCGTTGTCCAGTAAGCTGGGGAGGTTTGATCAAGCACGCCTTTTTCCCTTTCGACCATCAAGAACGCCATCTGTGCAGGTGTGTAATCAAGGACACCTGTTGCCCGCGGATTTTGCGAGAATGGACCGCAGTATTTGGGTCTAGTTGGTTCGCGAACTTCATATCTGCCACGCAACCGATCAATATGTTCACTCATTAAAGCGGTACGGTTGGCTTGGACAGCATCGAAGCGAGGAGTAGCATGGATAAATCCATCCCGACGCTTGCTGTGGCGCGTCAAGTGTTGAAAGGCATGATAGTAAGCATGCTCCTCGTGCTGACCAATCTGTGCTGCGACGTCGTCTCTGGTCGGGGTGGTCGCCTCCAGAAATCGGACCACCTTCCTGATTGGTGAATCGGCAGAGTCATTCATCTCGTGCATGTGCTCCAGCTTAGAGCAAGCCGATCCGCTTACATTGTTTGCAGGGTTGGTTTCACAAAGTGCTGAGAGGTAGGAGATTTGAGCTGCTAACCATGTACTTGTTCGATCCAGGTGAGCAGCAGCGCCGTGTAACAGCTCGCTCTCGTAGGCTTCTTCGTATTCGTAGCGTAACTGTGGTGATCTCAGGTTCTCTTTGACTGTCTTAACACTGTTCGGTATGCTTTCTGACTGCTCAGCAGCAGTCGCCGGAGAACAAGGATTGTCTTTGGTGACAAGTCGGGCTGTTGATGGGGTCTCCATGAAGTGTTGTCGCGCAGTCGGAGGCCCCTCGGTATTTGCTTCCTCAATCTCAACCACTTGTTCCACAATATTTTGTGGCGGCTGCCACGGCACATTGTAAAAGTTTTCAGCAGTAGTAGATGACGGCGGATTCAACTGTTTGCTTGTACCAGGAAACCAGGTCTGACGAATTCCGGTCTTCAGTGAAGAGAAGAAGCCACCGGGCGATGGAATGCTGAGTTGAGAGAAGCTGTAGTCCGAGAGGTTAGAAGCGGGGGTAGCTCCATCCATGCTTCGTGGACGGCTGACTGGGTCCGCGTACTCACGCATTTCTCTTTGGTCGTCACTTGATGATTCTGAGTATACGTCAGAACTACCCTCGGGAGCCAGACACTGAAGTGTTCGCAAAGCGTCCGACGGTAATAACACGCCGCGATCTGACGGCGAACCTGAACGCAAAACGCCCAATCCATGCAGATCTGGCATAACTGGTGACATTTCCTGCGGTGTGGCACCTGGAATGCGTGGGAAATCTCCAATTTCATCCCAGTCAATGGGCTGCTCAATGACTATCTCACCATTTGCTGACATTGATTCACTTTCCGTGTCATCCCGAGCCAAGTCTACATCACGTCTCAGGCGGACTGCATGTGGTGCGTCCCAGTTCACGCCTTCTTTCAGAGTTTGCATGTCTGGGGTAACCGGGGCACTGATGCAAGAGACTTGTTCTGACGTCATGCTGCTACCATCAAGTGACGGTGGCGCGTTAATGGCGGGTACAAATCTTGGGAGCAGAGATAGCGCGGCTGGTGAGACTGGAATCTTTGACGGTGGGGTAGGAGGAACTGCTGGAGATCCTTTACCTGGTCCTGTAAGAGAAGGCCATATGTTGCTAGGCGGTATCATGATCGTAGGATATCGGTGTTTACTGCCGGATCGAGAGCTCGCAATACTGTTTCGCGTTGACTCTGTGGCAAAGCTTGTTGGGCGACTCGACACGGAATCTTTCAACGATGAAGAAGAGTCAGAGAATTCGGTTTCGTTGTCACTGACGTCGTAGAGCTCGTCGAAACTCTTCGGTGTTGGCTGTCGTCCATACTCCTGAGATGCCAGTGAGGAGATGTCTGAAAGCGGCAATGGAGGGATTGCTGCGTCTTTGCCTGTTGATATGCTCGTGGCCAGCTTTGCGTGAAGATTGATCGGGTTGTATACAACAGTTCCCTCGTCTGTGTCTGTGCCGCTTTCATTGCTTGAATGGCCCAAGCTCCCCTCATGTTTCTCTTCTATTATGGTATTAAGTATTGTACCTCGGACCGGCCGAGAAGGAGACTGATATGTTGCTGCCGGCAGCAAGTAGTCCATTTTGTGTAAATCGCGCTGCAAAATGCTTTCAAAAATCACGACTCAGAAGTGATGGATCAACGCAGATTTTTGGGGTACGTATTGAGGTAGAAATGAAACCAAGGAAATACTCGAATTAGTCCGGTCAACGGACAATGCTATTACAGGAAGACGATCAAAGAAAGACAGAACAAAACAGACAACGGCGACGTCAACGACGAGGAGAAATGGAGGCGTGAACAGGGAGGAGAAGAAGTAGAAGTAGCGAGGCGAAGAGGTGCTAGCAAAGAGCGCCTGCTGCTACGACGTCGCGCCAACTTTTCAATAGGTAATGCCCAAAAGGGTTCAAAGAGCATGCATACACTTCGTGTCTAGATGCAGAAGACAGGGTCTGATTGGGGTATGGTGGCCAGAGACCAAGTAAGTTTTCTGGCGCGTCGCTGTTTCGAGGGCAATAGCAGCCACTCAGAAGCTTGACATTGAACGCTCGTTCTGCACCTTTCCTTGTCCTAGATGGCGCTTAAAAGAAGGTGGTGCGGTTAGGCTTCTGATAGGGCGAAACGTAAGCGCTGTCTTATTTTGGACTGACGAGACCATGCCTCTTTCAATCTAATTCAGGAACAGATTGGCTGCGTCGTGTGAGAGAAGTTCCATCTTGCATCTAGACATATTCGCTTGCATCAAACGACGCGGTAGCACATGAGGTCGTGGCAAGATGAGGAGCAAGAGAAAGATCATCGTTGACTGACGATGAAGGTCGTTGGGGAGCTGGTGAAGCGGCAGCTCCCGCAACCGGCAAGCCCACCCCCCACCTGCAGGCCCTCTGGCCCCACATTGGCCCCCCAGATAATGTTAGAGAATTGTCACAATCAATTAGGGGAAGAGCACAGGATTCCTAGCTAAGTTACAACTTGAAGTTTCCACTCCGAATCCAATCTCTCAACTCGAGATGTCTCCTCCTGCCATAATCGCCCCCTCGATTCTGTCGGCAGACTTTGCAGCTTTAGGAGCCGCATGTTCCGACCTCATGGAGTACAATGCCCATTGGATCCATATAGATGTGATGGACGGGCACTTCGTTCCAAACATTACTTTTGGGGCACCAGTCGTCACGAAAATACGATCGCACGTTGAGCGCCCATCTCAAAAAGGTGGCAAGGGAACATTTGATTGCCACATGATGATTGCAGAGGTGTGTGAAAACTGAAATTGAGAATGGTTTGCGCGCGCCTGCAGGGATATCACACAGCTCCAATCTGGAACGAGCATCTAGCTAATGCATAGTCCCTGGTGGCTCGCTCTGACGGCGAGTATGATAGGGGACACCAATATTGCACAGCCAATGAAATGGGTCAAAGATTTCAAAGACGCAGGCTGCGATCTGTACTGCTTTCACTACGAGGCAGCGATCTCCTCGGTGGCGGCTCGAGAGCCGGCAGATACCAAGACAACGAGGAAGACGAGCCCTAGGGAGGTGATCAGATACATACATGAATGCGGCTTACAGGCCGGCATTGCCATTAAGCCGGAAACGCCGGTGGATGTGCTGTGGGAGATATTGGAGAGTGAAGATGAATCAGAAAGGCCTGATGTGAGATCCTCTACCAAGCGGAAACGTGGAAAGCCTATGTTGTACAAGTCCTGACTGTGTGTGGTTAGATGGTGCTTGTCATGACTGTACACCCAGGTTTTGGTGGACAGAAGTTCATGGCTAGCGAGCTGCCCAAGGTGAAAGCACTTCGGGAAAAATATCCTGACTTGAACATCGAGGTTGATGGAGGGCTGAGCGAAGGCACTATCGATCAAGCTGCCGATGCTGGTGCGAATGTGATAGTTGCTGGTTCCGCTGTGTTTGGTGCCAAGGATCCTGCCGAAGTCATTTCAAAACTACGAGAAGCAGTGGAGAAAAGGAGAACGGGCGGAAAGCTTTGAACGACAAAATTTCAGAAACTTACCCCATGTAACATATGCTAGTAAGCTTGCGATATAGAAAGCATGTTGTTACAATGTTTGCTCTGATGATCTCTCAATCCCCAACACTAGCACCAGCTCCCTCAGGATCTTTGGCGTCTTGCTCCTGAGGTTGAATGCCTCTCATGGCAGCAGCTTCTCCTTCATCTGTTGATTTTAAGTCTGCCACCGTAGCAGAGGCAGACTGCTCAAGTCGTTTGCCCTCACCAGCCATCGATGTGAATGATGTTTCCCTATCTTGTGCAGCAACCTTAGTACGTGATTCATCTGTGTCGCCGGTCTCCTCCAGGATTGTATTCCGTTTCTCGATTTCCTCAATCTGCTCTTTAGGGGCTAGTGATACACTCGACCCTCGATGAGTCCTTGGACCTGGTCCCAAACCTGCAGCATCAAGGTTCGTGCTCGACGTTGCTGCAGTTTCCTCTGACAACGGTGATTTCACCTTCGGCATACTGCCAGCACGGCTGGCGTCTGTCATCGTAGCTTCTTTTGACAGATCGACATCCTTCTGCTCATTTTTCCCGTCGCTATTTGTGACTTGATCTGTGTTAGTCCGCTTCGCGTCTTCCTCAGCAATCTTATCCACGCTTGTCCGCTTTGCACCCTCCTCGGCAAGCTTTTCTGGAATCTTTGCTGCAGCTGTGTTGGCTGAAATACCCGGCTCCTCCACAGATCTAGCCATCTTGGTCTCAATTGCAGGCATTGGCATTTCTGTGGCCTCCAGGTCCCTCGCTGAAATTGGTGCCGTGGACTTCGATCCTTTCTTCTCTCCTGCCCTTTTGGCTGCCTCTGCTCCCGCTTGTCGCATTGCCATGGTCAGTGGCGTTTCTCCTTTCCTTGAAGCACTCATTGGCGACGAATCGAACTGTTCACTGGTTTCTTTGCTAAGTGGTGATGGGCTGGGCATATCTGAGGGCGTTTTCAAGGCCAACTCAGAGACTGGTATAGGTGAAGCGGAAGCTTTAGAAGGTGTATTCGTAGCCGATGCGGTTGGCGTAGGAGCTGCTACAGGCGTGCTCCCTATCTGTTGTCTCAGCTCGCCGTACTCGTTCCATTCCTCAATTTCTTCGAGATCCTGCGACGATCGTGTCAGCACTTCGGCAGAGCTGACGGTGGGAGACTATTGTCAGTACCCCAACTATGCTGCCATATTTGACTAATCCGGGTAGCTTCTTGCCCTTGGATCGTCTTCCCCAAAGCATCCGAGCTTTCTCGTCTGTGGCCACATCAAGAGCTCTGAAAGGAATCTTGTTGGCCTTCAATATCGTTTCGAGACGTGAGGTGGCGGTGATAATATGCGAAGAGCCAGCCGTAAGTGAGGTATAGAGGTAGAGTGTAGAATCGGCCGAGTACGATTTGGGTGTTATGTCTGCCATGGCGAAATTGCTAGGTGTACTGCTGATCTGTTAGATCCTGCTGGAAGCAAGGGGCTCCGAAGAGAGTATCTTGGTGTTGATGCGTAGAGCTTTGATGAATAAAGGGTCTACTAGCGCTTCGAGCTATGATACGTTTTGAGGTTGTCTGATTTTCTATTGAGTACGTCTTACAGCATGTCTTTATGTAACCCCTGCTATTCCGTTCAGGCTTGGCATGGGCCTTATTACTTAATTCCCTTTCGCTCAATCGCATGTTCTTCGCACATCAACTGTCATTCCGTGCGTGTCTGCATTCAAGGTGGTGTGAAGCCACGCCGCCATAACAGCGGGTTGTGTTGACCACCCAGTCTGTACCCATCATCATCCACACCAAATCCAGAGGGGCGAGTCACAAAATCGCTGCCAGATTCTGACTGCCGACTCTGCAAGGCCACAACTCGGCTATCGTTCAATCCACCAATACATCACACGAGAGCACCTCCTTGTCTCAGGAAACCCCTAATCAGCTCTCGTACATCCTGATCTTCTACTTCCGTAAGATCCACCGTGCGTCTCTCCTTTAAGACTTCTTCAATGTCATCGAGCTCTTCGATCAACGCCTGTTTTCCAGTATAGAGTTCCCAAATGCTCAATCCCAGAGCATAGATGTCGTCGGAAGGGGTTGGAGGTGCATCCGTCTGGAAGAAGTCTCGGTTGGGCGCCAAATATTGATGTGTACACAGAGCATCCCAGGCTCCAGGAGCTTCGTCGATAGGTCTGGCTGAATCGAAATCGCAAAGCCGTAATTTACCGTCGCTGCAACGTAACATATTCAATGGTTTTATGTCTCCATGAACCATTTGGTACTTTTTGTGCAACCTGCTGATCAGTTGGATCATGTCATCTTTGATCGCCACTTTTTCATGTTCCTTCACTGATTTGATATCCAAAGGTGCCAGCAATTCCATGAGGAGGCTTTTCATGACAGGCCAGCCGTTCTCCACAGTAACTACCCGTGCAACTGCTCTCACTGCACAGTCTCCCGCCTTTTGCATCATGTTGAACTCTCTCTGTTTGCAGTTCAACTTGTAAGCCAGCCCTTTGTATTTATACACGTAACCCGAACCACCAATGGCAAGCACCTCCCAGCTCTCATTGTCACGTGACATGTCCATGTAATAGACGTCTGGTCCGCAAGGAGCCCATAATTCAGTGTTGGGTGGCGAATTCGCTGTCAAACTGCCGCCGGTTTGCGTTGACGTAGCCGTCAAGGCCGAGGACAGGTTTTGGGATTTAACAATACGGCCATAAGAGAGTTCCGCAAACTCGTCCTCACGATAGGTTTGGCAGGCCTGTGAAGCAGCCAGAGGATGCAAATAGGGGAGGAAGTGTGTTGGGGGAATTGTTGGCGTACTACGGTACCAGGCATATTACTGTTAATATGGTGTTAGTAACAGCTAGTTAGTCTTCATACAGATCCACAGATACTAGTAGCTAGTTAGTCGCAGAAAGCTTAACTATGTTAGTTTTGGCTTCAGACCTTTCAGCGCTGTGGGTGGTCGAGTCGTTTTTCTTTCTTTCTGCAAAGGGAATGGTCTAACTTAGTTATTCTAATTGACGGAGAGGCGCGCCAGAAGCGGATGTCTCTACTACGTACTTCAACGGAGCAAAGGCCGACCATCCATATTAGGCAGGAACCTCCCTGTCACTTAGGCACGGACCCAATCGAAGTTTTCGCAGGGGACTACTACGTAGTACTGTTTCCTACCATCTCGATGCTCCATCCCTGAGTCTATCAAAAGGGTTCGAGGAACGCTCACATTCTATTTCAAAGCATAAGATGACAAGGTTTAAGCGATTGTGATTTAGGACGATCTGATTTGGGATCACAACCGTAAGACCGATGCCACCCCCCTCTCTAAAGACATTCAATCGCGCCAGAGCCGCGCTCAATGATCCTCTTGGGAGAAGCAGTACACAAGGCTGAAGGCGCATGCAAAGCTCCATTTACGGCTGAAATTGCCTTGTCAGTGTTGTTCCCCCTTACCAGCAATTTGCCTCAGGCTCTCGTACAGCACGTGTGACGAGCCCCATCGGGCAAGCAGGCTGTAGTGCCAGCGCAGTATACGATGGAAAGTATTATCAAGTCTACCGGACGAACAGGTCTTCTTACTGGTCAATCGGGCGGTCACCAGAACAAGGCGCAACCAAAACCGCAAGCATAGCCGGCCGCCTTGAAAAGCACCTCCGCTCGTGATCCAATGGCGGAAAGGGTTGGCTTCAGGCTGACCACTTGTGCTTCCTGACATTAATCATGCATTGGCATAGCTCCGATAGCCATGATCACAGCACCAGTCGTGTGGACCTGCAACCTCACCAATGCGTTAACCACTACAGGTAAGGGCCGCTGCATCACTTATTGAATTTCCGGATTCTCACGATTTCTCTTCCTGCACTCCACTGCACTTTGCTTTGAGCCTTTCACTGTCTCTGACTTGATCGCTTGTTGGCTCCAACGCAAGTCTGCTCATATTATGGCGGAGCGGGAACATGGCGCTCGCCTTCACAGGGATGCTCCAACACCACATGCCCTCGGTCCAGAGGTTGCTGTTCGGCAGGTTGCTATGCGGCATATCAAGCCCGATACAACTCCTCCCACTGAACTCCAAGAACAACATGACGACGAGTTTCGGGACCAGCAGGAGGACCTCCTGGAACGATTGTCAAATCACTATGCCCCATACGAAGGTTATGACCTTCTCATCAAGACCTTTGAGAAGACGATCAATGGTTCAGTCAAAGCTACATTCCAGGATGGCACAAGGCTTGCTGAGGTAAGGGAGGAAGCCGTAAGACCCAAGGTCGGCCTCACCTTCTTGCCGGGGGCCGATACTCCGCAGGTCAACCAAATGGAAGAGATACAGATGACTCAAATCACTCCAGATCAAAAAGATGCTTCCTGGAGGGTCAATACCGCAGGGGCCCTTCTTGTCAACTTTTCAGTGCGTCAAGACATGACGATATCCTTCTCCGACAACACTGGTGCTGTCGTCAATGCGATGCGCAGGCGCCAGAGTGGCGCCGATGGGCCGCTCGTCGAACCAAATATGAGGTCGAAGGCACTTGCTATTCGCAGAGCCGCCGATCGATTTGTGACCATTGACAGTGCCAATGTCAAGATCGTCAATGACTTAAACTCGGAAAGCTGGGACCTGGAAGGGCTCCTCGTGGAAGTAGATCAGTCTAGCTTGATGTCGCTCATCTCTAACTACCAGCGCGTCATCCGTCGGGGTGGCCCGGATCTGCCTACCACGGAAACAGTACGTGTCCTCACCCTACCAAGTGAAGCTGCTTTCAGCTCGCTGATAAGAATAGATACAATTACTTGATGTGATGATCGAGGATGCGCGTAGACTTTGCGTTCGGAGCCCTATCCTATTTCGCATGTCTACTCGTCGCCAGATCGTCTCATCTAAGAACACTAGATATGGCGTTGATGATGGGAATATGTTCAAGACCTTGACCACGAGCGCTGGCATCAAGAATATCATCTCGCTTAGCTCTTCCTACTTCAACTCGCTCTCCCAGCCAGCAACGCCAGTTCAGCAAGAGAAGATGCAGCAGGAGATTCGTCCTCGGTTTCTGCAGATGCTTGTTCTCCTTTTAGCATTACTCAACAACGGTAACCCCACCATGATGGTACATGCTAGGCGTTACTGACTTCTCCGGTAGATGACTTAGCACTCCTCGAAGAGTTTTTAGAAGAGACCTACGGAATCAGGGCTAGCCGGCAGCATCTTGAGCTCTTGATACTCAAAGTGCTTCCACTTTCTTCCATCAACTCTAAAATATTCCTGAATGCGCTCGTCTCTGCCGTTGATCTACCCGAAGTGAAGCCATCACCAAATCGTTCCGATCAGCCAATTGTGTGGAACGTTCTCGTTGCAAGCTTGCTGCAGCAGGGCTACATCCTTCCTGGCACTATCGATCAACTTGGTGGTTTCGATCAATCGTGGATTGTCAAATGGCCAAAGGATGGTTTCAAAGATGCAGGCGTCTTCAAGAACCTGCAATATTCAGGGGACTCGCGCACCGTCAATGAAATTCCTCCTATGAACCTCAACCCCGATCCAGTCTCAAGTGAGGTCACAGTCATACTAGCAAATGGTGGTAGCTACATCATTTCACATGTCGACCTGGAAAACATCATGAGGATGACGCCAGGAAGATACTCAGTCACAGAAGCCCGCGAAGGCGGCCGATCGTTCGATCTTGACATCAGCGATGTTTGTGTTAATCAGCCCTTGTTCCGGGCTATTGGGGAGATCAACGCAATTCTCGGTCTTGTGAAAAGTATTCTGCCTGTCCGTCCTAAGAACGAGATCGTTCGTCGGTTTGACCTTCTTCTCCGTAGTGGGTCCCTTCGCACGAATGGCCGAAGATACGAAGACAGTTCCCTTCCTGAGCTCAAATGTTGCGGTCGGTTGAATTACAATGTTGCGAGGCTAAACGGCCATTACCTCGCATTGGCATGCAAGGTGGATGGACGGAAGATCACCAAGCGTGAGCTCCTCCGTCATCTTCACTCGGATATGAATAAGATGGAAGCCACGACCAGAGCCATCGAGGCGACTATGCAAACTGCGTTTGAAGGCAAGCACACTAGCGATCATGTGCGACAAACTATCTTCCGGCTGAAGGAAGGCCTTGCACAGATTGGAAGGATGAGCGAGGATGTCGATAGAAGGAAGAGCGCGATGTCAGTGTATGATTCCGCGCTGCACAATGAGCCAGTGTCCAAAGTTCTGTATCAAGTGGGTACGAACGAGACACAGGTCTCAGTCTGGAGTGATTACAAAGCTTGGCATCAAGCTAGCGAGAACGTTCTTTATATCGAGTCACATCGCAGGATAGTTCAACAAGTGGCATGGCAGGGCGATACGCTTGAAGTTTTTTTCGAAGGCCTGCCCATGAGGTATTACGCTGCTCCTCTACGACCGCTTGAAGAGCATGAGAAGTGGGAAGAGTTGAACAAAAATGATGTCGTTCTGCTATGTGGTCACTATATGCTTGTTGTTGAGATGACCAGAGAGACGTATTATCCCAGCATGAACGCGGACGGACTGGATCCGAGGCACAGACCGAGGCAGGGGCAGGACCAGTCTCGGCCTGTGTCGCTCGGAATGGTGATCAATTGGTTGAAGGTCACTGGCATTGAGGCTATACCGGGCACAAGGAGGCATCAGAACCGAGTGAGGGTGGGACCCATCGTCAGAACTGCGATCAGATGAAGGATGAGCCATTCACACGCCAAGCTCTGATGGTCTGATGATCGGAAAAAAGGATTTTACTCCCAGTTAGGGTATTCCCTCTCTTTTCTTCGAGAACAGGATTCGCAGAATAATTCTCTCAGATCATACTCTGGGATGTAAACTACAGCGCAATTCATTCTCAGCCATTTCCTTTGGGATTGCCAACTGCTTACCATTGCAAAAGCGTCAACTTGCTATTCTACTCCATTTTGAGCCCCAAAAAAATTATTGGCAATAACTAGTTATAGCTAATACTCTTGACCAGAGCGATTCTATGTAACAATTGGAAGGGCTTCATAGTCTCCAATATATCAAAAAGCTAAATCCGAGCAAAACGATACCAACCATCTGCAGCTATAAGATTTATCATCGCAGTCGATCTCTTGGCGAGTACTCTGTATCAATGTTCGAGGTAACCAATATCCCACTATGCGAATCTCTGTCCGAGTCTGTTCTGCCCCTCTCCACTTCAGAATAGCCGCGTGCTTTGAACGTGGGGCCATTCTGAAGCTCATATTGACCCGAAGAAACTCCTGAACCTGCGCTGGTCGCTTCACTAGTATTGTAATTAGAGCCTTTGGGGGGGACAGGTGGTGGCGGGGGGTGAGGTGGGTTTGATCCCTCTTTCCGCTTGCATAGGGTGTACAGAGCGGGTGCGTTGGCCACGAAGGAAGCTGTGAGCAGCTCTGCTGATGCCCATGTTGTGCGATTGACCTGCGCGGTGGCGTGGTTCGCGTTTTGTGGTAACCTGACAATAGTGATGGCGACTGGGGTGCGTTAGCAGGAGCGTGTTAGCCTTGAATATCTGTCGTTCTCACCAATGAAGATGCCCAAGGAGAACAGGAAGTAGAGCTGTATCTTCCTGGAAAGACTTAATAATGCCTCCATCTCAAACGATTATCACATACTGGAAAAACGATCGCCTCAATCTGACCAACACTGGAATCGGTAGAACTATGAGCATGATGTCGGTGATGATATTCAGCACTCCTGCGTAAAGGTTAGTCAAGCAAGCCTAACCATGGGATGTTGCGGCTAAGATACCAAGTGTGATCAACTGCACCTGAGCTTGGCTGCATTTCCCTGGATCCGGAAGGACTCGCCAATACAGATACAAGGGTTGGCATTCGCTGAAAGTCACAACTTGAACAACGACATAACTGGCAGCGAAGATGGCTAAGAACGATACCATGGTAATTCTCTCCCATCGAAGATGATATATCAAGTGCCGATAGAAATCGAGAAGCACCAATTTCTGGAGCCAGAGGCTGTTGGTTTACCCGTCAGTCTGCAGCCTCAAAAACCGGGCAGACCAAGACCACTCACTAGGAGTTGTAGAAGAGCCGGTTAACAATGGTGAGCTTTCCACCAATCTCCCTTTGGTATATCTCCTGCTGTGTAAAGTGATGAGTGGCGCGGAACTTGGGTGAAACGTTATTGCTCCCCCAGATCAGGACGACATGTATGAGAGAGAGCCTTGCGATCGCGCAGAAGATGGCCCCCATCGTTAGATAATCACCAGCACAGAAGGATTTCTTGTTGATTCTGACGAGGAGCAGGCGGAGGCACATGACAGTAACGGCAATCCAAGTGAAGACCCACACGACGATGAGTGTAGGGTCAGGCATCTTAACTAACGACTTTTAGATTGTAATAGATGAAGGAGCGTAGAGAGAAATCTCTCTAAAATGCAAGGTACTTGATGAAAGATATAGCTTGAGGACACCATAGAACAACGCGATACTATGAAGCTGCAGTCACATCAATACCGCCACGATCCTGAACTGCCCGATCATTGCCACTTCGACTAGTGAAGAGCGACAAACAAACATGATGTCGCCGAACCTCGCCCTTATCGAGTATCTAGGAAGGAAGAAGCTCAGAGGCGGCTAGGAGAGGTATGCTCAACACCCTCTCAGGGCCAGGAACAAGCCTTGAGAGGATCATCAACACAGCCGAACGCTTCTGGTCTCCTATGACAGCATTATCTGTCCTAGATCTTGGAGATTTAGGCTTAGATTCTTGATTCAAATGGGGATAACAAGAAGCACAGGAGTTCTCGAGAACAAAGGCGTGTTCGCAGCTCCTCTGCCCGAGTGCAGAGGGGTGGAGACATCTGAAGTTAGATGGAATGCATCTCACTGCTGAAGCAGGTGGGAGGAGGGAATCCGAGGGAATTCTCGAAGCTGGCAGAACATTGTCATGCCATTTCTTTGGGGCTTCCAAGCTTGACGCTGTTGTCCTTGTGCTGGTGTGTAACACCACTTGTAGGACAGAACACACCTGCATGTCACTCCGACAGCTGGTTAATGTAGGAACACACCTACCAATGACCAAGAATCTAGGCACCAATGAACTGCATGCACAATCAAATTAGTAGCCACAAAAACCTTCCCTATCCAATTTTATGTAGTATGCTAGGTTTTGGCACTGTGTACTGCGGCCCAGGTATTCTAGTCTTGAGAATCGATATTCCCTCACCAGCAGAATCCTGCACTGGTGCCATTCAAGTCATACTCCCCTTCATACCTACAGTCATGACTCGTTCTTGGAGATTAGTCGTCCTAATTGCGGCTACAATCTCTGCTCTATTTGAAGCTGCCCCCGCTGGACAGACCTCAGCGCGCCGACAAATCGACATGAATACCACGTCCAAGGAAACACTCGTCAGCCGTGAATACTTTTACGTCGGTGGTCGCTATGTTGATGATGGGAAGGGCAAGGATCAGCACATCTTCAGCGATCAGATGTATGTCGAGAAGTTGAGTCCTGATACCAGCTGTCCAAAGCCAAACCCGCTGGTCTTCATTCATGGTCAAGGCCAGACTGGAACAGTGAGTGGATCTTGACATGTAGATAATGTTACCCTAATGAGTGGCAGAACTGGCTGAACAAGCCGGATGGATCTCCTGGTTGGGCATCTTTCTTTACCTCAAAGGGGTACACCGTCTACATCTTGGACCAGACATCTCGAGGCAGGTCTCCGTGGAAGCCAGGCAACGGCAATCTGAGCACCTTTCCAGCCGAAATCATTCAACAAAGATTCACCGCACCTGAAAAGTACGAACTGTGGCCTCAAGCTGCTCTTCACACCCAGTGGCCCGGCGAAGGCATTATGGGCGATCCTTATTTCGACGCCTACTATGCATCCAATGTTCAATTTCTCGCTTCAGCCGCCGAACAGCAAAGCGGCGTCCAAGCTGCTGGTGCCTCACTGCTCGATCGAATCGGAAAGCCTGTGATCTTCTTGAGCCATTCGCAAGGTGGTCTCATGCCCTGGCTCATCGCCGATGCCCGCCCTGCACTCACCAAAGCCATTGTCAGCCTGGAGCCCTCCGGTCCGCCATTTCAAGACGCAGTGTTTGGAACTGGGTCTGCTCGTGCATATGGCTTAACTGACATCCCCCTCACGTACGACCCGCCAGTCATCTCGCCCGAAGAGGACATCGTCAAACAAACCATTTCTGCATCCAACAAAGCAACTACTCCCTGTACCATTCAAGCAGATGACCCAGCGCCACGACAGCTCGTCAACTTGAAGAACATTCCAGTGCTATTGCTGACGGCTGAAGCGAGCTACCACGCACCGTATGACTGGTGTACGGTCCTGTATTTGCAACAGGCTGGGGTGAATGTCACGCATCTTGAGCTGGGTAACGCCGGGATCCAGGGCAATGGACATCTTTTCTTCCTCGAGGCAAACAGTGATGAGGTAGCGAGTGTGATTGAGCAATGGATAAGTGGCATAGGAACGGGTTGTGGAGAGGCCTCGAGTTTACAGCATGGACCCAAGGTCAGCTTTTCCAATGTCTGAACCTCCAATCGGATGTAAAAAGGTCATTCGTGCCAATTGGACGAAAGTTGTTAGGCAAAAATAGAACAAAGAGCCCAACAGGTTTTGTTGCTTCTGATCTGGTTACCGAAAGACCTCCGTTGCATGCAAAACCCAGTGTAGACGAGTGCATCATAACTCGCGCGTATCCGTCCCTAGAAGAGAGCTTTGTCAGTCTTGCAGGTGACTAACTGGTCACATCACGAAATCTGGACTCCTCAACCAAGACCCTTCCTTAACACAGTTTCGGCCGCTCGCTAATTCTGACATTGTCTTGTCGTGACCGTTCGAAAAAGCCGATCCACATGCTCATGCTTGATCCGAGATGACAACACCTAGATCCATCAGATCTCATGGTCGCGCGACGGGCCATTCATGAGCTCTCCGGTCCACATACGCGAAAGAGCATACGTAGTACTCGTACTTGCTACGTGGTGAATGATTGGTAGAGGGTGGAACGGGGCAATGGAAAAAGTACGAGAAAATGCACCACGCAAAAGGACTGCAGGGTGCTGGAGAGCAGTCCAATTAGAGCTGCAGAGGTCAGAATGAGGCGACGAAGCGGGGGAAGAGCCGGAGAGCCGGAGAGTCGTCAGCCATCTGGTCCCTTGGTGTCTCTCACCTCCGCCGGGCGCAACAAGTAAAGCCGAGCCTAATCGACCAGCCAAGGCCATTGGGCATCCTCGGCCACGTCTTGCACCACTGGCACTGGCTCAGACTGCCATTAAGCACTCCGACACTGACACCATTGATGGTTGCTGCCTTGACCAGGAAGCTGCAGGAAGCTGCATCTTTTGGCCGGAAAGTATCAGCCTCGTCGTTTGCTTCGTTCATAACAGAGCCCACTTCTCTGTCTCCCTCCCTCAACATTATTATCGCCTTACTTCTTGCATGTTGATCTGATCTGCTAATCACATTGTTCAGCTCCCATCACTTCCTCCAAGGTGTGTTGATCTACACCTTAGTCCTTTGTCTAACCGTCCTGCCACCCTGTGATTGCTGTCGCTAACACAGGAGCAGCCTCAACTGCAGTCCAGACATCCGTTTGCTATCCAAGTCCTCCGAGAGATTTTGGATCTTGCCATGGTTGACCAGCTCCTTAACACCCTTCGTTCCTCCAAGAGGGTCTTCTGGGAAGACAACAATGGCCGTCCAGAAAATGAGATACAGGAGCTATGGAATCATCACGTGGCATACTTGACAGCCGAACTTGGAGCCAACGTGACTGGGATTGGACAATCATCAATTCCCCACAAAAGAGCCGTTCCTAGCACAAATGTATTTGGTGGACCGAGGCCATCCAAGCGCCGCGATCTTGTATGCTGTTTCTTACTGGCTTTCTGAAATTTGGTTGACCAGGCCCCAGAATGTCGAGGTTCCTTCTACTCTACAGCGTCAATCGTCGGCCCCAGCCAGCACCGCAATGCGACGGAGACGTTCTTCCAAGACAAATTCTGGTCCCGGCCCCACCGTACCTCGTCCCAAGCAGCCTTCGAGTCGGCCCATCAACATCCCGGCGCCCAAGTACCCCGACCCGCACCCGGCCTTCCAAGCATCTTACCCAGCCTACACGTCCCATTCACTCCCGGTGCATCCCCATATCCAACCGTCGTATCGACCATCCCTCGGCGATTTCCAGGACCTGTCGCCCTCTGATTATCTGTCGCAATCACCTGAAGAGTATCCGATGCCCGGTCTGTCGGTAACTCCCTCTCCTACAATCACGCGCGGTGAGTGCCGACCACAAGATGTGTCACGACTTTCAGTCTCGACTGCACCGGCCTATGCCTGGGATCATCCCTCATTATCGAAGTCTGTCAGCGATTCTGGTTTGACCAGCACGTCGACCGCCGCTAGCGAGCCGATGAGCCGTATCACCACCAACGAAATGTTGATTGAACCTCTTCAAATGTGTAGGGTCAGCTCTCAAGTTTCGGGTTGTGATAAGTCTGAAACTCCTGCGATAATGAATGACTATGGTCAATTTGACCTTGATTCTTTGTTTCCTGTGTCATTCGATTCTGGTGTGCTGAACAGTTTATCCGATGTTTCCTTTGCTTCGTTTTCTCCAAGTCATTCTCTTCCACATTCTTCTATTCCAAGCAGTGTTGAAATGCTGCATTCGCCTTCCCAGGAAAGCAACGCCTCTAGCTCCTCATCAGATTCATCTCAGTCGCGACATCTGCGAAGGGTACAAGAACAAAACGTCCAAAGTAAACGAAGACTTGCGCCCAAGACGCAACCGCAGAAGAACAATACGGCGATGCCACCGGCTACCATCGTCGAGGTGGTTGCGGAAGATGGTACGATGCAGAAGAAAGCTCAAATCGCGCGATCCAATCGGCAGCCAAAAGAAACTACAAAGGTCTTCTGTCCCATCTGCAACGAACACAAAGATGGCTTTCACGGTGAGCACGAGTTGCGACGCCACATCGACCGAACGCATAAGGGATGCCGCAAGGTGTTTGTGTGCAAGGACATATCACCTGACCGAACATTCCTTGCGAATTGCAAGCATTGTCGCAACATGAAGACCTACGGCGCAAACTATAATGCCGCTGCACACCTCCGAAGAGTGCATTTCAACCCTTGTGAGACGCCCAAAGGTGGTAGAGGCAAAGTGTCTCAAAATCGCGGCGGTATTGGAGGGGGAAATCAACCTCCCATGGAGGTACTTAAGGACTGGATGTTTGAGACGTGGGAGACGAATCTCAACTGTCTCATCCTCGACGACCCTTCCGTCATGAACACCGCATATGCAGCTTCGAACCAGTCGTCATCCTCGGATTCTGGGCTCGCTCAAAGCAACGACACGGTTCAAATCTCCGACCACGACCTCGATTTTGTTCAGCAAACTACTCAACTAGACATGTCCTTCCTTCGATATCCTTTCAACACCTTCTTCACGCCTTCTCAAGACGAACTCCCGTACTTCGACACCGATTTTGCGACCTGAGATGAGTCTGATGGGACAGCATGTGTTTCAATGATGTCCGATTTAAGCTGTATTTTATTCTTTCTGTTTCTTGTTTCGTCTCCTGGCTTTGCATTCTACATTCGATTTGCCTTTTCCACTTTAATTCTCAGTTGGGTGGATGTCTACCCTACCCCTTTTTCCCCATATGGCATTTTGTCATTGGGATGACTGTACCTTTGGTTTACTTGACGAGAGAAGGAAAAGCATTTGTCCTTCACTGCCTTCGTGAGATACTTCTATGAAGAATTTATTTAACTGTTGTGTTCTCGTTCCCTTGTCTCAGTTGACGGCCATCTGTTAGATAATTTGATGACTATGCTGGGTGAAAGTATAACATGACTTGCCCACCTTCCGTACTGTTTCTTTGCCTTCAACCTCATTACTCTACGTGGTTTTAGAAAGACTGGTTCGTAGATGTGATGGCCCTGGGCCGACCATTCCAGCTGCTGAAATGAATCATTTTCGTATGCGACTATTTAAAAGGCTTTTCCCAAGCGCTCGTTGTGGTTGGAGAGAACAATGTTGTTATGCATGACTGCAGTGCGGGTGAAGCACCCAGGTTCTTTGAATACGGTGTAGAGCACTCTTGCTGGGCCCATGTCAGAGTTGTTAAGAGGATCGGTAATCGGCTGGCTCCGCTCTTGCCACGTAGTACTAGTACTACTACTAGTAGTGGAGAACATTGAGCTTGCCCTATATAAGCATCACCAAGCTTTCCTTGGCCACAAGCCAAGTGCAATGCCAATATTGCAGAGAGCAGGGTCGAAGATCTGATGAGAAGTTCAGCGATGCAGGTATGGTAGTAGATTCAACCTAACAACCTAGCCGATGCTACCATCGCTCCCCATGGTGAGGGCTGCGGCATTTCTGTCACTGGACTAATTGGGGCGTACACGCATTCATCATCACGACGTAGCACTCAAAACTGCTAGGTAGGGTTCAGATATCTTAACCTAAAGCGTGACCAGATTCTTCCCCCCAGCTGCCTTCAATCTCGTCGTTTCGTCTTGACTCCTTATCCACATAAATTGCCTGAAGAAGTGAGTTTCAATCATTCCCCCTACAATCGTGCGAGGGGCGAAAGCGTTCTCCTTCACCACGAAACTACACCACACTCGCTGATATTCATTTGCTCATCTCGTTGCAGTTTCTTTTGTCCGCCTTATACCCTCGTTCGCCCGAGCTCAGCCTCCGGGCTGAAGTCTCCGAAAACCGAAATATTTCACCACGATGTCGAACCAAGGATATTATGAGAATCAACCTCAGTACTGTGCGTTGCATAAGAGTTGCGA